ATCTCTAAATCTGAAACCCTTGGCACTTTTTCTTTTTGCGAATATAAGAATAGAAACGGATTATATTATACTATTATCTATAACGTGGTTTATCAGTGCGTCGCGCATATCAGTGCCTCGCGCACTTTTTCACTACTCAATCATTTCAAAATATTATTCAATAATCACAACATATAAAATTAATTGAAACTATTCAGAATCTGATAAACTAGAGTCTTTTAAATCCTCCTGACAAGTTTGTATATTATGACCAGTTTTACCACAAAAGCCACAACAATATAAAGTTGATTGTTCCCCATTTGAATTACCCCTCTTAAAGCATTTGTCGCATCGAATCTGATTATCTATATCAGTCTGTAATATAATATCATATCCATTTTATATACTAAGTATTCCTCTTTGATGAATTCGACTCTTTTTAGCTTTACAATGTTTACTCAATGCTTCATTTGCTTTTCGAAAAGTACAAATCTCAATACTTATAAGTATTATTTCATAAGCTAATATCTCTGTACCCTTAGCTAAAACTACAATTGTTTCAAATATAGGTATAGGAGAACTTCCTTGATATTATGTAATTCGATTTTTAATTAAGGTTGATTGCAAAAAAGCATTATTCGAGTTGTGAGGTATTTGAGAAACCTAAGGATCGAGTTCTATAGAGAAGGATTTGGTAGATATAAATGTTTGTAATTTGATATCTAGCTTAGAAATAACAGCTTGAGGATCAAAGGGTATTAATCTAGTTCCGCAGAATCCAGATAATCCATTTTGAACAGTTATTGATTATAGGTATGCTGCTTTGAAGACTATAAGGAATTCGACCTTGGTGATATAATTAATATAAGCCTTAATATACCCCTCAATTTGTTGATCATACATTTGTTTTAAAACACTAAAATATCCGACATCGAGTGGTTGAGTAATATACAAAGAATGAGAAGATAATGAAAAAGTTATAATATTATGTTCTTTACAATATTCTTGAAATGCAATCGATTCATAGCTTTCGTGTCTGTCTAATACTAGTATTCGATAATTATCTTGTTTTTGAGCAATAGTATGCTTATCGAAGTGTTTAATCTACTCTAAATCTGTCTCATTGTTTATTCATCTATTATTAGTAACTTTAATCACCTAATCAAATAGGAGATTATTTTCAATATACCAACTCAAAAGATGATTTTTGCCCTTAATTATTAAAAATAAAGGAATACTTTTTCTTATATTATTAATATATATAATTGCTGTAGTCTATTCTCGATTACCTGACTGTATTGCTTTGTTTCTGCTATATTGTTTAGCATTAGTTATAATTATCCCAGGGTATATAATACCTATCATAAAGCCTGTTTTATCGAAATTATAGAAATCGTAATCGAGAATACTGTATTTCGCCTGTATATTCGATACTAATCGAAACCACCCTTCAATAAGCTTTGGATCTTTACAAAAAGCTTTTTGGAAATTATAAACATAATTAAAACATGTCTTTAATTCTGGCTGGTATTGTACAAATCGATATGCTTAAAGCTTTCTAATATGGTATACTCCACGAGTATCGAGAATATTATTCGCTATATCTTTTATATCACTTAATCGAGGGGCAAATCCTCATGTATCTATATCGAGGATATATTGAAGAATCACTTCTTTTTCTAATTTAGTTAATTTTTGAATTGATGGTTAATATTCCTGTAGCAGGGTTAAACCGTTTATTCGATTCCGAAGTATTGTTTCAGGGATATTATAGAGTTTAGCAGCACTCCAGCAACTCATTTTTTTTGATTTATTAATAGCTTCAATAGCTAAGATAATCCGAGCTTCTTTTGAAGTATTATTCATTGTTGATTGTTGATTAAACGTGTGTTGAATTGAAGAGTTGCAAAATAGTGAAAAAGTGCGCGAGGCACTGATATGCGCGACACACTGATAAACCACGTTATTTCTTAATTATATTTAGATTTAAATTTAGATTTCAGAGTTTAGAATTCAGAATCTAGAATTCAGAATTCGAAATTCAGAGTTTGAATCTACTTTATATCTTAGTCTTAAGTTTGATACACAGGCCACTCCTTTCAAAACTCGAAGAAAATGATCTGAATAGCTTCAAAATTCATATTTATATTGAATATATAATAACAAATTTTGTTTAACCTCATATTCCAATAGCTGTGCAGCACAAGTCTCGTTTCTATAATATATAAACTTTTGTATTTGCGGAAATCCAAATCTGTCTACTAGGATCACCGAGTAAAGTTTTTATAGTACGACAATCCCTCCTTGAAGCGGAAACTCCGGCGGGAATGTTCAAGCAAGCCTGTAACATTCAAAATCAAAACTTATTCTTAAATAAAGTGTATATTTTGACTATCAAAAGTCTGCATCAAAGGAAACAAACTCTCATCTCTTCATAATAATTGGAATATCACTTTACTTGAGGCGACACTGCTGCTGCTGCTGCTGCTGCATATACTGAGTATACTCATTATAGACATACCTAGGTATCCAGTCATGCTCTAAAAAGCCTCGAGTGAGGATACCGGTGGCTTCATTTCATATCATCAGATCGCATCTCTTCAAATTATATTACTTTGACTCACCCCTATTTCGTTTTCCGAACCTATAAAGATAGATAGTTACTTTACAGTACCGGTATATCTGATGAAACTTTTCCCTATTCAATGCGAGTGGGTATCATGACTCGAAGACAGGTAGATCAACATTCACTCACTCGCTATCAACATTCAACGCCTTAAATCTAATTTCAAACAAGCTCAACCACACTCGCTTTAACGTTATTTTTGCAACATTATAATACTCTCTCAATCAATCACAACTCCCGTGTATCCGCACTTACATTCACGTACTATCCTGTGTGCATCCGCTCGGTGTCGGAATTGTTTTAAGCGTTTCTGTTCTCGCAAACTTTACCTAATCTCGTCCAAGCAAGTACATCTGTACCCTCCCTTCCCATCCATCCTATGATTCTATTTTCGCTCTGTCTCTATCCCCATTCCGTCTATCCCCCACAACGCTAAGCGCGGGGTAAATCTGTCAAAAAATAGTTCCTCAACTTCCTTTTTAATGAGAAAATAAGTTTACTAAGTGGGCATTCGGAGAGGATTCCCCAGTTATCTCTACTCAATCGTTCCAACGCTCCATTTGATCGAATTTCACAATTATTTCACTTTCCTTGACCTGAATGATTGTATCTCGTCCAAGCATCCAAGCCTTACATCCCCAGCATTTCAATTTGTAGACTCCGTTCTGTGGGGGAAAGGCGGCTAGACATGATGTTCACTGTGCGCACTGTGCAAAGAAAGGGCAGAACGTATAGATTAACTCGTATAGGCATTCAGGTGGACAAGCTGCATGATGCCGGTACCGGTATGGCATCAGAAGTGGGGTGAGGGCTTTGGTGAATGTCGGTCGGATTATTGAGAGGAGGCACTTTTGTTTTTTTGTTCTTGGAAGTTAGGGACTGGCGGTGAGTGAGGCTCTTGGGCAAGAATAATGATCTTACCCACTGTATTGCGTTCATTTCCCTTGCTCATTTGAAATCAATTCCTCAATAGTACTGCGCGTGAATTCGTGCATAAATGCATTCGACTCCAACTCCTTTACTCACAATCGCAATGCAATTCTCTCAAAATTCAGTCCATTCTTCGATTGTCAAAGCTTGTCTTTTGTTTTTACCCACCTAAACTTCTAGAAGTCCTTTTCTTATATCTCTCCATTGACCTGTCACCGTCACCTGTGTAGATTTGTGTTCCTCTCTTCTTCATTCACACCGTGATCTTTTGCTAGTCTAGTCATAAAATCGCTAAGTTTCAATACCAGCGTAAGTATCATTTCGACGGAGTATCAATTTTTTCAATCTTACGAAATGATTCCATATGTCTCGAAGAAGTATTAGGTGTAGTTATGTATGCACCAAGTATCCAAGTATACGGTATACTAGATCCTTTCAACTTTGTCCACCACTCAAGAAGAAGTCTAAATCACTTGGCCCACCTCTCTGTTGTTCGTTTTCCGCAAGCTGTTCCAACAAGCTAAGGAAAGGATCTTTTTCCTCTCCACTTGTTCCTGTACTTTCATTATTGGACCTCCCTCCCGGTGTCATACCTTCGTCCCCCATCATACCACCACTCGTTCCACCTATCATTCCAAATGAAAAATTCCCACCACTCCCTATATGTGGCATACCAAACATGGGATCAAAATTCGACTCTTGAGTGTGATTCAAGGAGAGCGATGGTGAAAAGGTATATGATTGTGGTTGATTCTGGCTCGGTGGTGAAAAAGGGATTTGTGAAAGTGTGGGCATCAAACTTCCTTCATCAGAATAAGATGCGGGTTCATGACTAAGTAAGCCGTTTTGTGGTAGAGGTAATTGTTCAATCGATCTTCCATTCGGTGATATTAAAGGCCTGTCTTTTAGACTATTAGTAAAAGCACGTTTTCGTGCATATGAGGATTTGCGTTTCGAAGCAACAACCGAATCATTCGAACCATTCGAACCTGATCCTCCCCCATTCATAAATCCATTCCTATTTCCTCGCGTCGGCGCATAGAGATCATGGCCTTGACATGCTTCCGGGCTGGGTGCTACCACATCTGCAAAACTAATATGAGCCCCATCAAAGTATTGGCTCAAATCACTATACCTATCAAAAAAGTCCTCCAGATGAAAAACTGGACTGAAGCGCATTGGATTACTACCAAGACTCTTCACCAGATCAGAATGGCAGCCATAAATTGTTTGTAGAGTTTCTCGTTGATGTTGAATTGAGGACCATGCATATCGAAGCTCAGAAAGTTGTTGCATTTCTCGGGAAAGGAAATCGGCTGAGGAGGAAAATACTTCGCCTTCGCGACCCCCTTTGTAGTGCATTCCATGGACATGAACAGTACCGGCGGTACAAATACAATATCCCACGAACGCGGGCCATTCTATCGACGCAGATTGTTTGCCGAGTTCAACAAGTTCGGCGATCGCGTTTGCGTGGAGGAAACAAAGATTTGTGGCTTCAATTTGCCAAGATTGATGTTGACCGGTGCCCGCTAGCTCGGCAAGGTCGACAGGGAGGAATGGTCGATATATTAGGCAATGTATGAGATGGTAGATAAGTTTGCTGAGGACAAGAGTCGTACTATCCGGTTGCCCAAAAAGTGTATCGATAGATGTGAAAACGTCCTGTGTGCCACTTGCCCATACATCTAGGTCTTGGCGAATCTTCGAAAGATTTGATAACGAATGCCATGGAAAATGAGAGTCACCTGTATTCGAAAAATGACGATTAGTATTCGTACAGTGAACACTTGCTGAACGGGGTGATTATTACAAAACCTACCTTTTACGCCACCAGCTGCGAGATAGCGATTGGTAATTCCTAATATCCTCACGATATCTATGAGCATTCCACTGCTTCCTTGACTCTTTTTACCACTACCGAGATGAAGGTTTGATCCACTTTGGAAGAAATCTCCTTCGACGGGAAGAGTGGCTAGATTAGGTGACCATGATGGCAATCGTAAGACAATCGATTTATCGGCAATCAATGAAGGTCGTTTTGATCCGCATGCTGTAAATCTGTCTATCAAATAGCAAGTCCAAAACAGTCTCCTTCGTAATTCTCTCTCCACGGGAGTAATTCGTAGCGTATGGTCCATCTCACGGTGAAGCTCTAGCGCAACAGCCATTCCAACAGCATTTGCTATCCAAAGTCAGTGAAGTTTTTAATGGTTCAATAGGTTAAATACGCATACCGAGCACCATATATGCCTTTTTTCCTCTTCCCGATGCAGTATACGAGATACTAAGAAGCAGGAGAGCCTGTAAAGTATCGATGGATGGCTCATCAATATCTACCTCTAACCTCGCTCGATGAGCATAATCCTCACTTAATCTTACTGCTGCAAAATAGCCATTTGGATGAGAAGTATATCTGGAGAAAAGTCAGTAAATTTAAGTATATAGTATATAGACCATTTTTTGCAACGCACCTTGCACTAACAGCATAAATTGCATAGAGGAGATATGTTGGAATGCGATTTGCCTGTATTCGTTGTCTGATGGAAGATTCGTCGAGTATATGGTAGGATTTACCATGACATCGAACGAAGTAAGTATCCAAAAGGACATCTTGTTGAACTGATGGGGAGGGTTCACTAAAGATGTGTCAATCTTGCGAGAACATTGTAAATGAGAGATTCTCTTACATACCTTATGGGTGTTGGGGAATAAACAGCTGATTCATCAGCAATATTTGACATCATTGTCTCCAAATGAGGTCGTTTGGGCTTGACATTTAGACTTTCATCTCCACCCCTACCAGAACCATTTTCATTATTGTTTGGAGAGTTGGATTTTTTCTCATCTCTCAACTTTCGTTCCAATCCATCGACTCTCTTCAACAAAGCTTCCAATACATCCGTTTTAGGTCCACGCTTTTTAGGGACTGCATCTATTAAGATAATGTTAGGGCCAAGCAATTCGCGTTTGTGGAGTGATATACCCCACCATAAATACACGGGCATTGGAAGACTTGACATGCTTCACAAGTCGGTCGCAACCGATTGCACTTTATCTAGAAAGTATTTTAGTATTGAGGAAGAATTTTGAGGAGAAGAAAAGATAAACCGACTTTTCTCTTTCTACAGGATTTACAATTCATTGATTCTCGTGGTTCGTTGCTCATAGGTCGTGCTGGTAATCGTTCAATTCCAACCTGTGCTGGCCTTCCAGACATGGTATCGAAATGAAAATCAAACGCGAAAAGAAGGCGAAGGAAGAGATTATTGTTGTACAGTAATCAGATTCGTCACATCATAAAGATTGGTCGAGGCGCACTGCGCAAAACATCACGAGTGTGGTCGTTTTTGAGGCGTCCAGATAATTTCCGATCCAGAAACTTGGTGTAAAATGTATATACGTCGAATCCTTTTCGGACTTGGCTAGGTATTCGAAGAATCCTCGGGTCGTTGGGAGCTTCCCTAAACCGTTATTCGTTCGCCAACTGCGAATGTAATCCGATTACAGAGATGATCGGACCGTCATTGACCGAACAACTGCTCTCAAGCTATACTCCAGGCTCTTTCGTTGATCAGTTGACAAGTTGGTGGTTGACAATGATTTGGTATACCTAGTGCTGAATTGTGTGAGATCAGTTTGGACTCTCGGGCTGATGGAGAAGAAATTTGAAAATTGGAGCAGCGCTTGTGGCAATGTAAAGATGGGCTGGTTTTGGAAGTGTGTTAGATGATTGGTATCGGTGAGTAAGAAAGATTGAACGAACTCAGAAGTATGAGATGATGGTTTGAAGTTAGGGTTAAGAGCGCAACGTCAAACATGTCCTGTTGTAGCAAGGAAAGAAGATGGGGGCGTGATCACTTATTGAACTACACCATAAGAGAGATTTCATACCTGGTAAAAAGTGAAAGACTCTCGAAGGCACGGCAAGGTAAAAGGTAGGGGAGATTGCGGGGAGGTTGGAGCTAAAACGGCTACGAGTTATGCATCCCCAGGCCAGGGATTGTTGGCGCATCGGTGTGCACTACTGGGATACTGGGTGCGAGTGGTCTCTTGCGAAATGTTGTTGGCGATGGGTTATATTCGTGGCCATGATTTTTTTCCCTCATTTGGATGTGGCAATTCGTTAGGTTCTTCTCTCTTTCTTTTAATTTGTGCAGATATTCATTAGATAGGAAATTATCAAGGATAAACTTCTCCTCAATGTGTTATTTGATTCAAATGGGGTGAAAGCGAAATGAGATGATCATGAGTCTGTTGAACTTTCATGGTAAAGATGCGAGGATGCAGTATCCCACCGTGATTCCCACGGGCTCATTACCAAATTAGAGATCGTGAAAGATCCTGGCTCCGAGGTATCAATTGAAAAACTGGGGTTTTGAGAGACAACAACTGGATCGTTGTCCTCGCTAAAAAAAATAAGGATATCCAAGGTACTAAGCTTACACCTCCACTCATCAAATTATATCTTAACATTGCAGTGCAACCGATGCAAAGGGGGTAAATTGGAGGTTTTCAAGGATATCTACAGCGTTTTCCTGCATAACTTGCGACGTATTTATGATCGAAGATTAAATTCGAACTGAATTGTGGCTAGTTAGATAATCTAATCTTCGCCTCGCTGCATCGCTTGTAGTTCTATCGCAATGTTACTACTGTAGTCTCAATTTTTGATTTCCCCCCTTCATCGTTTAGCTATACACTACTGCGGCCTAGTGACCCAAAATTCCTGGTCAACCCCGACAACCCCGAAGCTAACCCTCGTTATCCACATGAGAAGTGAACCCTTCAAACCCACAACTTTTTTCTTTCTATTTTCTGGGGTTATTCCCCCCCTGGACCCCGAGTCCCTCGCTGTAGAATGAAATCACTTAAATTTGACAAGAAAGTTATTCTTCGCGGGCTTGACGGTCCTGCCAAGCATATCTAAAGTTAAGATCTATGTAAAGTTACGTATTGCTCTGTAACAATAGAAATTATCGATTGGAGCGCATGGATTTAGATTGCGGGATGCCGAGATTTGTATGCCAACGGGCGGGTAGCAAGCTTCAAGTAGAAATCCGAAAAGCCTCTTACTTTTCTTTTGGTTACATCTTCAACGGCTACCCTTCCGAAGTCATCTTAGAAGATTTATCTCAATGCGCCAATGCGAGTCATGCTGACGACGACTCGAGTACAGAAACGTTCATAGAAATTAATATTGAATTTATCTTCCTCTGTTATCTCAAACAATCCACGTATCCAAGTACATTTTCGAATTGCCGTCGACTAATCCAAATACCGATATGTTCTCCGATGCTTCAGCAGTTCACAGTCTCCTGTCATTTAATATCCGAGTTTGTGATATGAGTATCTTGATCTCGAAATGATACGGTACTATATTCATAATTGAGTACCGGTAATTATTAAATCGAATCGCAGACCTGGTTGGAATGAAAGTATGCATAGCAATACTATTTGAAACAGCTTCCCCGCAGAATGGAAAGCGCCACTCCAATGCTACAACATCACAAACACGTTTTTTAAATACCGTGTTACCTATTCAAAGGGTCTGTGTAATATTCCATGGGACAATTCGAAATTGGATAGCATTTAGATCGTATAGATACGAATCAACTGCCGCGGCTGATGTGCAACCTTTTTCGGCTCCCCCCCCCCTTCCCCCTTTGAAGAAGAAACTCAAGTATCCGCATCTAACTTACACGATGGCATTATTACTCCCGAGTAACTTCCGAACACCTGCATATTATGGGCCGATCTAGTATGTGATGTTTAGCCCCGGTATCGAAATTTAGAATGGATACCGATGTCATCTCCAGTTCCAAGTACGCCCAGAGCTTAAAGTAGTAGCATCTCCGCGATGCCGAAGACATCATTAGTGCTTTGGCTCGCTCATTGGAAGCCGAAGTGTAGAAGGTCCTTCTACACAGGTACGGATATCGCGTTGTCGTCAAAGGAATGATTCCCCAATATTAAGATATGTGCATCTTCATCTACTCGAGTAACTCGGATAACCTCGCATTTTTTATCTCAGGGTCTGTCATCTGAAGTATCCTGGATATTAACCGGGACAATACATCCGTTGTCAAGTCACACGTATACACAAGATATGCTCAATCTTACTTTGTTCCTTTCTATCTCATATCACCAATCCTATGTTGCGATGATACCCCAGCACCTTTGTTTTTGAGCCTGTTTGGTAAGAATATATCTGTCAATCCAGACGATACAGACATAGACTATGCATGGACAAAATCAAACCCATGTCTCCTTTGTAATACTAACCCCAGATTCGGGCATTATCAAAATATCCGGATCAGGCAGAATGGAACAAAAGCTTCCTCCCGCTTTTCACAACATCTGCGATAATAGCTCATCTCATTCACTACCTCTTCCAAAATCGAAGGACACACCCACAGAAATAGAAACAATAGGACGCGCCATATACACAACTGCTGAGTCACACACGCTCGAGATTTTCAACTCAACGGAAAGCCACGACTAAAAGTCCCCTTACAACCTATACATGAGCACAACAGAACCGAATCCTTCTGTTTGACTTGACGTGGTTATGATGTAGAGAGCACTTGTATGATTCCGTATGAATCGGTATGATGGGACTTATACTCATTCCATGGCTTAGTATTAAAAGCCAGAACATGCCACGGTCGGTCCGGTCCGTCACCCTTCGCTGTGATTTACAGTCACTTCACAACTCCTACGGGATAATTTTTTCCCCCTCCCCAAGTTTTTGAAAAAGTGCGCAATATGCGTGCACGCGGGGGCATCTTCGTTTAGCTTTCGTCAATAATGATCAGCTGAGGGTGTATTCATTTGTTCATTAATGCTCTTGGGCGATTTCACTTTCATTTCAAACTTTTGTTGCAGATTTTGCATATTAGATACCTTCGAGTTTGCAGACGCATTTTACTTTGGATAATACCCCATTCATGTTTCCCCAGATTTAATGCACGTCGTGTGGCTTCGAAATCGTACCATTGATAATAGTCATCGAGATAAAGAATGCAGTCATTTCCAGATAGAGATACATCCACATCTATTCGTCAATTACGAATCAATATGAAGCCAAAAGTCGTCTGAAAGTTCAGAAATGATATACATCTTACCAACCATCATTTACATAGCTGCTGTAGTTCAGGCAATATTCATGTAGATCCGCAAGGTAACAAACAATCCTAAAGGCTTCATTTATTGCCTCTGATTCTCTGCCTCAAAGCTTGCGCAGTTCTAATCTCACGTCATTTTCCCCTCAAGAATTTATCAATGAGGTGAAGCTCATATTTTCACATGTAATAGGATCAGATTGCATCGGGTGGTAAAAATGGCTATAACCAAGCGACTACACTGCCTCTACCACGCTAGTCAGGATTTAGCCTCCATAGAAGGCAAGCATCCCCATAAGCAAATTGAGAAACCTGAGTACTCACTCCTGGAAAATCTCATGGATTACTACTCAATCTCGGGTAATGGATGATGACTGTGGGGGTGGTGGCAAAAGCTGGGAATCAAGGTGGATAGAAGCGCATCTTCAAATCACTTCAAGCTCTGGACTACTCCTTGGTTTCTCTCTCTAATTAATGATTCAAAACGAACGGCAGTTCCTTTGTCGATAACATCTGCCTGTTTCTAGCAGAATTGCCCCTTTCCCAAGGCCTGAATTGGATGACTGTGGGCTAGCTTTCATATCATAAAGGCTGTATGTTCTTGTAAATATGGCAGCTTCCTTTCACCCTGTAGTTTAGGGCCATAGCCTGTATTCTCGAGTGTTCAGACGTGCAACAAAACTTTACAACAGGAGAGCTACTCGAAGACTGATTCACTAGTATATGAGAATTGGGAGGCATCGGAAGATAATGAAAAATGAATGAGATAAAATAGCAGAAGGCAAATCACGATGGAACTGGCAAGAAAAGAAAATTCCTGAATCCACCTAACTTCCACGTCTTTGCTCTTTTCCCATCAATCTCGAATACAATTTTTGATGTGTCAAATAAATGGAGCTTATTAAAGAAAGTTTGCATTGATTGAAAACTATTAGTTGCTAGTGCTAGTATCTCTATAAATAGAGAGACTGCGAATAGAAAACTTTTCTCCTGTCGATTCAACTTGATTCGCCCCGGTCGTTTAGATTCCCATTTTTGGGGTTAAAAAAATAGTACTTTCAATATCCCCTTTCTGCACTGGCTTTGTCTCACGTCTCGTCTGGAAGTCTGGCCATCTTCGTTCTGCTATCTGCTCTCCTTGCCATCCATCAGTGTAAGTAAGTGTCTTCTATACCCATACTGCTTCCTCGATTAGTACCCAATGTCTATCACTTCTTTAATTCTGAAATATGCTCATCCTGAATATGCTTGATGGTCCTTTCGAGGGTCCTTTCAATCGTTCTGAATAGGTTTCTTCCCTCTCTTCCACAAGGGCACGTTTTGTTGAATTCCCAAAGGTTTTCGGACTTATTGAAACGTTCGTGTAGAAGAAAATATGTAGGACCGAATCGTTGCTTTTCCCCTCGGACTAGCTGTTGGAACCATATATCGCAGATACCGCCAATCGCATGGTAAGTGCTCTTCTTGTTTTTCAAGGCGAACTGGAGGTTTTTGAGATAGCGCTTCGCACAAAGGTCCTTTTGCTCATCATTCAAGGATGGCCAAAGTACAGTTAGCGCTCTCGCGTGGAGATTGGTCTGATCGGCGAAATAAGATCGAATTCCATATGATGCAAAAGAATTCGGCGCGAAGGTGCAATATAATGTCCCTGTGGGAATCCATATAGCTTGTGATGATGCCTGGGTAACCATCATAATGCCTTCAAGTCTCTCGGTAAAATTACAAAATGTATTTAAACCTCCATCGGTATGCTCTTGAAATAGAAATCGATTGGAGTCTGTTAATGGCGCAAAGAACCAGATTGTCTCTGCTGTCACAGCAGACATCGCACTGCTTCCAGCCTCAACGCGCCAGCCAGAGAGAGCATTCTTGTTAAATAAATCAATGATTTGATAGTCTCGTCCCTCAGCAAACATAGAAAGTTTCCTGAAGAGGGATTGCGGCCAGTTGATGGTGCATTCTGTATTTTTTATCTTGTGATCGAAGGTTTTTAAACCGTGGCCTGGCTTCGTATCTTGGATGTGGGATGCGTTGATAACTTTCGATACCTCCTCATCGAGGGGGATCTTGCCGATGAGTTGCGCTAGTGTAGGAACGGGGCCAGATAATACTTCCTCGATGAGTATCAAATGAGGCAGGTACGAGGATTTTGGCCAACTTCCGTGACCAATTTTTGGGTGATTTTGAGGGGGCTTTTTAAGATCATATTTGTGCATCTTGGCAAGTATTCGAATGTCGGTGTTGTGCTCGGCCATCATTTCATACATTACCTTAGGATACGAATTCAAAGGAAGAATGTCATATGCTACGAAACCCGGGTGGTTGATCTTATGTTTCTTTGAGGGCCGGTCCGTTGAAGAAGAAGAAGAAGAAGAGGAAGAAGAATCTCCAATGTCTTCTTTTTCCCCATCACTCTCTTCCTGGACACCTTCCACATTACTTTCAATATAACTTTCTTCCCTTTCACTTAAGCTCATTTCACTTTCCTCCACGAAATCTTCTACCCCTTCGCTTGGCCTCACCGACGTATGCGCTTTTGGCGAGATTCCGACGTGATCGTTTTCGGTGTCAGTCTCTGGTGTTTCGATTCTTGGAGTATCCAAGCTTTCGACATTGTCTCGTTGTTGGTCCAAAAAGGATAAATTAGATCGGCTTGAATTAGACGTAGCTGGAATTATATTTCTGGGCCGAGTGTGAGAAGCGCGTCTGGTTTCTGTCAAGGGTTTGATGCTGTCAAGCACGGCTTCGTCTTCATCATCGATGAATATAGGTATTTGTTCGATAATTACAGATACCGAATCGTTTCTCTTTCTTTTAGAACCGTGAATTGGTCTGTGTGCCCAAAAGTCTTCTCTGATATCATCGTCTTCTAGTGTTTCACCGAGACGTTCTAACAAGGGCTTCGTACTTGTCCAGGTGGCTTTCTGAGTTTCATAGTCATCTAATTCACGAAGATTGTCGATTGCGACCATATGATCTGTTATATCGGATCTTGCTTTAGATGTACGATTTATGACCTCCCTTTTGATCCTGATCCCACCCTCTCCTTTAGTCTTCACGTCTGACATGGTTGCTGTCGTTTTGAATGATGCCGCCGTGGGCCAAAAGAGTGAGGAGCACTTAAAGCGCTATTGTGCAGTATACTCTGGTAAACTGGTAAATTGAATGATCGAAGAGGGTTTGAGTTTCTCAACTACGCCAACTTGAAGCTATTTATTAATATGAGGTGACATTGGTATAGGTTGGGAGATGAACGGTTGAAGGTGAAAGATGAGACCTAAGCTTAAGACCTGAATAAGTGAAATGCGAGGAGGAGCTAGGCTGTGATATGTGCGCTCCTTTGACAGCGACGAATGAGATCAATGGAGGAATCTCGCAAGATTTGAGATGATGCGAATTGGATTGAGAAAATTAGAGAGAGTTGTGAAAGGATGAAAATTGAAAATTGAAGATGTGGCTGCTGAGAAAATATTTATCGAGAGGTGGGACATTGAAACTCTTTTCTATAGCTCGTGGATCTGTAGGTAGGTATTCATCTGTTTAATATTTCCTGTCTCTGAATAGTGAATTCAAAAATAGGGGTTGGGGCTATTTGTGTCTCGCCGCTTTGTGTAACGATGTTTATATTGGATGGAATACTGTATATCTTCTCTAATGAACCCTCATCACATGTGTATATTCATAAGCTTGAGGAGATGTATACTCATGACAAAAGGATCTGTTAAAAATGGAAATAAGCGAAGAAGCGCACCTGAGGTGAGTACTTTGAGTAATGGTCTAAAGTAGTTATCCTGTTGCATTATTCATTCCTCCGACTCTAGCAATACCCAAATACTCCATCAAATCATCAAATCATCAATACCAATCAAACACCGTTCATTCATTGGAAAGTAAGACTGCGGAGTGGTGATGCAACTTGGCCGACTGATGATTCCTTATGGTAACATCAGAGGTGTTGTATCTTTATGAAGGATATTACTGTTGCTTTGAAGGGAAGAAAATGCACGGTGATACTGAGCAACGAGGTCGTTCATTGTGAAAGCAGAAAATCATATTAAAGAAGCGATGACTCAACTCAAGATTCATGAAGACTTTCTGAAGTATGATGATATGACGCTGAAGTACATCCGACCATATATACAAAACAAATTACAGTAGATATGAAGCAGAATAAACGTGCCGATGACATACAGACCGCTGAAGTATATGCTATAATAGTATTATATTTTCCGCATTATTGCATTTACTTGGAAAATAAACTAGAAAAAACAAAATAAATCAATGCAATGCTTAATCCTCAGTCTAAAAATGATCCCATTTCTTTACACAAGGTGCACAGATCCATTGCCTAATCCGTCAAAGTCTCACCTACAATCCCCTCGTTCGCCCACCGTGTGCCGTTAATTAACGCCTTTCTCATCAAAATAAAGAGAACACCACACGAAACACTAATCTCATCACAAACGTGTCGCTGTTACTCTTCGATTCATGTACCGCCAGTTCTCGTCCTTCCCCTCTCGATATCGCTCAATACAATCCCCTCCCACTCGCCAGCCTCACAAAACTATATGGAACATTCTGTCCCACCAGTAATCTTAATGTCTCTACCGTTGTGAAAGCGCTCGTATCTGCAACTCCATAAGTCGTCCATCCACACCCTTCCGCGACGGCTAATGGATCTCCTTTCCTTGGTCCATTTGCCAAATCAACGAAGACTTTCCCTTGCCCTCGAGAGTCTCTTCCCTTACTGAAATATCTGAGTAGAGGCTGTACCAAATGCGTCTTCTCGGGTGGTAGGGCTGAGATTATAGCGAATGGGATATCGGATTTGGTAACACTCTCCATAGAAGTAAAAGGTTCGACATCTTTTGCCAATGGTCCTTGTGCCTTGAATCCAACCGTATAAATCTTTCCGATGTTGAGACTCCTCAGCGCAAATATAACTGAAGCGGCGTCTTCCCCGTTACTCGACAGGATAATCGCAGCTCGGTCTTTATATGCTGACGGCGCAAAATCACGTGTAAGAGTTGCACGAATACCTTTCCATGTCGCATTGTCTCCGATGAAAGTTGATGATGGACCTTCACCTCGGACTACAATAGTATCGACAGCACCAATAGTACGTGCTGCACCCGATAGCATAGGGATGTAGGGCTGCGAAGATGGAAGAGGTGGATTTATGTATGCGCCACCAAAGTTAGCTTGTAAACAGAAAGCTTCGACGGAGCCTTTGACGCCACGATCTACAGATGCGAAGTTGTGTGGTAGCCCGAGTTCATTGAAGCACTTTTCGAAAAAGGTTGCTTGAGGTGTGGAGCGAAAAGTTCCCATGGCGTAGATGTTTTTCTTTGGGAGTTGACCCATGGTTGCCAAAGCGCCATTAATTTCCGCAGCACTCATTTGACCGGGGGCAGCGACGATGGGGAGTAGAGGATGGGTGATGGGTGAGAATACGGTATTGAGAGCTCGAGATAATTGTCCAAGTTGTCCCATGTTGACGGCAGATAACGGAGGACCATTGGGATTGTTGGCTTTGATTTGAGAACGAAAGTATTCAAGTTCGTAATTCTCCGACATGGAATTGATAATCGTAATCATCTTAACAATATCTCCGTATCTTCGGCTCTCCTGAAAGATGTTTTGAGCCTGAATTGATGGCCATTTGAACGTTCCGGAGAAGTCATGGAATGCCGAAATAATCCTACTGTTTCCTCTTTGCTCAAACAGTCTTCTTCGAATACCTTCTGGTAACCAAACCTCAACATCGATATATTCACATCCCCACTGTATAGCTCGGAAAAGGTACTCGTAATAAAGTTCTGGGTTGTCCATAGGGAACCGACCATTCTCTTTCGTACATCTTGTCGTGAATATTATTGGTAATTCTGTACGCTGTCTGAGTAGCATAACTTGTTCCCCAACATAACTCAAGCTTGGTACAGAATTAAAAGTTCCATCCTTTAAACCTTCTCTCAATAAATCAACACGGATCTCCACCGCATCAGATCCAACAGAAAGAATATCCAAATTAGATAATGCCGTCCGGACATCTGGAAATGTAGTCGATATGAAATAAGTTCTTGGTTTCGTAATGAGTGCTTCGTGATGGCTTATTTGACCCAAGATGAATGCGACAAATCGTGAAAGATCTCTTCGAAAAAATGGTGTCTCAGTGTAAAGAAATTCGTAATCTGTTGATGCCGATAAATTCAGATCTGGTGGCATCCCCAAAGCCACACAATGAGCGTTGATGGTGACGATCAATAATTGATTCCGGGACTGGATATCACCCTTTGCATCACTTGCTGCTATTCCTATAACAGTTCCTTGATCGACATTTCCAACAGCCGAAAAGCTGGGGGCCATTCGATGTGGTTTCCCGAGTACATCCGCAAAGACAGGAACAATCCTATCTTGACCTTGTCCGTAAACAATGACAACTATCCTATCATCTCCCATACCAGCTTTCGTTCCATCAATAATTCCATTCGTGCTTTTCGGCCGGGTAGGCGTCGGAGCTGATTGTTGTTGTTTGGTGGCCATAGGTTCGCTGGACTTTGTAATTGACAGATTGGAGAAATGCTTAGGAAGTTCCTGATGTCCCGGAGAATATTGGACGAATACTTCTTTTTGAATATTTATGCCGGTTGGTAAAGTTTTCGGCAATGAGATTGTACCTGGGTATACAGGCTCGAAGTACTTCGGATGGTATGATATTAATGAGCTACTATCGAAAATATCGACGCGCAGCGTGATTGGTAGCTTTGAATATTGGTTTCGGGATCGATGACCGTTGAAGTTGAAAATATAATATCGTCCTTGCGATATCAATATGTAACTTTCTTTGTAGGTAGACTGAAAATCAAGATAATATAGATTTCACACTCAGTTTGTCTGTACTACATGGCAGCCCGTGATCAAATAATGGTGTGGGAGTGACAATGATAGAAATCCGCGGTAGTATATTAAAACTCTGGTACAACTTTGAGACGAGATCGTAGGATATGAATGCAAACTTGTTGTCAGAGATTTCCATGCACTGCTATACAATATCAAATCAAGGTGGTGTGATCGCGATTATTGGAAGCTTGCTGGTTTGCCGGTTTTCTGCAGTCTTTTGGTGGAAATGTCGAAATTTCGCCGGAGAGTGATGAACCATTGGAAGAAGATGTTCATGCGCGGAGAATAGTAAACGAAGTTCTGGCTTTGGATGAGATTCGAGAGACGGGGTGTTCATCCGTTTACTATTCTGACAATGCCGTTTTTTATCAATCGCTTCTCCTTCGGCCGCCGTTTCCCTTGTTTTTGTTGTGTTTCTTATCCCTTAGTCCAGTGAGTGATATGATAACTTCAAACCAATCCCATGCCAAGGTTTTTGTGAGAGAAGACTATTTTTGGATTGAATACCAAGGGTTATGGAAAAATAGGAAAGATAACAGATTCACTCACGGTGAAGGTTATTCCACCGACAAAGCAGCTCTGTTCAAAACGACCCTTGCTATCCTTGAGACCCTGCATATAAGATTGATGGCGATAGGTTTAGATGTTTAGATGTGATGTTAAACTGGGGGAAAGAATCTAAGGGGATTGTCAAAAGATGGGGAATTTGGAGAAGTGGAGGTGAAAATGGGTCGGTAATCAGGGGGTTATAATCTTCCGCCAATGATAATCAAGATTGAATTAATCTCCAGTTATCTTCATATAACAAGAATATTGATCAAAGGTATCATTTTTGGTATACCGGTATGTTAGTTAGATATCTGAATTCATAACATACAGTATAGGATAAGACCGTTTGAAGAATTCGTTTGAAGAATTTCATTATGGCCTTACTTGTCTAAGTTTACTTGTCTAATAACATATAAGAAGGAGAATAGGCTCAACACCTCAATCCTATGAAGGGGGAAAATACAAGAAGAAACCACAGAAGAAACCATTAGAATCGCTTCAATGATTCTAAATTAGAAATTTGATCTAATATAAAGAAACTGGAAGAGTTTAAAATTCTTTGAAGTTTAAACGTAGCATTTATCCATTCAATTTTGCCTGGATGGGCTAGTAAATTTTAATACAAATCTCAAAAATAGAATTGGTTTCTTCATCATTATTCCGTGAAGTGATATCGAATAACTCCCAACTGAATGGATTTGTTTGGTGGATATTGATAAAAGAGTCTCAAATAAATGGAAAAGTACTGACTGTATTGATACAGTAAATTTAGGTGATGGGTGCACTCTGATAGGATTGTTCCGGTCACTGAACGATTGGAAGTTTGGAGGCTGAGTTGCTTTTATTCAAAGCACCACCATCAGCAGTTTTCGACGGAGAAAATATATTTTGAGTTTTGCCTCTTCAATTCTTGAATCAAATCGAAACAATGAAAACACGCACTCTTTCGATGCGGACCGAATATTGCCAAAGGTTCTTTCTCCAATTCTCGAGATCATGCTATCTGTACGTAGGTACCCCCATCTTGGCTTGCAGATATGTGTCGATCGATATATCGAGAGGTATTTACATGATAAAACCGACAAAACCGTGTGAAATAAAAAATCTAGGAAGAAAAGTTTTCTCCAAAGACCATCTTTGTCTGAATGAGTGGGCATATGACATAAGAGAAGAGGAGATTGATCAGAAGAGTTGTTAAACATTTCCTTTGGATTGAGCGAGATGTACGTATACTATCCCGAGCACTAAAATCAGTCAAAAACGTGCAAATGTGTAAAGCATGAATCTCACAAGTGTGGGTGACTTCATCGATTCTTGTTGGCGTGGAAGTATCTTTCAAATGTTGTTATTCTTCATAACCTCTCTCCAAGTCTGAGGAGGATTCTGGCATTATCAATAATTCGCTCTGGCCAGACCTTGATTTCCTGATATCACAAAGTTAAACTTCCTACCCCTCTGGAAGGAGATGTATCCGAAAGTATAACAACTTTTAGAGGTAAGTCGAAGTTCGATTATTAATACTCTTTTTCCCGTGTCGTGTCGTCGTGTCAGTATACCAACCAGTACAAGTCAGTAGTTTATTACTGAGACTCATCAGAAATACTGGGACAAGTATGATATTCATATACAGTACTCGAGTACATATAGTTTGTACGTGGTTGATGACGACAATGGCCTCAACATGTACTCAAGTATCTATTCCTTGTTGATGAAAACTCTCTCCTCACTCCACAACCCCAACTAACTAAACCCCACGCTTGGTACTTATTGACAGCATTCTCGAATATTCCCCGGAGTCATGCAAAAAAGGGGTCCACGGACCCCTACTTTTCCGGCTATAGTTAAGTTGAGAGCTCAATTGGGTCGAAATGGGTCTCATATACGCGATCCCGGCCATTCCGAATTTTGATTAGGTAGGGTATTGATGGCTTTCTAGACGTCTAAACTCTGTTACGAGAGTTGTTTTCTCCGGATCTGATTTCCAAGTACCAAAGCTCGCTATAATAATGACTCTTGAATTGACGTACCTGCAGAATGGCTTGGCCAGGTAGTTAAGATCTTTACATGATTTGTAAGACTCTTCAATTTCTAGAAGCTTAATTATTGACATTATTTAGAATTTTTATTATCAATTATTGATCTACTACCAAACTCACAAGTTTGTCTAAGCATGCTCTATCATCATCGCCCTTACAATCAAACGTCACACTCGCATCTCAGACGCGCCCCCCTGAACTAATGTCTAATACGTTGTTACTGTAGTAAGTACCCACACACATACATCTCCAAATCCCCAATTTCCCAACCACAACACGATTTCTACACTCCAATTTCTCCAACCGTGGAGTCCCCGATGCCCCATATTAAGAAAAAAGAGAATGATCAATAAAATTACTTGACTTGGACGCATCAACCGAAATTCTGGTATAAAGTACCTGGTAATTGAACCAAAGTCACCGAGAATAGGACCGTCCAAATCTCCATTTTGATGAAATACACTCGGACATTGTGGATGTGAACATATCAGGGGTCGGAATGAGAGCCACGTGAAGGGGGCTCAGATCATATTTTGAGAGCAATGTGAGATAGATGATTGGTCTTTTCCCTTGAATAATATATATTTCAATGGGTCTCCTCACGTGGAAGAGATCCATGCATATGGGAGATATACGGGCCGATGTTCTCCAGAAAAAAATAAAGAAACAACAAATCAACGTCATAGCCTAGGCCGTTCAAACTTCCCCAAGCTCCACTATACCCAGTCGACAGGGTCAACTAATAATAAAATATAATACCAGTTTCCGAACTTTGGGTTTGAAATCAAATTATGGGAAACAATAATGGATCTCCTTCGTATGGATGGAGGGATGGATTCCCTGGGGAACTCCAGGAACTCCATATGGGGCCTCGACTAGTTTCAAGCTACTCCATCTATTATCGTTTAACCCATACTGTCACTATGAAAGAGTCAGAAAGAGCCGGCATCTTCCTCAAAGCTGTGTCCATTAAGTCATACATGGCAATATAGTTACTTGACACGAGCAATGACAAGGCCAAGCAGGCGAGCAGGCGAGCATATCTCGTTTAGATTTAGCTTTATAGTTCTATCCTAGGCGGAAGACGCAAACTTCAAAATCTCATATATTCTCGACCTTCTTCCCCATCTTTCCTTCTCTTTCATCATCTTATATCCCCAATCTTTACTGCCCCAACCTTTACTCCCCCCTTCTCGCCAAAGTTGGCCTCCTCGCATTACTCTCACCTTCATCATGCCTCTTTTTACTCGCAATCGCAATGTCGACAACAGTCACACAGCAACTGCTGTCAACACAGGAAACAACTCAATGGAAGTTCCAACACCCGCCATCGCAAACGCATTCAACTCGAATCCCGAGAAGAATGTCAGAACGAATGAAAACCTTCACATGCCTGCTCTCACCATGCGCACCATCTACATGACCATATTGGTTGCCATGGGTGGATTCATCTTTGGTTATGATACTGGACAAATTTCTGGGTTTTTGGAGATGGAAGTCTTCCTGCAAAGGTTTGGACAGAGATCCAACAACTTGATCGCTCATCCTTTTGGCTATGCTTTCTCGAATGTGCGATCTGGATTGATTGTTGCTTTGGTATGTTCTTTACTCTTTTCTTTTTCTCATTTGAGATACTCAAAGATGTTTGTACTAATTGTCTCTTTAGTTATCCATTGGTACATTGTGCGGATGTTTGATTGCTGGACCTCTCGCCAATTCATATGGACGCAGAGCGTCTATTCCACCTTGGTGTCTGATCTTCTGCATTGGTGTTGTTGCACAAATGGCCGTTGGCCCTGGGGACTGGGTAGGCATCGCAATGGGACGATGGTGTGCCGGTTTGGGAGTCGGTGGTCTATCGGTTCTTGTTCCCATGTACATGGCAGAAACTAGTCCGGTGCCTGTAAGAGGAGCTGTTATTTCGTGAGTGTCTCCCCATATCCCTTTCACTTGTTTAATGTCAATCTTGTATCAAAACAAGGCCTTAAATCAAGAAAACTCTAGCTAATTGCTTCCGTCACAGATGTTATCAACTCTTCATCACCATCGGAATCTTCACCGCCGATTGTATCAACTATGGAACTGAGAAATTCACCAATACAGGTTCTTACCGAGTTCCCATGGGCGTTGGTTTCATCTGGGCAATCATCCTTGGTGTTGGTATCCTATTCCTTCCAGAAACACCCAGATACGATTGGAACCACGGAAATTCCGCCCGGGCCCGCACAACCATGGCCGCTTTTCATGGCGTCCCTGAAGACCATCCTGCGATCGAACTGGAATGTGCTGAAATCGAGAAAGTTCGTGCTGCTACCCAAGGTGAACATCCATGGTACGAAGCCGTCACCGGTCCAAGAATGTTCTACAGAGTGTCTCTTGCAATGGGATTGCAGATGTTGCAACAACTTACCGGTGCCAACTATTTCTTCTACTACGGTACAACCATCTTTGCCGGTGTCGGTATCAAAAACTCTTTTGTTACTGCCATGATTCTTGGTGGTGTCAATGTTGGCGCTACATTCCTTGGTGTCTGGATGGCTCGTAGATTCCGTCGTCGCGAATCCCTGTACATTGCCGCACTCTGGCAATGTATGTGTTTCCTCGTCTTTGCATCCGTCGGACAATTTATATTCAAGGATGCCGTTCCCGAAAGCTCCACAGCGAAGACGGCCGGAACTGTCATGATTGTCTTTGCTTGTCTGTTCATCGTCGGCTTCGCAAGTACATGGGGTCCTCTCGTATGGGCATGTATCGGAGAAATGTTCCCATACCGCTATCGAGCGGTCGCAATGGCTTTTGCTACCTCTGCAAATTGGTTCTGGAATTTCATGCTTGCGTTCTTTACCCCTTTCATCACCAACGACATTCAATATGCGTATGGTTATGTTTTTGCAGGATGTAACTTTGCGGCTTTCTTCGTCGTCTTCTTCTTTCTTGTTGAATCTAGTGATAAGACATTGGAGGAAGTTGATGCCATGTATTTGTTGGGTGTCCGACCTATTGGAAGTCACGCATTCAAATTTGATGCAGACACGATGGCTACTTTGGGTACTGCCATCAACACCGATTCTATGCATTTGGAAAACAGAAATGGTAGAGTTCAGAAGGTTAATGAGGCTGGTCAGGGTGGAGTTTTCCATGATGAGGGCTTGCCGAGAAATAAGTCTGTCACTGAGAGTTAGGTTTCAGACGTTATTGTGTTATTATTGTGTATGATTTTAATGTTTGATGTTTAATGATTTTTGAAGCATGGCGTTGGCTAGATTCGATGGGGGTTGACACTATAGATATATACCACTAGCATAGCGTTAATTGATCAATGAATTTAAATAGTTAAAAACGAATGACGTATATTCCATGGGAGGTAATAATAGTCTTTCCCATATATTTCAAGTCCTTGCCTTCAGTGCCAATTGTAAGTCCAAGGGAGAATATACTGACTGCATTATGACAACTTGAAGTAGATTATTGTACAAGACGTTGAGACTGTCTAACAATCCAACACATCTCTTCCTTGCATACCTCCAGGGCCACTATTAGATAGTTTCCAAAATCTTACTCAATTGCCATATAACCTATATATGACATGACCACTCAAAATCTCGTTACATATATAAGATCTTACGATATTCTATACCAAGAACTCACCCTCAAGTCCATCAAGTAAGTGGCTGATGTATTGAAACTTCAACACTTTATCGCATATCTCATCGTCATGGCATGTTTATGAAATATGACATTCATTACCAAGCTTCCTGAAGATTTCTGGCTTGTATTATTCAAGATAATTTGTTCAATTTGTGGGGTATGAAAAGCATATGTGCGGGATGCTTGCAAAATGCGGAGAAAGTCTCGCTTCTTTTCAAGGCACTATTTACAAACTTGCGCAAAGCCCGGAAGACGTCAAGAAGGCGATGCAGAGGCGTCTCGTGTATCTTCCGCATACAATTTGGATGCTTCCCAAATGTGAGATATATGCAACAAAAAGAAGGAATAGACGGAAAGGAAAGGCTTTCAGAAACTCCCCGCGATGCGGAACTCACACTTCTATCTTGTGCTTTGCACGTCTCTGATGTAGTACTACAGTACAGTGCCGAGCACTTGCAAGTATCTGCATCCATCCAGACTTTTACCGATGGCTACCGTGGTTTCCGAAATCTAGACGGGTGAAAACCATGTGCTATCTGCGGATCAAAATCCGGGTATTCAACACTGTCACACTGGTAACTGCTTTGCGAAAATGATAAACTTCCACCAGCAATGAGCTTTCGCTATATTCTATAAGGTCGTTTGATATGTATTTAAAGCTTCCGCAATCGTAATGGCTACCTAGAGACTCCAAGAAAAGCACAGGAACTATCCCGCATTTTTCAATTTATCAAATCCGCAACCAATATTACAAAAGATTCGTAGAAATAAGTCGCATGCTTATGATACTCTTCCCAAAAATCTCTCACTCACGCCTATACGAACCTTACTTGCGTCTTCGGAGGTACCTCTAGAAACTTCCAGAATACCTCACACTCTGCCAAGGGGTACTCTTAACTTTTTCTTGTGCCTTGTAAGGTTTTCACGAGTGTCGCATACCTTCGTTGCTTTCAACGTGGTGCATGACCTACCCAAAGCTTGCTCAAAAATATGTAGAAGCATTGTGAAGAACGGATGGAAGCATTTTAAGAAGTACACCCAAGGACAATAGATATTCACTTGAACCTACCTCCTTTATATACCCAAACAATTCATATCTCTTCGTCAATAGGACACGAGAAAACCTGCACTTTCGCGCAGTGGTTAGGAGTGACACGCCGGGTCCTGTAATAAACCCCCCAGGGAGAAAGAAGGGTTTCCCCATTGTCGCCTCGAAGGCGGCCATGGTTTTGCCAGTTTGTCCTTTGCTCTTACTGATAATTTTCCTGCGCTCGTTTCTGTTGCCTTGGAAGTTTTGTTTTGTTTTCGAATTTCGAGGAGTGGAAAAGTGGAGGGAGAGAGGCGTGATTGTTGGTTGTTTACTTTGATAGAAGAAGACGAGACGAGAGTTGAAAGTGAAGCGAAAGGAACCATCCGATATTTCTGTCGACTTCTATACTTTGTATACCTAACCCTTTCTCTCCTGGCACTGCACCATTCCAACCCTCTCATTGATGTACGCCTTGATCATACTTGGAGTTCTCAGTCTGTTCACTTGGTATGCATATATACCAACTGAAGTTTGTGTGGATATACTCGAGTATTAGTGACAACAACTCCCACATGATTTGTCGGCGAGCCAATAAAACGAATCCAACTCCTGGGCATTCGCACAGTACTTTACAAACTACCACCAGGATCGCTCGCCAGTACTGGAAGGCTAAAGCACATACGTGTGTGTGTGTAAAAGTGTATTTTGAAACGAGTTCCTTGAAAAGATGCTTTGAGACAAGCCATCTAAAATTTCCTCGTTGATCTCAATTTCTATGAACATACCAAGGAATCATCTCATCGTCTTGTTGATTAATTACAGTACTCAGTATGATATCTGAATCATTTGAATATATTCGAGTGGCAAAATAGATGTTTCTGATGAGAATATCTGTTCAGGGACCGATAATGTGATAATATTCACTGACCGGAGTTATCATAACAACTTCTCTACATCCTTAGTCACAATCTGCCGGATATCCTTCTTGGCCACTATCGATATCAACGTGTGAATCGTGAATCATTCCTGCCAACAACTTGGCTCTACCCTCCAGCAAATAGTATAACCTTACAGTCTTATCAATGAATAACACATAAAGCTCTCCAAGACAAAAAAAAAAAACAACATAATATTCGACACGTAGCAGCCAACGAACCCAGCCTAGCCAAGCCACTCTCTCACTGCTGAGAGTTTATATTCGGATATACGGTATAAATACGGAGTATGTGCCCTCCCCAACTTCCAAGTAACTTCCATTCCAACCAATCCAATTGCCCAATATCCATCAATCGGGGTTTAGCCAAGCTGAAACCCCGACCGACATATATGCATACAAGACTTATGCCATTGATGCCGCTCTTAGACATACTGTATGGTTTGCCGTGTTGCCGAAATCCCCACACAGACAATACAGACATAGACGTTGGTTGGATTGGGGCAGAAGATCATAAGATCATAAGATCATAGCATAAAATAGATTCGAATATTCGAGTATGCATGGGAAAGAGATATGGTTTCATTGAAATCTATCAAATCTCCATTATTTACTCACTCATATATCGAAGGGATCGACCCTAATCCTAATCCGATCGACAGTAATTACTTTTATGGAAATGAGAATACCGTAAATAGCTTTTAACGTCTATTTTGCACTGCCCTCTTTAATAAACTCCAATCGCTACGCCTTGTGATAATAATTTTTACGTCATGAATCTACCCTACACCCTACAGTACCATCCAACCACTCAAACCACTCAAACCTACCAAATATGAAGAAGTTTCTTCACCAGAAACAAGTTTAGAACACACATAGAACAAAATAACCCAGCAAGCTCTACCCTTCCCTTACCCTTCCTTCCCTTACCCTTCCCTCCCCAAAAGCTTGAAAATCCAACGTCTTGGAGACCCGAGCCCCCTGTTAAAAGTAGGTATCATTCTCCATTTATTTCATGCACTTCTGAATCACAGATATTTCATAATTAATACACCCATATTGGGTGACCGGGCGGGCACTACCGTAATAGAATGGAATAGATTGAGCTTATTTTGTAAAAGTGAATCTGTATCTGTTATTTCATTTTTATATGAATGTTTGAGATCTCCCTTTATCATATATACCACCAAACAATCCAAACAATCCAAACAATCGGAACAATCAATCTGTGAGCGAAGAGATAATATACGAGGACTCCAGCACATACGGTGTGGAAGAATAAGGATACATAGTTAAGCCACTGCATATTAGGCGTCTACATACGGAGTACTCCAAGCCTTATACCGAATGGGAAGGAATACAAGTAGAGAAGTCAGCAATCAAGTCGTTGAATCTCACAAAAACGGTTTTATACTTTTAAATCTTCTCAACTATCTCATTCCTTATAAAGGGTTCCTTTTACCTATACCCTCCCTACCTATCCATTTACTATACCCATCACTGCTCTTACTTCTCTCCTACGAGGAGTAGCAACTCAAAAAAAAAAATGACAGGCTCATTCTGGAACCACGTCCTATCATTTCGAAGACCATCCTCCTCGACTTCAATATCTACAACATCCGACTCTATAGATTCCTCCTCAAGCAGCAGTGTTCGATCCGGCCATAGAATATCCCGAAAGCGACCAGAATTATTTGGTGATTTCGAGTATTCCTTCAAGAACGACAGTATGAGTGCGCATATGCAAGAACCTCTGGGGGCGGAGAGGAATTCCTTGGGTAAGGATACGGGATTTCCAGAGCCTTTAAGTCATGGTACGTTATTATTCTTCTTGCTTCTCTTCTCATTTTGGTGTTGGGTATATGTATGACGAGGTTCAGAAAAGCTGACACATGATAGATCGTAATACAACTTTACCACATCCCGAAGCAGATACCTCCCCATACGCAACACTTGAATCCACAGAACTTGATCTCTATCGTTCTCATTCACGACTTTCCCTCAAAAGACTTCATAGCAAACATAAAGGATCAAATCTAAGCGTGCCCTTACACGATAACATCCAGTATTCAGATGGTACTCATGAACATGGCGATTTGAAGACGATAGAAAAGGACGTTGAGAAAAGGGATGACCTGGTCGATCCACCGAAGACTGTAGAGGAATATGTAGAAATCGAGGATGTAGATGATCAGGGATATAAGCCTGGAGAAAGAAAGAGGGGTGTGTTTAGGAAGTTGAATCTACACAAAGTTTGAAGGATGAGCTGGACAAAAGGATCCGGAGTTGAATATGGGAAGAGACATTTTGATGAACACAGAACACAGAATGCAACACAAAATTGTGCGGGATTTTGATCAAGCAAGCGAGGAGTTCAAAGGGATTTGGAGTTCGGAGGTCCGGAAGGTTGATATTGGTATCCCTTTGTAATTATTTCTTTCCCACAACAGAGTCGTGGAGTAGCTTCATTTATAGCTCATGGCAATAAACCAAACTATGTCATTCCAAACTAACTTCCTCGATATGTTGTATAACTGTATGGACCCAAGAGTAGTGGAACATGGAAATGTTCACCTCCCTTGACTGAGAAATTGAGTTCGACGAAAGGGAAGAATGTGTTTTCCAATCCATAATATGTGCCAGTTTCGAATCGCAGTTTCCAGATGCTTACTCCCGGGAGGGTCTTGATTATTCCACTGACTTTCTCGGTTTCATGCTGCCAATTAGCGATTCGACCATCGGTATTCGTTGTGGCTCGAAAGACGATCGACTTGTCAAGATCGCTGCTCAAAGTGACATTGATTCCCGCAGCTGGTCGACCAGTAGTGGTATCGAGGGCATGGCACGTAATTGGGTCTCTCTCTGCCATTTTCGTGATGTGTGAAGTAAATGATTGAGGGGTAAATTGTGAGGATATAGCTTGTACACGTTCGTTGGAATGTTCGGAGGTGGGGTTGCGGGGCATCGACCAAAGATGGTTGAGTGAGGATGGCTAGCAGAGGAAGGATTATTCTCTACTCGTACCGGATTTGAAATAACTAAGGATAACAGAAGTCGTCCGATGGAGGATGTGATTGAAGAGTCAATTAACAACTTTCGAGGGATACATTTTTTATATCTGCAAGAAGATTGGTTTTGAAAAGTAAATAATGAAAGCTTGCCTCGCAAATCGGAGATGGCCGGTTCAGCCTTGTGAACGGAAGTAAAGGCTAGCTATAGCCACCAGCCTTGAAGTTTAATAGTAAGTCTTACTTTAGACCTACCTGGATACCTTAAAGAGAATGTTATTGATCTTTACCAAGGCGACGAGATGGTTTGGTTTTCCAAGTTGGTTTGATGTATGATTTGGGAATGTTTCGATCCAATGATTACCTAGGTAGGTAGGTATAGGTAGCTTATCTAAGAGAGCTTCCGAGGCTAGCGAATCAAATCACTAGCGCACTGTGCATTTGACAAGTTGCAAAAGAATACGTCAGAAGGCAAAAGATAAATCTAGAGCTCACCAGAACTTAATCTCGAGAGGCCACCTCCTTGTCTTTGGACTCGTCTTTAATTATTGTCACATTCTTCCTTTTCCTGCCCCCTTTTGCCCATCAAACCAGTCTTAGATATACTGCGCATTCTCACACATTCATCCCACCATCAATCAAAATGTCCTCCGCAGTAATCAACACCGATGATGACGATCAACTCGAACCTAGTCTCCAATCCATTCTTGACCAAAAGTCCCTACGCTGGATCTTTGTCGGTGGAAAAGGGGGAGTAGGAAAAACCACTACATCATGTTCCCTAGCCATTCAACTCGCCAAAGTCCGTCGTTCAGTTCTTCTCATTTCAACAGATCCAGCACATAACTTGAGTGATGCATTCTCTCAAAAGTTTGGAAAGGAAGCCAGACTTATAAATGGATTTACTAACTTAAGTGCCATGGAAATTGATCCTAATGGGAGTATCCAAGAGCTTATGGGACAGGCTGAGGAGGGTGAGGGACCTGCTGCGGGTATGGGGGGAATGATGCAGGATTTGGCTTTTGCTGTTTGTTCTCCTTGCTCCCATATGATTTGAGTTGATTTTGTACTAAAATTTTCGCCAGATTCCAGGTATTGATGAAGCTATGTCCTTTGCAGAAGTTCTGAAACAAGTCAAATCTCTCTCATACGAAACCATCATCTTCGATACCGCCCCTACAGGCCACACCCTCCGTTTCCTCCAATTCCCTACCGTTCTCGAAAAGGCTCTCGCAAAAGTCTCCCAATTATCCACGCAATTTGGGCCCATGTTGAATGGATTACTTGGAGCCAATGGGGCCCTCCCAAATGGACAAAACCTCGGCGAAATGATGGAGAAATTAGAAGGTCTTCGCGAAACCATCTCAGAGGTAAACGGACAATTCAAAGACGAAAATCTCACTACTTTTGTCTGTGTCTGTATACCTGAATTCCTTTCCCTCTACGAAACCGAGCGTATGATACAAGAATTATCATCCTATCAAATCGATACCCACTGTATAGTGGTCAACCAATTACTTTTCCCCAAGAAAGGAAGCGATTGCGATCAATGTAATGCGAGAAGGAAGATGCAGAAAAAATATCTGGAACAGATCGAGGAATTATATGATGAGTTTAATGTGGTGAAGATGCCATTATTGGTTGAGGAGGTTAGAGGAAAGGAAAGGTTGGAGAAATTCAGTGAGATGCTTATTACGCCATATATTCCGCCTACTGGAGGATTGTAGATTATTAGAAAGATGATGATACAATGAATGAAGAATTAATACCCATCTTCCTGGCATCTTGTCTGACATGTTACCAGAAATTCACAAGTAAGCAAGTGTTGCAAGTATTTGTCTTGTACTCACCAAGCTCTAGCTGCTGCGTTCTTCTAACAGTTACCAATGATATCATTGGTTCTTCGCTAGCTAGAAGTCTCGACTAAACCCCTGATCAACAAATTCTACCTAGACATTATTTTGAATATCGCACTTCATTTCAAACATTTTCAAAGTGCTCTCCAAAGGTTGCTCATCTGTCGCGAGTTCCTTCATCTAAATGGCAACCACATCATCGCATCGTTTTTGTTCCTCGTCTGCTTTTCTTCCCATGTTCTTTTTTCGGCCATCTAAGCATATACCCCGAAAGATCCATCGTATCTAAGGAAGATTGTAGTATAGCTCTTAGGTACACACACCTTCGTCTGTTCCCATAGGGATGTTTCCTCATCTATATAACCATTGCATCATTGCATCATTGCATCATTTTGTTCAACGCCAGCTGTCCTGCCTTTCAGCATTTCCTCCCATCTGAATGATCAAGATACGATCAAAAGTCACACTCCAAAAGATCCACCGGTTTCAACTTAAAAACCCTCCCAATTCTCTTCTTCTCCTTATAACACAACCTCCCATTTGCCCACAGCTCTCCCCCAAACGTCTCGTTCAAATCCTTCATTACTTGCTCCATTTCTTTCACATTTGCCCCATGTTCTAATTTCTTCACCCAATGGTCCTGCTCCCAATACGTCCATCCATCCCATGCCGTATTCACACTAACCAACCTCTTTACCCCTTCTCCCAAGTACGCATCATTGCCCGGTGTGGCCGCCTTACGGAAAAGCTCCATCCATTCAGAATATAACCCCCAAACATCTTCCGCATCTTCATTATCACACGCTAGTAACTCCTCGCTTTTCCACCTCAAGTGTATAGCTTCCGAGACTCTTTGCATCCATTTAACATCCAAATTCATCTCCTCTGTTCTCATGGGGTTGATTTGTACCCACTTTAAACTACCCCATGTTTTCCCTTCGGTGCTCTCATCACGAATACTCCCCTTCCCACCGATTCTCGAAAACAACATTTCCGCCCATTGCAAATCATCCGAATCGATCAAGTCGAGATTGACCTGTAGAGATTGGATATGCATAAAGACATCTTCGCCTAGGCTTCCCAGACGGAAAAGTAAATCGGCGGGCCAGAGACCCAGGGAATTGACTCTCCAGAGTGAGATGATGGCTTCATTGTACAGCTGAACACATGTACTTAGAAGAGCGAGAGCGGGGAGAGGAGAGCTTGAGAGACAGATGTCGTTTTGAGGATCGTAGGGGAGGATTTGATAGGTGTTTTTGAGGGTGCAGCGATAGGTGATGCAATTGTATTGGGTTTGAAAGGCGTATCCATAGATTTCGTCGCGGATCTCGCGGGGGATATCGATTAAGAAATTGGGAGGTTTTTTAGCCTTCATTTTGAGCCGAAATATTAAGGCTGAGGTAAATGTTTGGATGGAAGTTGAGAATCGGGATTTGTGGATTGTGGGATTGTGGGATTGTGGAGGGGATGATGGAGATGGAGGAGGGGTTCGTGGGGATTAGAGATGGAAAAAATAAGGATTATGTTGTCGCATACTGAAAGTGAAGTCTGCACAGTGAGAATAGAAAAAGTACTATGTCACCTGGAGAATCTAGAGGTGAAGAAAATGTACTAGTAATTCTTACATTCGCAGCTTCATTATGCATCATTGATTGCGTGGCTTACTTAAAAGGTAACCTTCCGCGCTGGTAATCCGCAATTTTGATATTTGTCTGATGATCTTCACATGGATCAAATTAGTGAATTGGTCCTATTTTAAGACTGAATTTTTGACAATATTTGAGATGATATAATTCTAGGAGTCTTGGATGATAGAGACGGTTACCGGTGGCCCCAATGATCATGATTAAGTTTGTCCCGGCTGTTTAAATTCGAAAGCTTTGGATGTTCTACGAGTAGACTTAGAATCTTTGAACATGGCTTGATACTTGAAATCGACTCAATACTACGCAAGCAACTCCCTATCTATCTATGTCTAGGTATAATGGTGATTTCCCCATCTCTCGGATCAAGCTTAAAATCCTTCACAACCTGCTTCCCTTCCTTCAAACACAAAACTCCGTCCACATACAAATGTCCCCCAATTGTGTTATGCATCTTATGTAACAGCTTCCCTGTATCTGTCGTATCAATCAACATCTCTGCCAACCATTTCCTCTTTCCCCAAGGTGACAGTCGAGGCCAACTAGTATTTACCATCCAAGTCCAAGATCCATTGTTTGTCGAAGAAGTATCAGGATACCACTGGAATAACCTCCCATCAACTATCTCTCCATTCTCCATCAAGTTGAGGATATTATCAAATTCAACTTTTGTTTGTGGCCGTTCTTTGCTCGCTTTGATCGTAATTCCATGTAGTTTTTGCAGAGACCCTGCCGCTGCTACCAAACTCCGCTCAACCCATTCTAATTCATCCCAATCTATCACCTCCAATTGTATAGTTATATGTCCACATGCTCTTTCGCCACGCAGTGAAAAGATGTTTCCGAATTTCGATCCTAATTCAGGAAACTCCCGCAAGTTCAGTCCTTTGTGCTCCCAAATTATATCCTTACCTTCTCTATGTATTTGTTTGCATGTTCGAAGTATCAAAAGTGATCGCGCGACTTCGATGGACCATGGTAAAAGGGTGATGACACCATCCGGGCCTGCGAGAATGTAGGTGTAGATTGAGTCGCGGATCTCTCGTGGTAGTATTTGGAGGAAGGAGGAAGACATATTGATAGAAGCCAGTATATTTGTTCGTATGTCGTCTATGGATGGATAATCTTTCGTCGTCTGGAGGTGTTTTGATTCTTGGAAGGGGTCCTTTGAATTCAGAAGTTGCCTTCGGAGCCTTACTCACAAAATCCTCAAAAACGCCCCTCGCCCCAGCGCAACGAGCGTTCTTTCAAAACCCCCGAAGTAGTTTTTTCTGAGGTCCTGTAGACTCCTCGCATCCAAAAATGCAATAAAAGTTGTACTTTTCTCAAAATGTAAAACGTTGATTTGGCCGGAGACATGCAACAAATCTTTTTGAAAGTTGTGGTTGTAGCAGCCTCAGATTGTGCTTAAGCGCCACAACACAGAATAGTCTGAGGACCAGATGATAGTTGTTCTCGGTATGAACATCCTACAGAGCATGTAAGTGTTGCAGACCTACCTCAAATACAATTGGACTGTTGTTGTATAATCTGTAGCATCTTGCTGGCTCCCATGAACTTGTAGCGGTGCAATTATGAAGGATTGATAGATCTACCAATCTCAGACCAGAAAATGCTAATATGGCGGACGAGAAATCAATTTTGACGGATCTAAACGCTTATACGCAAATAGGGTGTTGAGTAATGATGTGCCAAATATGTAAAGGGTTTTGTATGGTAAGGTCTCAGAATTTGGTAGCAGGTTATTGACGCATTTTCGCGATTATAATTCCAACCCCACTTTACGCGTCAAAACACGCGTCGCGACTCTAACATCTTCATAATCTCCGTTACTCCATCAACCAACTTATACAAATTTTGTACCAAGTAATCAACACCTTCAATTTTACAATTTCACCTTCGACGTAATCATAAACTTTGCTTGTATACTTTGCTTGTATACTTCTTGCCTTTCATCTTTTGGTTATTCTTGCTTCACCATAATTACAATCATGCCTTCTGCGATTAAGAAAAGGAAGGTCGCGGCGACTACCTCGAGAAATGCAGCAACTACCAAGATTCAACCATTAAGTTCTTTTACTACAATCTCAAAAGCAAGTACGAATGCAGGAGCAGATTCCATTATTGATAAGAACAAACAAGTCGATGGCCTACCAGTTACAGTTACTGAATTGGATAAGCCTTCAACAAATTTGAGGAAGAGGAAGTTGGATACCGAGGAGGAACCAAATGTCATTGAGATAGCAACGACTGTGAAAGATATTAAAACACGTCCACAATCGATCCTTCCATCAAAAGTTCCACAGACACCACAGAAACTCATTAAAACGACCTCAATTACGACCGAAACCCCAACCAAAGGCGCGCGCACGCTTCTCGATCGGCTACTTCTACAAACTCCAAAAAGACCAGTGCTGAAAAGACCTTCGCTCTCACCTCTGCGTTCCATCTCTTCGAGCTCTGGCTCAAACACATCGATACTTCCACCTAAACATTCACAAACCCACGCCAACGAAGGCAAGGGCGAGGAAGAGGCAGAACCACAAGAAGACTCTATACAATCCCTTCCTACTGAACTCATCGAGATCATAAACCTACACGCCTCCCTTCTTACAACCCTTACCCTCCACTGCGCCCACAATGGATCCAACGCACCCGCAGACCTACGAAATCTCTGTCCAGATATCGCCCGAGCATGGGGAAAGCGCAAAGTCATCCTGGACGACATCCGTCAGGCTCTTGGCATCCTGAATTATTACATCAGCACCAGTGCAGAAGATCAAAAGCTTTCTACAATAACACTCTCGGACTATGGATCTGGGAAAATATGTGTGGAAATTGAAGCTGAGAATGGAAAAGGGAATAACCTGAGGCCGATTGACGAAGAGAGACTTAATGGCATATTTACCCAAGGATTGATTGCTCGATGGGAGGCGAAGGGGGAGGATATCACCGTGGATGCATTTACGAAGGAATTGCCAATAGAATCGATCACGCCCTGCTCTTCACTCTCGAAGATGACACCCCTCCTTGCCAAAGGTCAACGTCGACTCGAAGACATGAAAGCCGGTGTTATCGTTAAAAGGGATCTCAGAAAAACAAAATCTTCGCCCGCTCTCATTGAAGCCGCCACTTCCACTTCCACCGAAAAGAAGCCTACCCTCCTCGAACGTCTCCGCGCCAAACAACTCCGCCAGTCTCTCCTCCCCCAAGCCCCCTCTCCCGCACAAGTAGCTCGCAAAGCAGCTTTGTCAAGAATGGAGGAGGTGGTGAAGGTCCTCAGTATTCTTAGTACATCAGGGTCAGCTGGTCAACAGAGAATTTCCTTCACAATGCCGACGTTGATTGGAAAATTGAAGGATTCGTTCAAAACTCCTATATCGAAAGATGAGGCAATCACCGTTGTGAAACTATTTGCGGAAGAGATTGCGCCGGAATGGGTTCAATTGGCAAAGATGGGCAAGATGGAAGCGGTAGTTTTTGATAGGGAGAGAAGGGTAGGGGAGGAGGGTATTAGGGAGAGGATTCAGAAAGCCCAGAGTGCTTAAGTTTATGTTGAGTTGGATATTGAGAAAGTACGAGGGGCTATGAATGGGTGTTTTGAGTATTGTAAATTTCATGGCTTGGAAAAGATACCCCGGTTTTTGTATAAATAATATACATAGTATGATATGGCTAATCGGATTTCATGACCGGCCAGGGGATAACGGGTAAAGGACTAAGGAACAAGGCGCCAGGAGGATGAACAGGACGTATATAGATACTAGATAGATTCAATGCAACAAATGGTTGCTATAAGACGTTGTTCTGTCTTCTAATTGCTCAGGGTGGAGTCAATATTTGAAACATCCGCTTGTCTTCCGTGCTTGAGACTGCATTATCAGTTCTGCAACCCGATGAGGTACCAGTACCTGCGTATCTTTCTTTTGGTATCACAAGGCGCTTCTTTATGCTGTAGTTGATGTCCCTGGCTAGGTCTACGCATGGATTTCAGATGTAAGTAAGAATAACATCACCTTTTCAAGGTAAGCAAGCAATAGTAATGGAAGTTCTTTTGGGCCTATTTTTTATTCATAGTAGTGAAAATATATGAGAATGGGTTCAAGTGTACATCAAGATAGACATAAGCAAAAGTAGTCAAGGAGCTGCAAATTTTGAAAGAAAGGTTTTGATTGAGTAGATGATGAGTCTACTACAGTAGACCATCATCGTCAGACGCAATAAATTGTGACCCAACGCAATGGTACTTTTCAATCTAATGCCTTCATATGTTCCTTCAAGTATGTCATCTAACCATAAACTCCATAACTTAAATCGTCCACCATCCACAAATTCAATTCATAGAAGTCGCTCTTCAAAACATCACATCGTTCGTATCTACTCATCATCCTCCCCACCTGGAATACCACTCTTAGGAGTACCAGTCTTAGGTGTCCCGCTCGGTGGTCCAGATGTAGGAGGCACAATCTTGATCGTCGTCTTAGCAGGCGCTGCCTTTGCTACAGGGGCAGCACTCTTCTTTGGTCCCCCGAATTTCGAACCTCCAATATCATTTCCACGTAACTTAACACCCAAGACTCGCTCCATATTGTTCAGGACTTTTTGATCAGGAGTAGCGACACCTCTTTCCATATCGTTGACGATTTTAGGGGTGGTGTTGCAAAGTTTGGCGAGGTCAGCTTGGGTTTTGATGTTTTTGGCCTTGCGACCGTCTTGGATGGCGCGGGCGACATCGGGACCGACGGTTTTGGGCTTGATGATTTCATCGGATCGGTCGACTTTGGTGAGATGTTGACCTTCTGCTGAAGCACCCTATTCGTAAAGTGGGTTAGTTTATGATTCGCTGCGGCCCAAGGAAAGGCTAGTGAGGGGTCCTGTGTGGTGGAGGGGTAAATATTGGTAGAGGGATAAACTTGACTTACAGCATTACCGGAAGCAAATTTCTTCTCAGTGGAAATGGCTCCTCCAGATCTCTTAGCAGCATTCAATGCAGAGGATCCTCTAATGACCGTCTCTCTGTTTGCGCCAGCTCCACCACGGACATTGTTTCCAATCTTTGTTACTGACTCCCAGTCTTCCATTTTGATTGATTTGCGTGGGGGAAAATTGACAAAAGGTGTTGCCTAAAGGAGTAGATGGGTATTGGAAAGGGTCTTTATGAAAGTTTTGAAGATATTTGCCACTGATGTAGTTGTATTGTATTGGAAAGAAGCTGAAAAAGGATTGATCGATGACTTCAATTTGTGGCAATTGAAAGTGCTGTGCTCTCGCCGAATGAATCAGATACAAAAAGAATTTCTTATGTAAGCAGGGCTAAAAGGTAAAGTTACGTCGTCGAGCGGTGAGTCTGTCTGTCTGGTAGTAAGTTGCCAGTCGCAGTTGGTCAAGTGGCAGTATATCTTTACCCTTGTAATAAGACTCTCGGACTCTCGGACCCCCCATCGACCCCTTCCCTTGTATGTTTTCAATGTTCAGACAATATCAAAACATCATTCCTTCTCTATTGTACGAGGACTAAGACCTCGATATATATATACATTCATGGCGATTCTTCAATATTTGGCTCTGATATCTATCTTCAAATCCAACAGCTGAAAGTACTTGAAGAAGAAAATGTATCATTAAAGAGCTCAATTTCGCCTCCCTTAACCTTTGATTTCCAAACCCCGCCATGGGTATTTCCTATCTTGCATTTAGCTCAATTGCACTCATTGGGTTGATCGGATCAGCATCCGATATATCAATTCTTTCTGCCTTTACTTTCATACAGAATAGACATTTCTGTGTACAATTATTCCAAACTTATGTCGATTCTTCCACCATTATCACCCTCACCGCGAGTTTCGCTTTTCTATTTGCCCTCTTGCAAATTGCTCGATATATTCGAGGTCTTCAGGTAGCCCCTACAAATTTAGATGGTCAATTTCTTAAACCCATGCTCTTTCCTACAAAGACAAGCCATCTAAGGTTGTCTCCAAAGAAACATGGTTTTTCGTACTCCTACCTCTTAACCGGGATACCGATCGGATGGACAGGATCTTCAGGGGGGATGATTTCAGCCGACGAAAGTAAGGAAGTTACCCCATGGTATAAGAGACTATTCTCACTTCAACCAATGAGTCCTTGGTATGTTGTTGATGGAGATGCTTATCTAGAGAGAGGTCATGTACTTGGTGGATTGGAGGGGAAGTTGAAAAGGTTTCTTCACGATCAGGTAATTCGAAATCTTCGCCTTTCAAGGACTCGGCTGACAAGATCCAGAGTTTAGATCATGAAGATTATCCATATGCATATCTCATGACGTCCTCAAGATTTCTAGGGTATCAAAATAATCCTGTGTCGATATGGAATCTTTACTCAAGGGACAGAGAAATGAGAGCTGTCCTTCTTGAAGTCAATAATACATTTGACGAACGGCACAGTTATTTCGTCACACCAAAAGATGCAGAACCCTCTAAGATCGAGGAAACAAAAAACAAACCATCAAGATTTACAAGTAAATGGTCCAAGGAATTTTATGTATCTCCATTTAACTCCCGAACTGGTTCCTATTCTATCTCAGCAACCGATCCATTCTTCCCATCGCTTTCTGGAAGTAATCCTCTCGACCTCACCCTAATACTCAGCTCCACTGAACGTCCATTCCTAGTCGCGAGAGTCTTTTCCGATGGGCCTGCACTCGACCCCTCTACCATGTCAGTATTGCAAAAGACTCAATTTCTCTTATCATGGTGGTGGGTGGGATTCGCTACATTTCCTCGAACATTAGTCCAAGCATCCAAATTATTCTTCACATGTTCATTACCCTGGGTCTCACGCCCGGAACCACTCAAAGCGACTCTCTCAAGACATGCCGATACAACTCAGAAGTCTCTCGAGATACCATTTCGGCAATACCTTCAACAGCTCATCGAAGCGGCCGAGGATCCGTTGATTTTGAAGTACAGACCTGCCGGGCTTCTAGATAATACGACAGAAATCATGTATTCACCTTCAGCTCAAATGTCTCCAGAATTATCAAAACTTGTCGAGATTTCAGTCTTAACACCGATCTTCTATACTCAACTCATCAAGTATATCGACATTGTCGACGCTCTCGAATCAGAATCAAAAAATGAAATTGTATCCATTTCGAATATTGATGTTTTATGGACACGACGCGTAAAGTCAGAGATTCAGTCGGCAGTACCACCAAAGGAATATATTCCATCAGGTGTCGATACCCTCACCTATATGTTCTTCCGAATAATCCAATCTGCTCGCATTTGCCCCCGTCTTGAACCTACTGTCAGTCTTTTTTCGTCTTTTGATAAATATATCCTTACGCAAACCGATCATGCCACTTCATCGTCATACAGAAAGATAATGTTCAAGATGTGGCTCAGTAATTGGATCGCTCTAGGATGGGAAGATCTATTGGATTTCGAATGCTGGTTGATGAAACTTGGAATTCTTTGGTGGACAGCAGGAAAGCTGAAGTAGATGCTGGTGTGAACGGAATCTTGTATACTTTCGAGAGAATAGGCGGTGTTAGGAGTAGTGCACGATAGATGCAGATGTGACGAGATGATTGAAAAGCAGTATAGCGTAGATACCACACCAATAGATCAATTAGACCTAATACAGCCGTTATGATTTTCTCCACATCCCCGGTGAGCTGAGGAAATTGGGAATACGGGCCAATTCCTTTCTGAATTCCTCGCAATGCTGCCATAAAATTTCATATCTTTCATTCTATCTTGGTGTTACAAATATGAATTTTACCATTTCATCACTTCAACACCTCTTCATATTTGTATCTGCAACACGGCCCTCATATAATATTCTATCTACAGGGTATGAAAAGGATTTTCTGAAGCTTTCACTCTCAAATTTCATATCCAAACGAATTCGAGTGCGCGAGTGCGCAGTCTGTTAAGAAGAAGGTAAACTAGGTTACATTATGTCTTCAACACTTATACCACTCATTCTTATGCTCCCATCCCATACATATCATATCATATCATGTCAGCCACGTTTTGACCTACCCATTGTACTCATCTCATCTCATCTGGCATTTTTTATACATTTTCACACCCACTAAACAAATCAAAACACTATCACTGTTGGTTATACCATCCGGCTATGCGTCTTACTTATTAAATGACATAGAATCAATATTGTCTATCCCCTTTTGTATACCTTTTCCTAGCAATAATCTCAGAATGCTTATTCTTGGAAAAGTTTATCCGTCGGTAATGTATTATGCTTTTTGTGTTAGTCTTTGGTGTATGGGTATTGCGCCGTCTACATTCAATATTTGAGTGGATTTCTGGGCTCGGTGGGTTGTGGATAGGGATATGAAAATGGATAGAGATGATTCACAGCATTGGCAAACTTAAATCTAATCCATGCCCACTGGAATCGACATCCCCTGTGATTATCTTCAATAGAAGCACAATGTTAATCGGTATTTTGTCAAACTTTATACTAAATTACTTTTGTCGTATCCTAGATACATATCTTTAACATAACTCATCGAGAGATAATGCGTGATACGTGATACTCACAGACGAAAACCCCTTACTCATCGCTAAGCCCTTCCTTGCGTCTCTTATTGCCACACCTACCCAAAAACCTTCCCGAGGAGTATTTCCAATTGTCTTTTTTGAAAGAAAATGAGGTATCGTGGACAAGTCGAAAGATTTCAATGCTGTAAACCGTTACACTGAAGCTTCGATATCATCTCTCCGCGATATCAACCTAAGTCCTGCTCGACCCCAGTCTATTTCCTCTCTCATCCTATCCTAAATCTATTCATCTCATCTCATCTCATTTCATATCCCATATAATCAAAACACACACTCTTATTATTATTGCACACGAATAAACAAGCAGATAGTAAACATGTCTCGCTTTTGTGACGCAAGCTCATCTCTCCATTGAATCCATGGACCTTCGTACTAGTCGACTAACATGACCGAATTTAGAGAGAGAGAGAGAGAGAGAGAGAGTGAGGCAATCCTCGTATTCCGCTTTCTCGGAATCTACTGCTCCGCAACATAGCAGTCTATGGTTTCCTCAAACTCCATATGGTGTTGTACTATGCTATGGTGTGTGTTCATTCACTAATATTTCATATTATTACATTGTTGGGTTACAAAAAGTGCATATTGATGATTCACAGTGAGCTTACTACCTACATTGTACATCATTCATTCACTTCTTACCACACTTCTCCTCTCATTATCATTCTCATTCCTCTATACACCGCAATCTCTCTCAATCAAAATGTGAGCATAAAGTGCTTTGCACTGCATCCTCATAATTATCTATCTAAATCATACATGTACCTGGCCCATCGAGTAGCCAACTTAGGCGCAATATTTCCAGTTCCTTCATTCGATGACTTGATTTTTGAATCTAGGTTTATTTGTAAATTGCTACTTGTGCTATTTCTTTCTGATATTAATGTATGTATATGATGTCCTCCTTTACACTCAGTTTCATTCTATCTACTCTGATATGATCTTACGCTCTAGTTATGCCATCCCTTCTCTCTCATCTCATCTCTCTCGTCTAATTATACACTCTAATCGACATGTGGTCTCGCTACCCCTAAATAAGACAAAGGACCCCACCCATTATGTTGTCATTCTCCGCCTGTTGTCATTCTCCGCCCTTCGCTCTCCACCCTTCAATATCTATCCCTCATCCTCCAAACTCCATCCTCCACCTATATCATCCCCCTCTCATCCCCCTCTCATCCCCCTCCCAACCCATTCCCATCAAAATCAAATCCCACCCCCAAATTCCCCCAAAACTTACACAAAAGCCAACTGGTACTCCACCTTCCCCATCAACATCCTCCCATGAACATCCTCCCATCTTCCATCCTCCCATCCTCCAATCCTCCCACTACATCCCAGACTCCTACAATACAATATCCCGCTCAAACCCTGTATCTATCTATTTACCAAAAATCATCACATTAGCACTAACTTTATAATACAAAGCCGGTACCATATTTTCGAAAACCTTAGCTCTATGTTCAAGACTTCAAGTTATTAGCTAGGGTGGGCAGGTATCAACGAGAATGTTATTCTTACTGGGTTTGTTTTGTCATTTCTATTATCACTAAGTAGATAATTAGATAAATATAGGTACAAAAACTGATTATTTGTTTTATTTGTTTGATGTGATGTGATCTGATGTGACGCTGGCTTATTCAAGTTCCTCTAATTTGTATCTTGTGTGTCGTGTGTCGTGTGTCGTGGTTTGTTATTGATACTGTAAAATCATATGTGAGCCTAAGATACAGCATGTATCTTTCTTCGTTCCTGATAAATCATATTTGTGACATCTTATGCTATACTCAGAGTACCATTCTACTTTATACATAATCTACATATTTTATTCATCGCCTCTTATTCCTCATCCCATGCCATCTAACTCCACCTCTTCACCCCCCCCCCCCCCCCCCACCAAGAAATCGCAATCTCAACCCCGATCCCTCCCTTCCCCCTCATCCCTCCTTCCTCCTCCAAACTTTGCATCCATATAAGTTATAATGCGAAATCGCAATCTCCCTCTCGCTCTCGCTCTCTCTCTCATCTCTTCAATACCTGTTTCTCCATTTCCATTTCCATATATACTCACACAATAATATTGATTTTGATTCCCGAAGAACCTATATCTATATACTAGCAATACATACCAATGCTCTATCTACAGATCGGATATCTATCTATCCACCAATCCATTTAATGTTCCTTCCCTCCCTAAACCTACCTTCATTACATATATCATTCGTTTCCTAACTTTTGTATCTTATACCCCCTATCTACCTCCTACCTCCTACCTCTTACCCCATATCCCATAATATCCACATACTATCTGCTCAGCTTTTAGCTTTTAGCTTGATCAACAGCATGATCAACAGCTAGATCAAATACGGCTGGAGTTGAGGTCAGACAATATTACTCCGAATTAACCAAATCCCAATTAATTAAACCCTATCATCTCCCTTGATCTCCTCATCTAATGTCTCTCTCTCTACGCACTCCATTATCATCTTATCCTTGTCCTTATCATCTCATTCCACCCAAATAATCTCACCTCATCCCATCTCATCCCATCCCATCCCATCCCATCCCAATCCCAATCCACCCATTTTTCCCGCTCCGATCCGGACTCTCTCACCATCTTACCTCTATTTCATCATATCCCATTTCTTACTCCACTTCTTATTCCCTATTACCTATTGCCTATTCTCTATATCTATCCCATCTTCCATCTTCCACCATCTACGTCTAATTGAATCTAATCTCTCATCTCTCATCTCTCATCTTTCATCTCTCATTTCTACCCATCTATCCCAATCATCCCATAACCTCTCCCTCTCCCACTCTCCCTCCTCCCTGCCTCTTCTTTTCCATTTTCATTAACAAACACCCCTCTACTATAAACTCTACACCCATACCCCTCACCTCACCTCATCCTACCTCATCTCACCTCATCCTACCTCACCTCACTTCAAATCACCTCACTTCACCTCATCCTACCTCATCCCACCTCATCCCACCTCATACCAAAATCCCCAAAATCATAACCCTCATCCCAAAGTATTTCTCCTCCCTCTCCTTCTATTCCCCTACTCCCCTCTCCCCTTTCCCATTTCCCCATCCTTCCACAAATAAAACCAACCGATAGAAACAAACAAATATCTATATCATATACACACATCATATACACACATATACCTATATATATACTCGAGTATATATATATCAAAAACCTTACCTTATCTCAAGTCATCTCAACTCAACTCAACTTATCTCAACTTATCTCAATTTATCTCATCTTATCCTATCCTATCTCCTCCTATTAATTCACTCATTCGCTCATTCACTCATTCCTCTCAACTAATCTCATCCTATCCATTCACTCACTCATTCATCCTATCCATCCACTCACTCATCCATCCTATCATATCCCTCCTATTCATCCATTCATCTCACTCATTCACCCATCCATTCATTCACTCTCAACAACTCAACAACTAAACAACTCAAACTCAACAACTCATCATCTTCATCATTCTTCTCTGTATATATATATCTCCATAATCTCTTAGGTAGTGTACGTATATGCACGCACTACAATACAATACAATGCAATACAAAGAAGTAGTAGTAGTAGCCTATAGCCCAGCCCGTATCTTGATATCTCAAGCTTTCGTATCCATTCCATCCTATCCCATTCCATCCCATCCCAAGCCTCCCTCACCCCATCAACCCATCAACCCATCAAGCTCTTCCCTATATAAATTCAGGAAACACACTTTGCACGAAAGCTCCAGCTCCACGCTTAAACACCATGTCCATGTCCATATCCATATCCATATCCCCGTCCATAAAAAGAAAAATACACATTAATTCCTCAACTCCATCCCCCATCCCTCTCCATTCCCCCATTTTCCTTTCTTCTTCTTTCATATCCCATCCCATCCATACCCATATTCTCCAAATTCAAAGGCTCATCCACCCAAACATCCCCGTCATCCCCACCAATACAACCGTAGTAACCATCCCCGCCCCAACTCTATCTCCAGTCGTCGGTGGAGTTACCGAATCCAAACTACTTGTACTACCACTCCCCGCCGCACTATTCCCCACACTAGTTCCTCCGGTACTGTTCGTCACAGGAGCTTGAATTTGTTGAACTAAATTGACAAATATTGCACTCATGGCTGCCATTTGTTGTCCCACTCCTGAAGTTCCATCCCAAGCAACACCTTTGCTCCAACTTAATCCACATGTTCTACCAGGAAATGGACTTGAACCGGAACATTGTTTGGCAGCAGCAACTGCTGAAGCCTTGAGATATGGCATGATTAGATCATAAGTGAAAGGAGCCATCTTGGTAGTTGCGGCCAACCATCGAGTGAGGAATGCTTTGAATGAAAACATATCCGTTGTACAAGAGAGTTTTGCTTCGCAAGCGATTTCGTAGGCGATTTTATTAGTGGGAAAGAAATTTGTAAAGGTAGCATTGAGGAGTCCTTTGACACGTTCTTCCCAAATCGCGGAGCCATTTGTCTATTTCTGCAAGTTAGTATCAATATTTCCAAGAGGTTAGATATACCAAAGGGAAGATGACAAAGTAACATACGTAGTTATACATAGTAGCTGCACCGAGTAGATAAACTCCCGAATTGTAAGAGAATTGAACCTTGTTAATATCCGTACAATTCTCTTCAATGTGAGCACCATCAAAGATATTATAATTCTTGTCCATGTATCCAACACTTGTGACCCAATTCCACGTTTCTTCAGCAAACTGAGCGTACGTCTCATTGTTCGTATACCTTGCAAGTCTCGCACCGATATTGAAGAAACATCCATTTGCGATAGAGTTCTTATAATTGTAACCCGTAAGATATGGATAAACTTGCCAACGTAAACTATCAATCATTAGTCAAACCCTTTCACCCCATCTCAAGAATATGGAAACTTACCCTCCACCACAACTAGAATTATCAATTCTCCATGCTTGAGTATTGAAAACGGCCTGAGCCAAAGCCAACCAACCCGGTCTGTCAGAAGGAGGATCTGGAAATTTCGTTTCTGCCGCACTCATAGCTGTCATTCCCCAGAAACCTTGATCATCATTTCCCATAGATTGTGACCAATTCGCCGGCATCATATCATTATTTGCCCCCGTCTGCCATTGAATACCTGCCATCGCATCATCGTTATATGAGGAATCGCCAGTATAATACCAATAATCGATAAGAGTTCCCCACATTGCCCCAGATTCCCACCAATAGTCTAGACCACGAATATAAGTCAGTTCGAGATTTCCTTCTTGGTGTTGTATTTGCGTGTAAGTCTGGAAAAAAAAAGAAAAGATCCTGAACTTACAACCCCAAGAAGGATCTGGTGGAGGTCCAGGTAAAACTCCAGGTATTCCTCCTGATTGATTTCCCTTATAATATGTCATCATATCATATGCTATCGTAGCAGCCGCATTCTTGATTGAATCTGAAGTGAAAGTACAAGATTAAGTCAGTAAATCTGATCATTTCCACATGCCCAAAAGAGTAGGGTAGGAATCATCACATACTATCATCCTCAATATGCAAATCAATCTCAGCATTAACCATCGAAGAACCGAAAAGAACCACTATTGAAGTGGATAAAGCGAATGTGGGAAGCATCATGTCGGAGGTTGTTCGTATATATAAGAGTGTGTGTGTGTAGTGTTTGTATATATCGGAGAAGCAACAACGTTGATGAATTGTTGACTTTTAAGGAAGTTAAAGGATTTACTTAATCTTAGTATGTCGTTGGCCGAAATGATTCAATCAATCAATCAAAAACGAATAGATATCAAATACTTCTATTACAATTTTCTTATTTGATGATAATACATCAATACAGAAAGAAAGTCATTTGATTGACTTTAAGAAGTAGATGATAACAAAGTAAGGAAGGTATGGTAGAATAAAAAGAAAGAGAAAGATTGGATAGTTGTGAGTGAATGAGTGAGTGAGCGAGTGAGAATATAGATCAACTTGTAACACTTTCACTTTTGCTGTTCCTTCTCTTTAAGAACTCATTTATTCATTCTATACTCAAGTACAGTCTCTCATCTAATTTCATATCACGAACTAACTCATGAATTCACGAATTAATTCTTCTTCTTTTCATGGGGGCAAGCCCCCAAACCCCCACAGTTCGCTGCCGCTCGAAGCTTTCCTATCCAATTTGGTAGTCTGCCTCCACGGCAGTGGCCCCCGGAGGGCCAGCGGAGCGTCACTCAATTAATTAAAATTAGAATTAGAATTAGAAAATCAAATGATGAGTTATATTTACCGTACAACTATCTTCAATATATAGATATATTCCAACCATCAAAACATCAAACATCAATAAAAGCTTTTCCAAGCAACACACCAAGAAGCCTCCAGAAGCCAGCCCTAAGAAATCTTACCCGTCCGTCCACTTGTCTACTTACTGTCCTTCACACTACCGGGCCAGGCCTTTACCCCATCCCTTATAAGCTTATCTAGGCCGTATTCTACCTATAAAATACGCCTAAAAGCTTTTTTGGCGGGTACATCCATTTTATTATTATTACATATACTGGTCGATACATTACTCATATCATTTCAAAAATTGGGGTGATTATATTTTATATCTCATATTTTAATGAATATAATGAGTAAAACCTCAGCGTTTTCTCTTTTGATCCCCTCTATCTCTCGATCTCCATCCTCAATCTCTCATCCTCTATCTCATCCCCTTCCCTCTCATTCCCTCTCATTTACCCCTCTCATTCCCTCTCATCCCCATCCCATATCGCATCCCCCATCCTCCTCATCCTATCCTTATCACGCCAAGTCACGCCAAGCTCGCCTATCAATTCGATCATGCATGTAGGTTCCCGCCTGGAATGGAAGATCTTCTTCTTCTTTCCCACAGAACCCCATACTCCGTATCTATTTATGGGGTGTGAACCTTTTGAGGAGAATGGAATGTGGAGATGGAGATTCTGACGACACTTCATCTATATAAGATATTCAATAGATACCCTTGAGAATGAAGGGGAAAAGGCATATATATATTTACTCGAGTAGATCAAGATTAACCTTACCACAATACATGCATAATAGGTAGTAGGTAGGTATCACAAAACAAACCTCAAATCACTTCAAAATCACTTCTCAATCATATCATCTCTCATTGATTAAACCTTGTGTAAGTTCAATATCCTCTTTCAATTGATTAAAGGAGTGTTCCACCGTCTAATCTGACAATGAATCCACTCAAAGTCATGTTTGTTTAATGTAAAAAAACTCCATCTATGGGGTCCATCGTGGTATTAATCCGCCACCAAAAATAATGCCGCAAAAAAGAAAAGCAAAAGCCAACAACCCTGATAATTCTCCTATTTTAATGCTACCCATTCAATGCAAACCCTTAATTCTTCCCATAAACACGACTTAGTTCATCTACAAAGCAGCTGCAATGGCGAAGACGGCTCCAAGGGCAAGAGCAACAGATCCGGTAAGGGATGATGCACCACCTGTGGATTCAGCTGGGGAAGAGGATGAGGATCCAGAGGAAGATCCAGCAGAAGATCCGGATGATCCAGATCCTGAAGTGGAGCTACCAGTGGCGCTTGAGCCAGCTGATGATCGGAGAGTGGAAGCAGTGTAAGTACCATTGGAGGATCCACCAGCTGGGGAACCAGATGAAGCCGTGCCAGTTGGGGAAGCAGCACCCGAGACAGCAGAGATACCGGCTCCCATACCTGAAGGAGAGAGACCAGAACCTGCAGAAGCAATAGCTCCTCCAGTAGCGGCAGATGCGAGAGATGATGCAAGACCGCTGGTAGCAGATGCAGATGCAGATGAGGAGCTGGTGGATGTAGTGTTGGAGCAGCTAAGATCGAACAATGGGGTAGTGCTCAAGGTGCTACCAACAATACCGAATGATGGGGAAACGGAACCAGCAGCGTTTTGATCTTGAAGAGTGTACCAGTATGTGTTGATCTTTCCGAAGTTAGGGCATCCAACATCATCCCAGTAGGTCTTGGCGTTGGCAGCGCTTGCAACACCATCACCGGCAGTTGCACCAGTAACGGGCCATCCGGTCTCAGTAATCCAAACGGTCTTTCCAGTAGCAGATTGTGTAGCGGCCAATGCGGCGTTGAAGAGAGACTTTCCTTCACTGATTCCATTTGCCTCAGTATCTTGGAAGTATGGGTAACTGGATATAATAAATTAGTCATGGATTGAGCAAATCAATGAATGGTAAACCTACGCATCCATTCCAACCCAGTCAAGAGCCTCTGCAACGGCGTTATTGGATCCGTTCACCCAAGCAGTCCAGGTGTCAACGTGTCCGAGGGAAGCTCCACTCAAAGCAGTACCGGCAATTGCAGCTCTAACTTGTTTGATGTAGTCGACAAGGTCGGCAGGGTTGGCACCATATCCAGATTTGGCAGCGATACCAGTTGGAGAATTTCTGTATAAATCTTCGGATCCAACAGAAATACCAACAACACGGCTTGTGAAAGCGGTACCATATTGTTCGATGGCTGCCTTGAGAGCGTTGATCTCAGCAGTAACTCCGGCCGCTCCACCAGATGCCCATAAACCAAGAAGAAGAGTTGTGTCCGAGGCAATAGCAGCTGGGATAGCTGAAGTTGGACCGGTAGTGTCACCTTGCTTTAAAAAAATGTCAATATCAATCGGAATGGTAGGAAACTTTCTTGAAAAACTTACGAGCATGGTGTATAATCTGGCACTGGTGAAACCAGAAGTTCCCACAAGAGCATTGGCAACCTCGAAAGCATCTTGGAAATCCGATTGAGATCTGTAAGACCCATCTGCGTTTGTTGCACCATAATTGAAACCTTGGTGAACAGCAGATGCCGTGGAAAGCGAAGCCATAATGGCGAAAAGAGTCTTTGAGAGCATGATGATTATTATTGTATTGTTGTATTTGTTGTTGATATGTAGATCAGCGAAGGTATGATGTAGTAAGTTGATTGATGAATTCCACGATTAAGAGAGAATAACTCTGAATGTGATGGATTATGATGAGTGAGTGAATAAGAAGAAGTAGGAGAAGAAAAAGTCGAGAAGCTCAACAAAAGGATAGAAATGAGACTAAGGTTTTGAAGTATATTAAGAAGGAACGTAGAAGAGGAGAGAGAGATTGAAGAAGTATCGAGGAAAGTTCAAGTCTGGGTCGTTGGTGACAAAAGAGTGTTGGGAGGTTAATAAGAAAGAGAGAAGAAGAACAGAGGAGATAGAAGAGAGAGAGATCAATCTGGACCGAAAGAGATAAAAGCTTGAATAGATATTAATAAGGTCAAGTTCTTACCAGATTGAGTCTAGACTTTGAAAGTTGATCGGTAACTTAACGGGAATGGAAAGAGCCAGAGCCACTTTTTTCTATCTTGATCTCCACTATTTCCTTCATCAAAGATCATCTGCCAAGGAAGAATTCTCCTGCCGAATTCATGGGATTTGATTTCTGGGGCAAGAAGAAGAAGAAGAAGAAGAACAATCAGTTTATGCCAAGTGAAAAATCGCTCAAAAGGGGGAATATAGTACTTGTGCAATGTATTGACCAATTAAAGTTCTCTGTATGCATAACTTTTTGGGACCTGCATTAGTTCTCACATTAGTTTTCGACTGCTTCAATTGCACTGCGCCTAATAAGTTGGCTCTTAACTTTTAATGGTGGACTCATTCATGTTGACCATCAGGGGAAGACCAAACATGGACAAATTCCCTTTTAATTCTTATTGCTTTATGATTCAACCAATAGTAGGTTTAATAACCGATGGGTAATAAATATTTTCGTATAGAAATATCTCAAAATGAAAGTATGATAACCAACAATTAACGAACACGAGAGAACAACAATTCACGTATCAATATTCATATCCATCTACCAAGCTTTCTCAATATTTTATTCTCCTTTCCGTCCGAGCTGTCTGATCGAATCAAACCCCTTCTGATTTATAGTAGCTTGCATCATCATTTATATCTATTTTCATATATGCTTTTCCTTCGGTTGTAGATCTTCATTTCGGGAATCCATTCTCGAACCACCCTCGAAATGTCTATATTTTTATCCAGTACCGATCGATACAATATGTAGAGTCCAGACCCCTTTTTTGCCTTATTAGATTTTCGAGGTTCCCGTTCATTCATCCATGACCCAGAAAAAGAGTCTGGCCCGGGTTCCTCGGGGGAACGGATGACATTGGAGGAGGCTGTGCTCCGTAAGAGTGGCTCAAGTGGATTCATCATCTACTACATGGATGAATTGATTACGACAACCATCAATATCGGTAGTTTTCGTTCTTTTTTAATGAGAAAAACCTTGCATATTGTATTCATTGATTACAATACGATACGATGACTTTTCTTTGGTTTATCTATCATCAAATACTATTTTCTATAATGAAATGGCATTTGGACTTCGATTGAATACTCAAAGTTGATTGGGGGGTTTCTGGCCCTTGAACAAGAACAAATATAACTTCCTAACTCACAGGCCTTTTCCCGTAAAAATGGTCTTACATCGAACAACCCAGGCCTAGCCCAGGCCTAACATTCATTTTCCATTACCATCAAGTCACTGTTCTCTTCCCATGAAAGGAGAGATAAGATATACCTATGCTATACTTGAGTAGATGGGGCCAAAACACACCATAATAGTTCTTTGCGACTGTGCACTTCAAGCGTATAGCATTCATCTCATAGTATTCGCAGTCGGATCACGGCTATCATTTGCGTACGAATCCAAGTGCGAATCCAAGCCACTCGCTCAAGCATCCGTCGTAACCCTATTGTGTCGATCAACTAACTGTCTGACTCCATACTTCATCATGGCGACATTTACCCCAATGTCAAGTCAATGCTATGTCAATGCCAATGCCCCCGCACTCTTGGCTAATCTTGAAGAACCAGCCCAAGGTAAAAATTAACTGCCATGAGAAACTTCGGTTTAAGACCATCAAAGCTATGAATAAGTGAACATCCATCCACGTGATGCTATCAATTGAGATTGAGTTGAATATATCCTCTCACAAAATCTTTCAATCATATCACATCATAGAAAACTACGCCAACTCCCATCAAAATCGTGACTACCACCATCATGTGATGCCCATCAACCCCGCATCAAACTTCTCTCCTCCCTCCTCCCTCCTCCCTCCTCCCTCCTCCCTCCTCCGCTTTCTCATACCTTTTTGCCACAATATAGACATAGCGTACCTACTGAGCTAGTGTGTTCAAACGCATACCACCGGAAGACTCGGAGGTGCGATATGCAACAAATTATTGTTGAGTATTTGGTTATGGCCTTGGTTCTTATAAACAATCTTTACTGAGTGGTTGTGATTATCTTCGGGAACTCCGGAATTGAACTCAGATATGGAACAAAACGATTAGGAAGCTAGAACCAAGGAAACATAATCAAACTCTTTTATATTGTCTTAGATAGATAGTCTTTAGTTTGACTATCTTCGGGAACTCCAGAATTGAATATAGATCTAACAGAAAGCAGGAAACAACCAAGAGACAGTAAATATTATTGAAGTATTTATATTATATCTTAATTTTCGGCCGAAATGCTTGGGGGCATAATATACAATAAATATCTAGCAGATTTGGTTATATCTATTCTTATATACTGTAGATAATCCTTAGTTTGATTATCTTTAGGTAATCCAGAAATGAACTCGGATAACACCAAAACCAATCAGGAAATAAGATACATTCAAAAGGCAGGAAGCTTTGATAAACCATTCTTCTTCTGTACTTGAGTATTGTATACCTCAACTTCCCGCCGGAAAACTCGGAGGTGAGATATGCAACAAAGCTGTCCAGAAAGCAAGAAATACATATTGAACCCTCTCATTCTGTACATCTCAACTTTCGACCGGAAAACTCGGAGGTGAGATGTGCAACATATATCATATCAATTAAAGCTCCAAGCCTTGGTTGTGGCATTATTTCCGGAAAACTCAGAGATGAGATGAGATGTGCAACAGATGGGATACTTTATGTCTTCTTCTTTCTTTCTATGAGAATTGTGGCGAGAATTGTGGCCGGAATCTTCGGAAGTGAGATGAGATGTGCAACCAAAACCTTTTGAACAAATTAAAGTTAAAGTTAAAGTTAAAGTTAAAGTATGGGATTTGAGACTTATTACGTATCTCATTATATACCAGATCGGGAACCTCGGAGGGGGATGAGATGTGTAACAATAAAAAAAATTCACAGTTGAAGTGGAATATGGGGTACTGAATCGGTCGGATTGGGTGTATGTATATCCATCTATCTATACTAGCTTCTAAAAACTGCGGGTTCATATTGCAATATTGCATATGCAGAATCCTCAGATTCAGGATGTTGAATTGATACAACGGTAGGAAACCGAGAGACACACAATAGAACAAAAGCTTACTCTTTAGTGAGTAAGAGCATCGATCCTCGACTTTGCTGCAAGGCAATTTCGAAACTGTGACCGGAAAGCGGAGAACCTGGGAGAAATACATACAAGAAAGAGCAATTCTGGGTGTGGTTCAATCTAGATCCAATAAAATACAGGACTGTACAATCACAAAGCAAGATTTGCAAGGTCCTCCTATAGTGTAAGATAAATATAGAGTCTTGATATATCCTACCGGTATGTTATACATAATACATCTCAACCTTCCCACCGGAATCCTCGGGGTGAGGCATGCAACAGAAATGTCTTCAATTTTTACATTTACACCTGCTTACTGGCCAAGTGGCTATTGGATGTAATCCCCCCCTCTTCCAGAAATGCCGAACGAGTGTCTGTTCAATCCCCGAATTCTATGTATTTATTTTCATCTACTCTACTCTACTTTACTCTACTTTACACTATACATAACAGCCTCAAGTAACCAGCTATGCCATTTCATAATCAGATACTGTACATTGCTCTCCTCCTCTTCTTGCTCCTCCTGCTCCTCCAGTCGGAAATTTACTACTCCAGAAGGCTCAGATAAATGGAAAACCAAATTATGGACAGAAAACAAGTAGGAGTAAATAATATATACATATATATATGCACATTCATATACATCCAACTCGAAGACATTATCGGTAATGAATGTGATGAAATACCTACGGTACTCTACAATACGAGACGTAGGAGTATTAAATGATAAATGATGATATACTCAGCATGGTATGGCGGGGAAGGGTAGTAGGGTAGTAGGATAGAGAGAGAAAGGTGGGGGAGGTATTAGGTAAGGAATTTTTCAATGTTGGCTTGGGTTGAAGATATGATTAATGTTGAATGGATGTCCAATGGATGGATGGATGGATGGATGGATGGATGGATGGGGAATGTGATATATTCTGCCTAGTATAGTATTTGTATGCAAGTACTAGGTAACGAGCATTCGAAGAAGTTCTTCATACTTGGATCTACTTGTGGTGGGTGAGGGGTGAGGGGAGAGGAAATGAGATAGTATCATATAAGAGTTCCGGATGTACAAATTGAAGTTGAAGTTGGAATGTTAGTTTGAACTTTGATGATATATCGTCTTATCCCATATCATCTCATCTCATCCCATCTCTTCTCATCTCATCCCGTCTTCTTTCCTTTCTCTTCTCTTCTCTATGTTCACTCTTCTTAAACTAATTCTTCATGTGATGAGACGGGGTAAAAAAATCATGATCTTAAATCTTACATCCCATATTCCATATTCCATATTCCATATTCCATCCAGCCCAACGAAACTCATCCATCCAAACCTTCCTTCAGTTCAAATTCGAGTTCTAGGACGCTATCGTCGCCATTATAGCATTATAGAGATACTCTAAGGTATATAGCATCATGATACTCATACTTCACCACCAAACATACATACATACATGCCCGAGTCTGAGTCCGAGTCCGAGTCAGGAAAAAATATTCAATCGAATCTTGAATGATCTACTCGTATCTGATTCTATCACTTAATTTCATTCGTTATACTCGAGGATAAAAAAATTATCCTCTGTTCTCTATTGCCTTTCTCTTTCTCTTTCGCTTGATCGTTCCTCTCTCTCTACGAGTCTTTCATTCATATAATATCTATACCGTATTACTTACACACCTACTTACTTATCTACCTATCTTCAATCCTATCCTCTATATATAATCTTAACAATTCAAGTCCATGATCCATACTTAGAGCGATACTATACAGATCTTCCTTCATGATTTGATAAGTGTAGCTACTAGCAAGGTAATAATATTGTAATTGTCTCTGGGTTTATTACTCTCTTAACTCGAGCATGAACTCGAGTGACTGAAAGCGGGTCCAGCTGTGTTTGGCCTAGCCATAAACCAAGCCAAAAGATCAAACCGATCATATAATTGGAAGAATCAACAAAATGGATTAGTTAATAGTTCTATATTTCTATTTGAACGATGAAAATTAGGCTGTATCTAGCTTCATGTGATCAACAGCTAGGCAAAACAGAGCTGGACTCGTTTTTAGTTATCTCAATTTAGATGGTACTAGATTAGTATTAACATCATAATATATGCCGTGAAATCAATCATTTTCAAGTTCTATTTAGCCCACTCCAACTCCGGATTATCACTTCGATAACTTCGATAACTTAGAATCCAAAAATATGCCGCCTCTGGCATCGATCCATCGATCCATCCCACTATCTCACTACCTCCAAAATCTGGGGCACATAATAGTGACACTGAGTATACCGTATTACTTACTATCCTATCAGTATATGCAGCATTACTCGTAGTATGAGTATATATATAAAAGACACGAACACGAACTTCCCGTGTGCCAATATGCCAGAACAAATCAACACTAGCATTTGACTTAAACACCTAGTAAAGACTCAATATAACACGAATACCCTATGCAGCATTGTATACGATAGATTTCCATGAACCCTAATTCCCTTGATTAGTATACATACGTATTATACGATATTATATTTCCCAGGACTCGGAAATTTTGTAATTCTTCTTGAACTTGAAGACATATGTTAATAAGGAACCGATCTGATATACTCGAGTATTATAATATAGCAATTCCAAAGGCGGCGCATAAAAGTTGGAGCTGGAGTTGGTGAGAAGAGATGTACATCCATGTTACTGTTACTGTTACTGTTACATAATGTGTACATAGAATCATATATATATATCAAGTATTAATGATATACCTAGCAGTCACACGGTTCTTAAAAGTTGAACTAGGTACTGCCAACCCATGGGTTATTTGCAGATTATCCGCAGATTACTCGAGTATTTGCAGATAACCCATCAACCCACCAACCTACCAACCTGCGGATAATCCGCAAATAATTCGTAACCTTAGGATCAGTCGGTCATTTTCCAGATCTGTACATGTAGTTTATTCATAGGGACAATCAATAGTTTATACCGTTGGGATTGGTATAGGAATTCACTGTTGTGATTTATATCTATGTGACAGAACCCATCCCATCCACCCCGTCCATCTATATCCATCCACCTATCTATCCCCCATCCATTTCACATCCCACATCCCACATCCCACATCCCACACTCCACACTCCACACTCCACACCACACAACCTAAACATTTCCCCATCCGCCCATCCTGTGGAATCTACTCGAGTACAATGGATGAAACCCAAAGTTATTCATTCAGACATAAATTCAAAAATACAAAGATTCAAAAGAAAAATACTCAATCCCCATCCCATCCTATCCCACACACCACCCACATCACACTATCTCATCACACCACCAAAGATCCAAAACAGCCATGAAACCCCCGCCACCCCCTCGCCCCGTGGCTACAGCTACAGCTAAAGGAGAGCAAACATCAAACCACAGACTACAAATATCAAATATCAAATATCAAACATCATTCCTCCCTGCTAACCCTAATCCCAAACCCAAGCCCAACCCTAAGCCTATTCCTAACCCTAAGCCCAAGTCCAAACCCTAGGCCCAACCCTAAACCCATACTACACTACACTACACCACATTGCACTGCACTGCACCACTGTCACCACACCACACAACATCAGATAATATCCCTCCCACATCCACTTCCACTTGCCCTCCTTACAACAACACTACCCAAGAACTCAAGAATTCATTTATCAAGAAGAGCACAAACAGATTTTCAACATCAATCACATCAAATCAAATCATTACAGAAAGGAGAAGAAAGAAGATTTTTTTCTTCTTTGATTTCTCGCCTACCTACCTACTTCCCCCGCCCCCCCTTTTCCCTCATAACATAACCTAGAATATTTTTCTCTTATCTAAAATTCCTCGATCCTCATTCTTCACTTATCAGATATGAATTTAATTGTATGACCCCCTCCTTCATCCATCAAAATGTCATTCGTTCATCCATTCCCAACGCCAAATTAAGTAGGCAAAATTCAGAAAAAGAAAAAAAAATACATCGAAGAATCTGAGATGAGATCATCTCTTCCCTCAAGTCTGCCTTGTAGACTAAAACCATCCAACTAAAACCATTATCTGTTGTCACAAAATTTCCCTTTTGTAACATCTCGGCATCAAATCGCCCACTTGATGACTTAATGCTTTCTCTTTTTCTTTGGTGCTTCTTCCTCATCCTCCAATCCACTTTCCATATCCTTCCTCTTCGCCTTCTTCTCCAATTCATCCCAATCTTCCCCTTCACTTTGATCCTCACTATCTTCCTCTCCTTCATCTTCACTCGCATTACTATCGAAATCGCTCTCCTCTTCCGAGCTCACTTCACTCGCCACCAACTCCTCTTCACTCATCTCAAATGCTGACTCTGCATCTTCGTCATCGCCATCTTCATCATCTGATTCCGTTGCCAAGAAACTCCATCCACCATCGCCAAAGAATTGATGCGGATCTGCTGTTACCGTCTTCATGATTGTTGGCCAATTCAAGTTGAGTGGACCTTCAGAGAATGGAATATTGACAGAATCCAACCATTCCTTGACATTTTCGAGTGATTCAACAGGAATGGTGTTGATGTGATAAGGAGCACGGTGGAAATCCTTAAAGACGAAGACTAAATCAAAGTTCTTGAGTCCGAATTGAACACGTTCAAGATGAGCGACTTCGATATCCTCAAGAGTGATGACCATGAAAGGGGGTTCGGTGAGTTGAACCAGACAATCTGTGGAAGGTTGACAGAAAACGTTGGATCGGAAAGGTACACCATTGAAACCAAGTTCACGGAAAGGTACGTCAACATCAACGTTCTCGTTCTTACCAGCGTCGGCAATCTTCTCGGCAAATGCTTTGAATTGACGATCGAGTTCAGCACGACGTCTACGCTCCTCTTGTTCTGCTTCAAATTCTTCCTCGTCACCATATCTGTACTTTCGCTTTCTGTTTCCAGTCTCGTCGAATTGAATGTCGGTCGCTTCGCGATAGAACTGAACATCCTTGGTCTTTTTCTTGCCAATCAAAATTGGATCTTTGAGATGTACATGAATGATGACAATTAATTCATGATCACAAGGTTGAAAGAAGAGATGTTTGACGTTACTGAAGAGAATGTCGACTCGTTGTTGATTATTAAGAGGGGATTGATAGCGAAGACCATTTTGATGAATTTCGACCTTTCCTGGTACACGTTTACCATCCATGGCGGGACGAATAAAAACATTGTCCATAACAATAGGTCGACGATCTAGATATGTTAGTAATTAATATAGAGCATGTTCGGTCTGGAAGCTTACTTCGAATCTCAACCAACTTGTCCTGCTCAACAACATCTTCCATATCCTTCTTCTCTTGCTCACGCTTGACAGCATCTCTCTTCATGTTACCAATTTGATTGGCAATATCTTGAAACCTATCTCCATCATGTGATCGGAATGTCAAACTTCTAACAAAGTGCGCTGAAGCATCCTCGAAAGGCTGGTCATCTTTTCTTCCTACACCTTGTCCAGGAGACAAGAAGTTGATTCGAAGGTATGAAAATTCACCTTCGTCACTCTTGCTTGCATTCTTGATTGTTTGGATATGGAAAGGTACTGGTCGGCCCATAATAGGCAAGACAATTGTCGAATTTTTAGCATCCATGACAATAGCGAGATCTCGAATCTTGGGAGGGAATTGATTCTCACGCTTGTAAGATTCGAATCGCTTAAACTTTTTCACGGCGACGCCATTTTGATCACCGGTAGCTTCAGCGAATCTTGCAAGACCATCTGCTTGCTTCCTCTTTGCGAGCTCTTTTTGATGCTCACGACGTCTAGCTTCAGCACCTTCATCAACTTGAGTTGTTCGTTCAGCCCGGAGTTTTGTCTTGGTGATATTTTTGGCCGCAACAGCTCCAACGCTCGAATCCTTCTTTGCTTTACTGGCTTTCGGTTCAGGGGCAGGCTCATCTTCTTCATCCTTGAAAAAGAACGAGGTCGCATCAAGTTCCGAGGGTGCATCGCCAGTGAAGATAACTGGCTCCGCCTGAGTCACACGCACAGTATCTGACAATACCAGAGAGTAAATCTTGCTCTTCTTATCTTGAGGATCCTTATTCTCAATATCATTGAATCCGGTGGTGACACAAAGAGTCATTCCGTCCTTTAAGCTACGAGTGCTCTTGGCATTTAGGAGTAAAGTGGGGTCTCGTGTTTCGATACCAATACCAGCTCCAACATTCTTTAAGAAATGCCTCTCTAGCTCAGGCTTCTTGGTTCTGATGAGAGCCAGAGCTTTGGCGTATATATCCTTGACATGGGCACCATCGCGAATTTCCTTCATAACAAGATTATGAACCTGCAACAAAAACTTGTAGTTGCTCTCCTGGGACTTATTTGGATCGACGAGGTAAGTTCGGCCGATTAAGGAACAGTACGTTTTGTATCGAAGACCCATAGAACAGATGATCACACCAGCATGTAATAACTCATCGTCGACTTGGGCACTCATCTTCAAATCGTACTTTCCACCACTTTGTATGATAGGACCATGAGTCCAGTCCAATTGTGCGGAATCGAAGTCGCTGGGCATCTTTTGCTTATTGGGAAGCTCGACAGAGGTCCAAAATCTGGCGTCATCCAACTTACCATCCACTTTGTTGGCCAAGGCGCTGTGTTTGACTTTTTTCTCCTCGTCCAGTATACCTGACATTTCTTCGACGAAATATGGGTTCATGAGTGCAGTGCATGCTTTCGATGAATTGCGCATAGCGCGCTACATAATGTATCAGCATCAGTCAATTCTTCAATCCTGACGTAGTGCCTTACCAGTTCATTCTCATCTTTTACTGCCAAAGCTGCAGAAGACAGAGCCGGTGCAATATCTACTTCTTCAACATCCTTTACCTCGGCATAGATTTTCTTCCACTCATCAATGAAAGGGCCACTTGATGTATCTTTTGTTAAAACTCCGAGTTTCTTCTGTAAAAAAACATTTGTTAGACTATTACTGTTGAGCAAGATGATATTAATTGCAACTCACCCCCGATGACTTAATAACATCTGCGATCTTTGTGAAAAGCTTCTCGTTGGCCGCCGCATCTTTGCCTCTGACCAAGACCTCAAGAGGAATCTTTCCACCTTTCAAAGGTTCCAAATGTTTCGCTATACCAATGTTAGCTTCCAACTTGCTGGCGCATACGATATGACTATCCGCCTACCTTTCTTTGCCGTTGTAACAATGTATAAAGTTTCGACTGTGAAAAGGAAGAGTGTCGCAGGGAATTCATAGCCTAATAACCAGAACTATCTCTTTGTCAGCCTTCCATCCCTATCCATTGTAATTTCTCGCAGTGTTTCTCGCAGATGATGGAAACTCACATGGATGGCATTATTTTTCTGAAAGCTTGCCACATCCTCCGTCTTTCCCATTAATACCAGGATACTACTCGCGCCATTGAAGACCGCGTCGCCTCCTCTCTTATCAGCTTTCCAAGCCGATATAAAATGCGATAACCGTTCCTGAAATAAATTCTTGTCAATTCTGATATCAACCATGATGATTTCGAATATTTTTCGTTGATGGTTGAGAAATGAAGTAGAGTTTGTTGAAGGAGAAAGAGGGAAGACGTCAAAGAGGAGACGCGATGGGTCAAAAACTCGCGTTGATTGAAATTGAAGAATTGCGTCTTTGGTCTTTATGAATTGATGGAATTAGCGTCGAATTGAGCCTCGATGACGGATTGTTGATATCAAAATGCCGAATTCTTTTTCAGCCTCATAATTTTGCAACAAGGCTGTATGTATGATGGGCTGAACAACGATGATAATTTGAATTGTTTGTTTCAGCTCCTATAACTTACAACTCAACATGAGAAGGAGAAGTCGAAATTGCACAGTTTAGTATGTTATTTTCTCAAATGTGTGATCGGTTTGTGGGCAATCATTTCACGGTTCATGTCTAGACGAGATTACCTATAGGGTATATCATTGAGTACAATTATGTAGGCATTACAAGTCGTGTCAGTAACCTATGTACAAGAGAAATTTATCACCACGCCTACTATACTAGCTACCCAAGTTCTAGTCTTGAAATCTTCCGTATCAAGTATGTATTTCAATCGTCCTTCTAGACAAAAAGGTCCGAAGTCATTTGGCTTGGTATATATGGTATATAACCATCTAAAAGATACCCTTTGGCTGTGTTAGTAATGAACCAGTATAGAGGAATGAAGATGAAGAAATACTCACTGGAATGAACAAATATGGCACCAGTTTTTCGTACTCCTCCCAGGCCTCTCCATACCTCTCTCTACACTTCTGAATATCTCTATATGCGCGATGAGAGATCATGCCGGCAAAAAAGAAACAGTAGAACCAAGGAAATGGGCTATTGAAGCCAGTAATGAGACCCCAGCAGAAAGCAAAGTAGAAGTCGCAAGTATAATGGATCTTGCGAGCCTTTCCGTACCAACCATCGGCCAAAATTGAATCACCAGTTTTGGTTTTGATGACACGTGGGTTCATGACCTCCTTCCATGGCAGTTGGGGGAATGCCTTACGGTCTGTGACGGTACCACGTTCACGAGATCTATATCTATTCTTTTGACTGTTGGTAGTATCCCAAACCCAGTACACGAAGAGGTACGAGGTGTACAAAAAGAAGAGGAAATACTTGTTCCACGAGTATTCCGAAGGTGGGTGGCTGGCCAAGTAAATGGTGCAGTGACAGTAGCTGAGAGGAACACCAGCGAGGTTCCAGAAGATCAACATGAAGCCCCATTTCTCGTAGTACATATCCCTATTTAAGTAAGTAGATGGCTTTATAATAGATTTAGGGTTGTTGGACATACCAGGTAGTAATGATCAACTCCTCTCCCTTAGCACATGCATTTGCATATAAAAAGTGAGCCATGATCAAGAAGCCGACTTCAGGCGATACATAACCATACTGCTCATATTGTCTTGCAGCAGCGGCACATGAAAGACCCAAAAGAATGAACCAAGGCAGACGGACCTCAAAGAACATTTTAAAATCTAAGATGCCAAACATTCTTGGATTCAATTCGGCTCCCATGAAGAAATCATAAATTGGATATCCTGTCATTCGATGCTGAGCTCCACGCGCCAAAGCCGAGAAATACGCGACAATTGAGACCAAAAATCCAGAGCAAATTGCCACTGACAAAATTGGCCCAAATTCATCAAGGAGAGTATAGATTTTGAAGATGTCGAAGTAATGCAAGAGAGCAGCGGTGACAATGGTGAAATAGAATGACCAGATTCCAGAGCAATAGTATGGCAATTGCTTACCCCCCTCATGAGGGAGCGGTTTACCATAACCCCAAACTCCTGGCATAAGACAATAACAGACACCCTCAAAGACGAAGAAGACCCAGTAGATTTTCCACGCACGAAGACTGGGAAATGCTCCTGTGTAGACGAGATGACCCATATGTTTGACGAAATCGAGAAATGCTTGACCTGGTTCCGGCGTGGGGAATTTTCCATTGTAGTATGTTGCTCCAATCCACATATACCACATGAGACAAGGGAACCCGATCATCATAGCACTCACGCCGAAAGAACCACCAAAGTCGAAATGGCCAGAAGAGTCGATCTTTGGGTCGTCTATAATCTCTGGTATCCCATTAACTGCCCTCTCTTCGATCTTTGGTTCTTCTGTAACCTCTGGTTTCCCATTAACTGCCTTCTCTTCGATCTCGGTCTTGGCTTTTGCGCTTTTATTCCTCAGCGAATCATTTGTGTTAAAGCCATTGACCGCAGAAGTAAAGCCATTAGTTGCCGAGCCATTACTGATATGATCGTTGGCCGTCGCTGCCTCGACCATGTTGACTTTTCGACTCGAAGACCTCTTCGATGAAGAATTATCTGTTGCGGATGAAGAATCGTCTGTCTCTTCGGGAAATTGGGACTTCCGTGGTCGGCGAATTCGTGGAGTCTCAACGAATCCAGCACGCTCTGTCTTTCTGTGCAAAGTGTTAGGTATTGTATAAGAAAAAAAGAAAGAGAAAAGACGGTAGATAACTTACTTGGGCGTCTGCCGCAAAGAATATCTTTCGCGTCCTTCGGACATTTTATACCCCAACCAAAAGTAACTTCGGAACAGAAGGGAGATAATTTGGACGAGTACAAGGTAATACCCAATTCACTACCACTTGTAAGGAGATTGCTACTCTGAGTACAATAAGAAGCCCAAAGGTCATACACGCACAAAACAAAGTGTCAATAAACCTCTAGATCGAATGAAAGTCGAGAGGATCCAATTATTTCCCATTGACAAATATTTAAATTTAAGATTTGTTTACTAGTTCAATCGAGCCATTCGGAAGCCACATCGGGTTCGGGATTGATCTTCATTTGGCCCTTGTAAGCTTTCAAATGATGAAATAATCCATCAAAACCCTAGTAATAATATACCGCTATAACTTTTAACAGCAAATCACGAATACGACATCGGCAAGTAGCATGCATCATTGTCTGGGTATGTAGTAGTTAGGTAGTTGACAGCGAATTGTTGCGGGGCCATCTTCAACCTCAATCTCAACCAAGTTTACTGATTACATACTCAAGTGCAAGTACAACAACAGCAGATCTCTTCGAATATTATAACCTTTATATTAATCATTGCTAATTTTTAAACTTATCTTTATAAGCAATTACAAAGCATATCTTCTATAACACACATCTACGTATTGTATGATCTTCGTATACATAGCCAATTTTAGACCTTTACAGATAGCTACAAATAACCATTATTGCACTCACCACTCACTTCCTAAACAGCATATCTTCAAACATTACCTACCTAGTCTCTAATAAACCTACTAGATACCTATTATATGACCTTTGTAATCTTACCTTTACATGCGGCTACAAATAAAAAACATTATTGCACTCACACTCACTTCCTACAGCATTACAGATTCTCAGATAGTACATCTTCAAACATTATATGTCTTTTCATTCATCACTAACTTTTGATTGATGTGTCCGGCTGTAAAGACACCATTGTACATCGAACTTCCTCGAAACATATACTATTTTCCTGCGCACCAGTCCAGTTCCCTCCTAACATGCGCCGGCCGCTCATGCCATAGAAATCATGCAAATCATCGGAAGTGATCCGAAGAAGTGGTGTACAATAAAGTCGCAATGCATCGTATGATGACGACCCGAGTGTAAGATTGGGTCAACCACCCATCCAAAATTTGAGGCTGAATAGCGAGATGTGAATACCTGACTTTCGAAAGGGTTCACACCTTCAGCACCAATAATCTCTTTCCTCGTCACTTTGTCTCATTATCTCATAACATCCATCACTTTGATAATCATCCCCGTCCGTCATCCTATACAACCTCCCGTCCGGTAACCACGATCCATCATCACCATCCCCTCCATTTTCCCATCCATCCTGCCCAGCCCCAAAATTTCATCAACTAAGCCCTCATATTTTCTGATAGAACAAAAGATATGCAACCTTATTATCCATAACAGAGAACTTCCCAGCCCCAGCCCCAGCCCCAGCCCCATGCCCATTGGCGGATTTAGGCTTTGGTGTGGAAGCGCCATTTACCACACTAGACCATTTCTTTCCAGATCCACTCGCTTGTTTCCATCCATCCTCTTCGACCTCTCCAACTCCTTCTCCAATTGAAGAGAAGAGATTTCCAGTAGATACACTATCCTTTTTGTGAGCGTCCAGGGCAGCAGCCAAAACTTTCGGGTCTTCTTCACTTCCTCCTTCCGCTACATCTTCTCTCCTCACCCGTTTGATGACAGTATCATCAAGTCTAATCCACTCCTTTCCATCTTGTCTTCTAACATCCACAGTATAGTGTCCACCACTGGCATTCTTACCATGGTGATAGACAACGCCAATTAGACGGTATTTTGGATAGCCATCATGAGCGAAGACACTTCGTTTAGTTTTGGGGAAGACTTCCTTTGGTAGTTCGAGCTCCAAAGGGTATCCCACCTTCTTCCATATTTTTTGCGTTCCACCAGTGTTGTCATACTGGAAACGCTTCAAGTGTAAAATGAGAACGGGAGGTACCGTCTCAATAAATACTTGCTTTGTCGCGGTTACATTGGGACCCTTTGGAGACTTGAAGTCGCCATGAAGGACCTCTGAATGTGTTAAACCTTTCAGAGCATCGATAATGTTGTGGATATTTGGCGACCCAATATCAAGTTGTAGTGGTTGATAGGGCTCAAGGGTGATGGAGTCTTTTAAACCCGGTACACGCAATTCGGATCTCAAATTGCCACCAAAGATCTTAGTGACTGGCGAACCAGTAAGAATGGTCCCGGAAGATCTCGTAATGGAAGCCTTTTGTTTAGGTCCAACCTGTTGCCAGGCATCATCGATAGATCCGCTTCTGCTGGCAGCATCGCTAGTGGGGGATGAAGGTGTATTCATGGGTGTTGTGACAGCTGAGGTTTTGTCTGAGTCATTCGATTTCATAACATGTACGCATTCATCATGAAGGCCTTCAAGTAAAAAGCCCAGGAACTCCTCCGCGTCTTGTTGATGCCCTCTCTATAACTCATATTAGTAAATGATAACTAGAGGATGTACAATTGAACTAACCTGCATCGTCACAAATCTTGGTAATCGTCGCATGACATCGTACACAAAGTCAGGTGTGAAAGAATCCCCATATTGCTCAAGTTCCCCTTCCTTGAGTCTCATTCGGAGTTGCTCAACAGATTTCGCAGAATCAATCACCGAAAATTCCCGCATAAACATAATCCTTGAGTGATGTTAGTAATATTCACACGGAATACACTGCTGGTACTTACATGGCATCAATCAAAGGAGTTTCGCTCTTGAAGCTATGCGCCGCTTTCTTGCTTACTTGATCAATAAAGCTATAGAAAGGGGTGCAGAAAACGAGAACTTGTAAAACCGAGTTCATGTAGCACATATTACCAGTGTTCACAAGACCTCGAGGCTCAAGAAATGACATTTTAGAATCCTTGGCTTCGGCATTAAAAGAGCGCAATGCGTCGGCTAACGATTCTGTATTCTTCTTGCCAAATCCAGAAGATTCATTCTGCCCGCCATTGACAGTGGTAGGTGCTGTAGGTGCACCAGATGATCCAAAAAGACCAGTCCATGCTCTTGGTGTAGCCCATGCTTTCGGAGGGGGCGCGATTGCCTTGACTTCCTCAGTTACAGGCTCTATCTCATCAACTTCATTCGTGACTTCAGATGTAGTCGATTTTGCCTCGGCCGGAGTTTCTACATTGGTCTTTTGAGGGATCGTCGATGGCGCACTTTTGGGCTGAGGTTTTTGAATGGCACGCATGACAGGGACAGCGGGAACAGCAGCTCGCTGAGATTTTGTACTCCCTGCAGGTAGAGATGGAGGTTGTGTAGAAGATGGTGTAGTTGACACCGTAGATTCAGTATCCTCTGATGGATCTTGGGCAGTTGTGGGTGTTTCAGGTGCAGGTCCTGGAGTTTCTTCAACTGCCGTTATTGGCTCCAAACGTGTTTCTGATGTCTCCACATCCTTCCCTGCCTCAATATCGATATCTTTGTCTAAGTCTGGCAGCTCGACATAAGTCGTAGATATTTCGGGACTCTGCTTCCTTTTCCGTCGCCGTCTAGTCGGCCAGGGTAAAGTAGTATTGGGAGTGACCCACGGCAACTAGTTATAATGTCAGTAATTGAAAATATATCTCTGCAATTGTAGCATACCGGTGGTTGGAAAGGTGTATAGAGAATGAGACTTGGTGGAGGAGACTGAGCAGATGTTTCGAGCGTCGTTGGTTGTGGAGTAGGAGGCGTCAGAGGTCCAGGAAGAGTATTGGACGAATGTGTTGAGAGGCTTGAGGGAGTTTGAGGTGGCGGAAGCGCTGGAGTCGCTGGAGATGGTTCGTAAGACGACGCAATTACTGGCGGGTGGGAGGCAGCAATAGCAGGAGATGGTTGTGGTTGAGTAAAAGGCGGTGCTTGAGGTTGCAGCGGGAGAGGAGGTGGATGACCATAATGCGGCATCATTTGGGGCGGCGGCGAACGTCCATAATGTTGATATGGATTATACTGTTGGGCCATACCTTGGTTATGGTACTGTGGAGGAAATGGTTGTGGGTAATAGTTCGCGTTGTACGGAAGCATGTACCCATTGTACAGAGGTGCCGCCGGTGGATATGGTTGATGACCATAAGGTCTCCTCCTTCCCATGTCCTGTTGCATGTTTTGCCCTGCCGGCAGATGACGACCGTTCATCATGCCGGCTTGTTTAAATTCTCTTATTCCAAACCTACCCGGTCCAGGTTGATTTGAATTGAAAGGAACGAACGTCGCGAGGAGTTGATATCTGGTTTTCTGTAGATGGGTAGATGGTAGATGGGGGAACTTTCAAATTTATTTTCGAGATATTAGCGCATTAACAAGAAAGGAAGAAAGTGTTTATATCTAAGAAGAGAGCGATAACAGTAGCTTCAAAGATAGACTCTGTATAAGGCAGTTTATTTGACTCTTTTAGAATATATGTTGTTATGTTTGTCAAATTGGGGTTATATTTCCAAAATACTGAGTAGTAGTCAAAAAGAAGATGGATGGATGGGATGGACTACTGGAACCGAAACGCAAAGACGCAGAGACGCAAAAAGATGCAAAGCCTTGCCAAGTCTTTTTTGCCCCCAAATTTTGGACAAGCTTTTGATATAAAAGAATGAATTAAAGTACAAAATTAGATGTATATAATATTTACTATATTAGGATTTCTATATGGTATTCTTCATGTCCATGAATGATAGTGCTGTATATAGTTAAACTTTACGTACACCGGTATGGTATGAGACGCTTTAAAATAGTAAAAAAATAATTCATATATACTTACTACCTTCCTTGTTATAAACCATTAACGAACCCATCAGATTGCATTCTATGCCTTTATAGTTTACCGGAACGATTCCCGATAATACATTCGAGACTTTCATCGCCCCCTCCTTCTAAATCAACAGCGTCCTTGTGGCGTCTGAAAAACACCCTCAACACCCTCAATAAACACATAAATTTACTCTTTTTTTGTAGTAAATCTTTACTTGAACACATTCCAATCTCTTCATTTCTTTTGTTCAATAGTTTTCACATTTGTATTGCTTACTTTACGCGTAGGTAGAAGTATATCAACTTATCAAGGGCAATCTTCTTATCCGAGAGATCCTACCCCCATCAGCCCGACTTTGAGAAATACCACAACAGCCCCCATCGATCATCAGCATCAGTTTATATTTGTAGGAGATATTAAATAGGTCATTCTGAGTCCTATGCCCTACTACCTCTCTTTTTTTATCTTACCCCAATCCGATTCAAACCATGAACCTCGTTCCGCAAAGCACGTCTTCGTCTAGCGGGAAATCACTCAATACTACATCATCCCATACTCCCAATCAACAACAGCAGGGTCAAACCACATCTTCTAGCTTCGAGTCAAGTACAAGGCGTTCTGGAAGTCATTCAAGTGGGGTGCCTTCGGCTGCCAGAAACAATCAAACTCAACGAAAACAGCATAGGAACTCCAAGAAACCCAGGCTCGCGGATGAGGATGCTATGGCGGAATCCGTATGTCGTATATCCAAGAGCTCGCAGACTCCCAGTACTAATTTTCTTAGGCGGCCATGAGAAATGTAAATAGTCGGAGAGGGCAGACTTCAATCACACATCTTATGAACATTACTCTTCCTCCGAGACCACAAGACTATCGAAATACTATTTCAAGAGGAACAAGACGTGGAAATATATATGGAATCGGATCCGGTCACCATTCCAGTGATAAGGCGAGGTTTGTACTGTGAGGTCATGCTATCGAGCTCATCTGACATTTTAACAGATACATTCACGCAAACTATCGATTTATAGTCAGACCAAATGGGGATTATAAGCAGCAAGCTTTGTTCGCAGACCAGCATTTGGACTGGAATGATGTTCTACAAATCCTCGCATCCGCCGAATCGCAAGACGCATCATGCCCAATCTGCCTCTCACACCCCGTAGCCCCTCGAATGGCAAAATGCGGCCACATTTTTTGTCTCCCGTGTCTCATTCGTTACATGCATTCCACCGACGATACAAATCCTATACCAGAGAAGAAAGCTCGATGGAAGGCATGTCCAATTTGTTGGGATACCATCTATAATTCAGAAACTAGACCCGTTAGGTGGTTTACTGGACAAGAAGGACCGGCCCCTCGTGAAGGAGAAGATGTTGTATTACGATTAGTTGTGCGACAACCTGGAAGTACTTTGGCACTGCCAAGGGATGGTGCGGATGTGCTCGATAAGTCGGAAGATATTCCATGGTATTTGGCTGCCGAAGTTACGGATTATGCTCGAATCATGAAAGGCAGCGAAGAATATATGATGGAACAATTCGAGCTAGAAATCGAAGCATTGAAGCAACAAGAAAATATAGACGAATTGATGTTTGGAGAGGAACCCGAGTGGACTCGGAAAGCGGTCAATTCTATAAATGACGCGAAGGAGAAAATAAAAGGTATCGGTGGACCACCACCTCCACCAAGGCAGCCGACGGAGAAGAAACCTAAGAGGCAACCCATACAATTCAATCCTGTTGATCAAGATGCTCCAGAAATGTATTATGTCCAGCATGCTTCAAAGTCAGGCCTGACTATCCCTGTTTCAATGTCGTCTCCATCAACAGCTGTTCCTTTCCAATTAGATTCGGAAGCAACTCCACTGCAACCTTCATCTCATCCCGCTTCGATCGCAAATACTCCACAAATGCGTCCGAACAACACCCGGCAAATTGATGGGCATTCCCCAGATGCTCCATACTTCTTTTACCAATCTCTTCTTCACTATTATCTCGCTCCCCTCGATATCAGGATCCTCAAATCCGCTTTCGGCAATTTCGCTTCATTTCCCTCAACTTTGCTTCCCCGTGTTGAACGCGTATCAACTCATGTAATGGATGACGAATTGCGAAAAAGAACAAAGTATTTGGCGCACTTACCATTTGGTTGCGAAGTAGGATTTCTGGAATGCAATTGGACGGATGTTGTTCAGCCGGAAATTCTGAATCAATTTAAAGAAGACATTGAGCGACGAAGAAAACGTAACAGGGATAAGGAGAATCGTGAGGAGAAAGATAGACAGCGTGCTGAGAAGGCAGAGGATAATGCACGCTGGGCTAATGCTAGACAGAAGCAACCCGAAACATCCCCGGGAAGCCATTCTGATACCGATTACGCCCAGCTCGCATCGACGTCCATTGACCCTATGAATGCGTCTCCCCCTTGGACCTCACGTCAAGGCTCTTCTTTCGGAGCATTGGCTTCACCATCCACAAGCCCTCCTGCGCCAAGAACTGTTTGGGGAACCGCTTCTGTAACACCATCTTTGCCAGATCTCCATCTTCAAAATGATAATGACGGTGATGATGGTTGGCTACAAGCTTGGGAACAAGAGATTCAGGCAGATAATGCAGAGACTGCACTCATTGCTCAAGTTCAAGCAGCTTCCTTGAACGGAGAAAGTAGTTCAAGTGCTACTCCTCCTCCTCCTACTCAAGGAAAGAAGAAGAAGGCAAAGAAAATTACATTAATGAGCACAACAGCTAGAAGAGCGGCATGATTTTTCGCGAAGAATTGAAATCGAAGCGTGGAATTTTCGCATTCGGCGTTCATGGTGAAAGCAATACAGAAACAATCTGCAATATATTCATATTAAATGTTCAACAACATGGTCTCATGCATGTCTAGTCTCATTCTTCATATGTCGGACGAACGAAAAAGGTTTTTTAGGAGTAAGTATTATTTCTTCCAAGTATTATAAGTGGCGTTTATGGAGGGTGTAACGGCTTTTACGGCTGAACGCCAAACACCATTGTAACACAGTGATCAGCACCTTTACCCGTTTTATCCAACCGTCTCCGTTGCCCGTGACCTGCCTCAACGAGCGATATGAGCTATTTGCGTCTGAACATCTATTCTGGAAAGCAAGTAACGAGGAGAGAGAGAGGGGGGGGGGTTAGAAATCTCAGTAGTCGTTTACCTTTGCGTCGCTTAACAGTTCATCCCACATCTTCATGGCAACACAACAACACAACACCACGACACGATATTTTCGCAAATCATACACATAGAATTTTTGACTTCGGCGGTTTTATATGACCGAGTGGTTTGCCATACATAAAAATATCAATTGATTCAACAATTCCCAATGTAATGCAATGCACGGCCCGTACCGCGATAGGAAAACTTCCTGCAGCTAAAGTCTCGGCACAGATCATTGTATCAATTGACAAATTATATAGTCGTATCAACTATTTTTATCATCAACTACTACAACTACTATTGTGTTAACGAAGATATACGATATTTTTGAGCAACATGTGAAAATTCTAACCCTCTTCTTATCACCCGTTAGGGTTTATCATCCTACTCTACTATCTTTATTACGAGTTATTCTCGCGAGCGAGTAACGTTACGAGAAAAGTCTTCCTCCTAATCTTTCTCATCAAGTTAAAGAGTTTCTTCGTATATAGCGGGACTTATCGGGCTATTCCTATTCTTGTGTCTTGGAAGCTTACGGAACGGAGACACGATAATCCCGGACGTTCTACGTACGATACGATGCAACCTTGAGGCTGGTCCGAAAGTCCAGTAGAATGGATCGCTTAAGTCAGCCCTGAGCCTACAGCCACTTCTATAGTACTTCTCTGATTTATCTATCATGTTTGATTATTATACATAGACTATTGCTATGCTCTAGAACATTTTAAACCCCCCCCTTCATCTCTATCAGGATTTTACCGCAAATTATTGAGTAGCATCGATGCATTTATGTTTCATTATCAATTTCCAGTATTATGCATATGCAGGTCCTTCAATATTGTCCGGACAACCTATCGGAGAGTGTCCGGCTGAGATAGGTAAGCGTGGGAAGACTTTCTCGAACTGTCGATTACCTGGCTAAATACGAGATATGCTACTAGGATCGATTGAGGCACAACGGCGCAAACCGAGTCCATGGGCTGAACATAATCATTAGCATGGCATGTTGATCAACAATGTTACTTGATGTGACAATAGTGCGAACAACCCCCGCGGAATTCATTTGCCAGTATGTGTCGAAGTTCAATGCTAGTGGTCGACTGGAATCTTGAAGGGCGCATCTAGTATGCGAGCTGGACTTTGAGGTCAGCACATGTATGACTTGAATCTCGATGAGACTACGTCAGTCTGTTCATTTCCCTTCTCAACCCGTAATAATCAAAAGCCATGAAGATAAGATCATGCCATGAATTCTATCATGACCAGTGCAAGTGAACCATATTCCCGGATTCCGCCTTTTCACTTTTTGATATCTTGGAGGAAAGAATCTTAATGATGCGAGGCTCTCATGCTTCACAACGTGAGTTGCAATCGGCCCGTGCTTTCCTTTCAATTGTCAGGCTATCGTATAGAATGAGAAAAGACACGACCTGCATATTCATGCATCTTACTGTGCTGCGTAGAGGCGGTGTCTGGGATGTATTGTATAGTACAGTTCTAGTACCTTGTATGGTCATGTTATGTTGTATCACTTGCAAGGGGCTGGGTCGAGTCGGCATGCTTGATTCAACGTTGCTTGATGTTATGATGTGGTAATAGTGCTGAGAGGCGAGGGGCGAAGGTGAGAGATGGGGTGAGATAAGATGGAGAGAACTATATATATGGGTGTTCTCTCTATGCATTGAGCTTTCAATCAATCTCATCATACAACTACAACTTACAATAACATCACTGACACGCAATCACAACTTACACGCAACAATAACTTCCACACAACTCAAACTCAAACATTGAACACTACCACCAAATCAACTTAACTTCAAATCCAAACTCACTCAAAATGCTCTTCACAGTACGTTGCCCATCCATCCCACATCCCAACACCACACACTAACCCCAACCCCAGACTATACTCCCCCTAACCTTCCTCACCGGCGTTCTCGCCACCCCTCTCCCCATCACCCAAACCGCAACCTCCACCTGCTCCACCCTCATCACCAGACTAGACTACTACCAAGGCTACACCTCCCCCACGCAATGCGGCGTCGACGTCTTTCAAGGAAACATCACATCGGGCGTCTGCATCAATATCACTACGCAGGGCCTCATGCTTTTCCCCTCTGATTCACACTGTGTCTTTAGTCTTTGGAAGGGCAACGTGGGCTGCAGTGGGGATCCTACGTCCACTTTTGATTTGGGTGTTGCGGCTGAGGGCACTCAGAGTGTGGGGACTTGTGTGGGAACGGGGGTGTTGGATGGTGGGAAATTTTATCATGGGAGTGGGTTTTTGAGTTGTGGGTGTTAAAAATAAGTAGGGTTTGGAAATAACTGTGCTGGGCTGAGCTGAGAGGTGGATTGGGCGGATCGGATTGGATTGGAATGGAATGGAATGGAATGTGGGATACGCTTTTCTTGGATGATAATGATGAATGGATGGAAGGAAAGTATTTCAGTTGCTGGGAATGCTAAGGGCTATTAATGGTGGATATGATGGATGGATGGACGGACGGACGAACTGCGGAAATGGATTTCGACATTTGTTTTTGGTGCTTTGGACATGACATTTCGGGCGGGTCAAAAATATAGACAAAAGCGCACGCATGCATACTTTGAATGGATTTATTTCAAAAGCGTTAAATTACATTACATATCTGCCTTGCATAGGTAATGTCTTCTTTTATGATCTCGTGATTAAATGATATGTTTGTGTGATGAATGTACAGTATAGTTTGTTCTTTGCGCGCATAGATTGATTGAGGTGATAGTAGTCTTACTAGAGTAGTCAAGACCGCACAGTTTATAATATTATCTGTAGAGTACCTTACTCAGTACTCTTCTTACATATTTCTTCTGGATCTGCTCTTCTCTCTATCCTTGCGCATACAAAATTGACAATTAGCTTCTGTTTACTCTGGAGTCTAACTCAATCAATCAAGAAAAGTCATGATGAGTACTCAACTTCACTATCTATAGCTCCACATCATCTATCATCTATTATCTATCATCCATCTCGAATCCTATCTCAACCTATGCATAAAGATATCACGAATATTTATCTAATATTAGTGGAATGAATAGCGGAGCAGGTTGGGTGTATGTATGTATGTATGTGTATATAATAGACGAGTATTCGTCTTGTGTATGCGGTATAGGTATACTCACTCTTACCTATCTACAGTACAGTATTCATTTTGTAACCAAGGTTCTAGTATTGGTGCTAGTGCTGGTGCTGGTGCTGGAGAATATGTTGACTGACTGGAAGTTCTTTGATATGTGATGTGATATGTGATGGGATGGGATTATATGAGGATACAGTAGATGTGGGTAGATATCTATGTACGTAGCTCATTGCTGGCTGCCGGTGCTTTCTTGTGCTGTTATGTTATTTTTAGATTTGTGATTCTTGTGTTGGTGATGCGGAGGAATCATGAATGTTTGTTTGTGGGACTAAGGTACTTGTGAGATTTGAGGGAGGAAGTGTTTGGTTATTTGAGCGGATGGAGTAAAAGAAGAACGTCTTCGTGAATATCTAGGACCTACCTAGGTATAAGTTCTATTTAGTGATGGAGCTGTGGTTGGGGTAGATGCTTGGATTGATTATGGATTCTTGATGTGTTACTGTACGTAAAAGTTGGGTCTTGGTACGAAACATGGTCGGTCGGAGTTGTGATGTATGTGCATTATTTGGCTCTTGATCTTTTCAGTAACCCACTTATAGTCCTATTCGAGATGCAGATTGGAAAATACAGTCTGCATATGTACCGTTTCCTCAGTGGAAGTCTATCCAAATTTTATGGTTATATGCTATATTTAAGGAACTTCGTGGATACAAATACCTACTCGTGCACCTCCATACTACCTGTATACTACAAATAATCATCTATATGATCTCTATCACATCCAGGACCCGCCAGTATATTTATTCAACGTCCTATTCATACCATAAAAGCCATTTACACTTGAGAAACTTCTATTCTAACATAACGCCAGTCTCGTTAGAAGATATACCTAAAATTGAAATTCTCCCTATCCGTCATATCCGCAAAAGCAGTAGCATCCAAATCCTTTCTTCTCCTCTCCTCTACATCCTCATCACCAAATGCATCTCCTGGTTCCTCTCTAATCCCACTCACCACATTGAGTCCTTGCACTACATCTCTCTTTTCATTTTCTCTCTTGAGTAAAAATCTCAACACAAGTATTAACACTACTTCCAACAAATGCGAAACAATCATCGACCAAATCCCCAACGCGTATTTCGGGGCCTGAGAACTTTTATAGAAAAATGGGCCGGAGATATTGCCTACACAGCCACCTACGAATAGCGTCGTATTTGTGAGGATTTTCTTCGTATGACCAGCTGTATTGGCTGACAATACCGAGAGTAGGAGGACAAAAGAGGCGTTGTAGGGACCGGTTAGATAGTACATAATTAGACGAGGTACTTGGTGAGTTGATGGAAGAAATTGGAGACCGAATGCTCCGGTGATGTTGGGGAGCATGAAGAAAACGATCATGAGACAGCGGTTGTTTGAAGGTAGGCGGTCGTTGAGGAAAACGCATGCTAGAATGCTGAGCGCTATTATGGCGCCGTAGGGGATTTGCATTAAAGTTGTTACGACTATCATCCATTAGTCACGTTTCATGAAATTTAGATGGAAAAAGGGGAAGACTTGCGAGTAGAATATCCGAACCCCTTGATGATCAGAGTACCAAAATTACTAATCCCTCCATTTGGGATGTTTGCAACCAACCCAATCAGAAAGAACATATAAGTTTTATAATCCGTCGCCCACTCCTTAACCTGCACCCACTTGAACGTTTTATTCTCCACCCCCGTCTGATTTTCCCGTAGTCTCTCAACCGCCATCCTCTTCTCTTCAATACTCAACACTTTTGCCGTAACAGGACTATCGGGTAGGAAAACCCAAAGCACAATCCCCCAAATACAACAACAGGCTCCTACAATTAGGAACTCATATTTCCATGATGATAAGGAACCGCGAATATTACCGATCCCGTAGCCGATGAGGCCACCGAGCGCAATACCCACGCCATTGGCGGTATACCATAGGCCGATGCGAATAGGTTGTTCGCGCCGCGTGTACCACATGGAGGTTATGATCATGAATGAGGAGTCGCTACAGCCTTCAGCGGCACCGGATAGGGCTCGAAGGATGGCTAGTTCGATGAAGTTACGGGCAGCGGCTAGTTTAGTTTCGGGGTTAGTATACAGTACGACCGAGATGCAAGGAGAATAGGAATGGAATCTGCACCTTGACACATGAGTAGGGCTCCCCACATGAAGATATTGAACGCAAGGTATTTCCCAACTGGAAATTTCTGCATGAGATAATTGGTTGGGAATGCCCAAACGAGCCATCCGAAATAGAAGATGCTTGAAAGCCAGGAGTATTTGGTTCCTTCTAGGTTTAAATCATCTTTGATGCCGAAAATTGCGGCGTATGAAAGAGTTGTTTTGTCAATCTAGGTTGTATTAGCACTTACGATTATCAAGGGGGGACACAAGAGATCAAATATTCCATACATAATAAAATGTATAACAAATAGCCAAACAAGGCAAAATAACCATATCGATTTTTTTGATTAGCTTTCTCTCTTCCACGGGATCAACCGCCTGATGTAATTGTTCGCTGTCCCGAAACAAAGCAAGAGCGGTATCGCCCTCTGGCTGTTTCTTTTGTAAAGATTCCCATGCCGGGTTTGAAGATTGCGGAGATAGGGTATTGAGTTGAGGGTTACTTGATTGATCAGGGTAAATCTCGAGGTGAGCTACCTCCCCTTGTTTGCTTTTCGTCATTTTGTCTGATGCAAGAATAGAATCAACATCCAGGAAGAGGAGAAGAATGCAGGAAAGAGCCTAAGTATCTGAGTTAAACGACTTTGTACTCTTGAGTATGTAAATAAGAATATCAACAACTAAGAAAGGAGTCAGAAAAGGCGCTGTGGATCAAGCCTCCTCCCTACTCCAACAAGTTTGATGATCAGCTAGCACTTTAATCAGAGTGCAGCAGATACTTGGTGTTGCTCGGAAAGTATGAAATGAGGACTATTCTTGATTATTCCATATCATTTGTGCTATACCGGTAGTTGTAAGATGCCCATAATTGTACCATCATTGCTCCCACAAACGTGTAAGGATATATCTGGAAAACACCCCATATTACCCTTCCCCTCTTTATTCTAATTGTGTCTAAAAAGCCGACATAAAAGGTATGGAGCACCCTAACAACTCACATCACTATGCGGAGATCAACCAATTTTCCATGAATCATACAAGGGAAAGATGCAGCTAACCTTGCTACCGGTTGGGTGCCGTGCATGTTATCTCTAGGTATTCCCCACATTGGCAGGGGGTTGGAGAGTTTGGCGAGTGCTAGTCATTAGTGGGGTGTGGGGGGACGGGGGGAACATGTATCGTGGGCAATAGGAGTAGCGTTTAGACTCCCAGCCTGTTTCTAAGTTGATTTCCTATACACTTTCATGGTGAAAGTCATTTATATGGAGATGAACAAAAGATAATTCAGCAATGAGCTATATGTCCTAAATGTATCCGTATCAATAAGATTTCCGGATCTGGGAAATCAATTATCCATAGTCAACAAGCTTTAGTGCACAATGTGGTCACTGCCTTAATCTCCTTGACGTTCTGCTGTTTGGTCAATTCGTCGTCGGTAACAGACGAAAGATGTGCTTCAGTACTAGGTTTTAGAATATTTTGAGCGACAAGTTCAAGGTCATTGAGGTTGACGGGGAAATGAGGCGGCTTCTGGGTGTATTGTGTATCTTCGGTCAAGGTGACGGTAGGTTCTTTGTGGGCCAGTGTTTCCGAGTCCGCCGCATCGGAAAACAATTTCAAGGAAGCGCCGTTGATCTCAAAATTAGCTAGGTTCATAGGAGGATAGCTGTATGTGGCATATTAGGACGATGAATAGGACGAATGGCTAAGCCACCCTGTGCTAAAGCTCACTTCTCTAATATGCCTACCGTGCAAGATACCTGCCATGTGTAGATATATCATATTGATAAATCCAATCGATACCAAGTGTCATTGATGAAGCACTGGGGAAGTTTTTGTGGAGAACCTTGAAAGATGGGGATGTCAAATAGACGAGATGAAGGGGGTTGGTTCATGTTCCTTAGCGTCGGCAAAACCTTCCTTCAAGCTCCGAATCATGAGATAAACTGTGCCGGAGAATTGCCGACAATCAACAACCTCAGACAAGCTCATTAAAGTAACAACATCATGCCTCCATCTCATTCCATACAACGCCATGAATTGTACTACGTGCCTAGAAGATACTTTAGCTTATTTTGCCAATGTTCTCATAAGATTATTAAAGGGATGAATCGAGAGCTAGAACAAGCGTTTACTAGTACTTGATTCCACCCACATATATATGATGGGATGACAATAACAATCCCCTAGAGCTGCGAGACGGAATACTGTGTCTTGGGCAGAAAAGGGTGGTTCAGGCAGTTATTCTAGTAGAAGATGATGACCCACCAAGATCTCGAAGTCGTGATAATGGAATGGCGCTCGTTGAGATATCCCAGAGTGACACCAATATATGCTCTTGTATCCCACCCATGTTTAGGGTAGAAGAGAGTCGTAAAGAGACTTGAACACGAGGCTTGTTTGACAAGATGAAGCATGGAATATTGTTCGCCGTTGCGACTATCACAACACTTTTCCCCCATCGCTGTCACCAAATATCGAATGTCGTATGTTGTCAGGTTCATGATTTAGGTGAATTATCAAGTCAATACCCCACAACTGGAAGAATATTCTGTTTTGATCGAATGCAAGTCGTATTTGAGTCATCTCACTATGCTCTCTACAATAATTCGAAAGCAATAAAATTAAGCTCGAATTTTATGATTGCGGTTGAGTGGTTTCGTCATCCAGTTGAAAGTTAACCATAGATTGATCATATTCTTTGTAAAACGACTTTCTTCAAAAGCCCGACTTATCTACTAATTTCGGGATTGATCCTTCCTTCAATAGAGTAGTTGGAGCTTTACTCCAGCGAGCCTGAAGTGTGCTTGCCCTTTTTGATCTAGACACTCTTCCTTTACAAGAATCCCTACATTCAAAATATCTCACACGATATCAGACATCGTGTCTATCATTAAAAGCTTGACGAGAAGTTGGAGCGACGTCATAGAAGAGTGAGTAATCATCGCTATCTCCGTTGACGGCACCTCTTCCGTGGTCGGCCACTTCATAAAGAACTCTGATAGAGTAAATAATTTGTTGAGGGGTGATTCGGAAAATTCCCAACAAGCTTACACTTTTGAATATTAACGAAGAAAGTATATAAATCCTTACCTCCGATAAACGAAGCAGAACTCGAAGGAAACCTCGTCGCTGGCCGGCTTGACATTTTAATTTTCTTACCCATTATCAGTAAGCTTGTACTTACTATAACAGAAAATTATCAGCGACGTGCACTGTGAGTTTTTGGCGCCTAGGAACAAATACTATCGTGTCCGTCTCCGTATCGTGCTTTCGCATTTGAAAGCTTTACCGAAATTATCTCAACTCATCTGATCTACCGAAAGAAAATTGTTTTCCGATTTCGGTCTTTTCTGATCCCGGGACTCAAAATCCAGCCTAACGTGCCGTTCGTAAGTGGGTCAGTATCTTCGAAAAGCTTTGCAGCAATTTGCAGACTTCACTAGCCAACTCCTGTCAACAGTTCGATCTTCGCAATCTATCTTTAGGGATTTTAAAGCCATCTGGAGTAGTCAAATCCCCTCAAACGACTTCCAGCTAGGACACCCAGTCTACAACAACAAGAAGGTGAAGAAGTACAGGAAAGACTTACCTCGTTGTTTTAAATATAAACAAATCTAGCCAAACCTTCCCACCTCTCAGAAAAGAGTTCAAACCCTACGAACGGGCAAGTACGAAAGTCCCTGAACACCCATTACAATGGCAGGCGCTTTCTATCCGACGACCTTTCCCCCTACTTTACCGCCAACGATCTATACTCCCCAAAATCGGCATGGACATTCGAAATCTATTGCAGCGAACCCCTGTTTACTTAACCCTGACTATTCCGCATACGACTCAATTGACAAAGAATGCGACCTAGAAGCAGGAGGTTTACGAGTAATGACCGACCACGACGTAAACGCTCGACCCCTATGCTTCTCAAACTGGGCTCAGGAATGGGCTTTTGTGTTCACAGTCATGCTGGCATCGTCCTCCACGACCATCATCCAAGGTGTTATCCTTATCATGACCGAGACGATTGGTAAAGGTCTGAACGCGACGGCGCCTCAAATAACTTGGGTAGCAGCCTCAGTAGGGTAAAGTCTTCCGCCTAGATCTATACCTTCATGTTCACGAAAAAGAGTCCGAATACATAGGATACTAACAATGAAGTAGACTTGGTAGTGGATCATTCATGCTTTTTTTCGGTAAAGTAGCCGACGAGCTCGGTCGAAAGATACAACTACTCATCGGAATGTTATTCATGAGTGCCTTTTCACTGATCGCCGCATGGAGCCCTGGTCCAATCGAATTAATTGTCGTCTGCGGTTTTCTTGGATTATGTACTGCAGCAATTGCCCCCCCAGCTCTCGGTATCCTTTTCGCAGCTTATCCAGAAGGTCGTCGAAGAAATATGGCATGTGGAGCTCTGGGAACTGGGAATCCGGTTGGGTTTATCCTAGGGAGTGTCTCTTCAGGTCTTGCCGTCAAATACTATGGATGGAGAGCGAGTTTTGTCGTCATGGCCATCTTCTTTTTGCTTATGGTTATACTTGCTTTCTGGACGGTGCCAGTAATTACAAGAATAGGGAACAGATCGCAAGCGGTTCGACAATTCGACTATGCTGGTTCCTTATTTATTGTTTTAGGGGTGGCTTTGGTATCCGCAGGATTAACGTAAGTATTTCATCATAACCCATTTCCACCATGACTACCACTAACGATCCTACAGAGAAGGTCCTCAAAGCGGTTGGTTGTCAGTACACGTCATTCTCTTGCTAATCTTCGGAGTTTTCTTTGTCATCGGCTTCATTGCTTGGGAATATTTTTATGAACATCCTCTCCTCGATCTCACCGTCTGGCGCAACGGCAACTTTACTCTTTGTGTAATTTGTATGGGATTCGGATACATGTCCTTCATCACAAATGAATTTTGGATTGCATTGTATATGCAGGATGTACAGCATTACACACCTTTGCAAATTGCTACTCGTATGCTACCCCAAGCAGTAGCAGGTGTCTTCTGGAGTTTCTTGGGTCAATGGTTAGTACAAAAGGTGTATGGAACCATAGTGATGGGTATTGGTTCTGTGATGTATCTTGCAGGCGCAGTTTTGTTACTGTTCGTTGAAAAAGATACATCATATTGGCTATTTCTATTTCCGGCTCTTGTTATCACAGTCATTGGTGCGGATTTTCAGTTCATCGTTGCAAATGTAAGTTTCTTTCTTACCTATTACTTCTAATTCTCCGCACTCGTCAAAATTCCCCACCCACCGCTCTCTCTAACATTAAGCAGCTTTACGCCAATAAGCAAATGCCAACTCAAGCCTCCCTCAGCGTCGGAATCATACAAACAGCCTATAGACTCTCCATAACCATTGGTCTAGCCATTACATCCGCCGTCTTCAATACCGCTACTTCCACCAACTCCAGTATCGAAGACTCAACTCTCCCTTATCGACGTGTCTACATGTGCTCCATCATCTTCGCCTCCATCGGTCTCGCAATGATCCCTTTCATGCGTATCAGAACCCGTACAAAAGATAATGCACCTGTAGCTACTCGCCCAACAACCATGATGTCAGAAATTAACAGCAGCATGATTGTTAATCGACCTTCATCCCACTATAACGACATGCCAAGCGCCTTAATTAACGCCCTCAATCTCAACCGCCCTCCCCCTCTCAACATCAACCAACGAGTTCATCGCGAACAACGTGAAGAACTCAATAATGCACAACGCTACGATCCTGGTCTTCCCCGAGCTATGACAATGAATGATATTGCGCAAGGACTCCTACGTCTTCCGAGATGGAGCTGGGAAAATCGGCCACGAGCCGCTTTCTGGAAATATCGTAGGGGTAGTCAATGTCATTGGGAGAGTAGCAGTGGTGATATGTTTGAGGTTTGTAAGAAGTGTAAGGAGGAGAGGAAGATTAAGGATGAGGAGAGTGGATTGGATGAAGTTGAGAATTGTGTTGTGGAGGGTGGAAGAGGAAGGGGTATGAGGGTTATAGAGGTGGAGGTTAAGGACGAGAGGAGATTTACGGTTTAATGGGGGTGCAGTGAAATGGGATGGAGGGAGATTCTGGTGACAGAGAGGTTGATGTCAGTCTCTCTAACCTGATTTCCATGTTTAGAGGGATGGCTGACAACAATGAGAGAACGCGAGTTTTTTTTTTTTAGATGGATGGATAAACCTGGGATACCCACTTTGCTTTTGCTCATGGACTTCTTCGATTTCGACCTGGATGCTTGCTTGCTTATTTGCTTGCTTTGATCAACAACATTTGCTTTTGTTTCGACTTTTCCTTTACGGCTTGCATAGAATGGAATGGAATGGGGTTGGAATGGATCTGAGTAGAAATGGGGAACCCCATGGTACGAATTGCAGGAACAATTAAGATTGGCGTGAGACTTAGAGGTAGAGAATGGCTTACATTGGGATAAAATCGATGGTATAATGAATGAATCAATGGACGGATAGATGAATGGATGAATGGATGAATGGATGGAAGGATCATGATACAAGACTATACTTTACTCGTAGATACAAGGCAATACAGTAGATAGAGGTAGAGGGAGAGAAAAGAAGATGTGTATTGCAAGTTTTGCAAGTTCGGAGAGTAGATAGTTAGGTTAGTTACAAATTAGATGCAATAGATGCAATCCTTTAGTATGACTCGGTTCGGAGTACGTTTTTGGTTGTTCATTTTTGGATGATTTGTGAAGGAAGATATGGAGATAAGTAGGGGGAATTTGATGTGAATTGAATGAATGTCTTGAGTGAGAATGGAAGTGGGCTGTTGAAGCTTTGAGACTTATGATTGTGAAGGTTTACCGAGAGCAGGAGCAGGAGCAGAAGCAGGAACAAAGTAAAGGTCACTAGTAACCATGAGCATGAGTATGAGCTCACTAAGAATAGATAATATCTATAATATACTCAAAAGTCTAGTAGTATTATCTAAGCGCAATCATATACAAATTTAGACGAGAGTAAGCTGCTATTATATACTCGAGTAGTATCGATTTCAATACTCCGAGTCTATTTAATACTATAACTTCTAATCTCTAACTCATTATCTACAAATACTACTCGAGTATATCAATCTAATCTCCTTTAGAAAAGTTATCTTTTTAGACTTGATCCCGAATCATTTAAGGAAATAAGTTTATTTGTATTTTTATTTATAAATATAAATCAATCAATTATTATCTGATTATTATTAGACATTTACCTTACTATATATATTTTTCGAGTTATTTTGATAGATAGATTAGCTTAGAAATTAGAAATTAATATTTACTACTACCACGACCACTATCATCTTACTCATACACCTATCTACCTCATCATCTATCTACTCGAGTACTCCCATCACATCATGTTATTATTCTATTATCTCATATACACCCTATTAATTAGTCGAGTATATTACAGGGGATAGATCTTATAGTAACTACCTACCTACCTACCTACTTACCTACATACCATCTTATTATCTTATTATCTTATCTCATCTGATTATTTTACACTCTACGACTACTATCATGACTATCCCGCATCCCATTAACTCACATCCCACATCCCACCTCCCATCACCACATCTCACATCCCACATCCCATCACCATCTCCCATCATCTCCCATTATCTCCACTCCACTCCCCTTTTATTCTTCCTCCCCCTCTCTCTCCCCCTCTTTCCAACCCCCCCCCCCCACTCACTCTCCTATCATTCCATTTCCCCTCTTAATCTCCCTCTTACCCTCCCCTCCCATATCAAATTATCCTCCTCTTCCCTCAATCTCTACCCTCTACATTTTACCCTCTACCCCTTTCCAACCCCATCCCCCTTCAACATTTTATCCTCTCCCCTCTCCCCTCTCCCCTCTCCCCTCTCCCCTCTACCCCCATCCCTCTTCTAACCCCCATCCACTTTTTCATGCCTCATTATACATACATACATATATACATACACTCAAAATCTTCTCATCCCAACTTTTTTCATACCATATATTCACATCTTTCTTTTTTTTTGTTCCCTTCTCATCCTTCACCCCCTTCCCCCTCCTCCCTCTCCTCAGAAATAGGAGAACTGGGAATGGTAGAGTAAACGGAAGGAGATAGGAAATAGGAAATCTACAATCAAATTTAATCACATCCACATCTTTCACATTCACTCATCTCATCTCACATCTCAACCACATAATCAAATCAATTCGCCCTTCAAATATCTTCATTCATTTCTTAAATCTGTATCTCAAGAACTTTACTTTATCTGACCGCTCGCATGCATACTTCTCCAGTGTCCCTTGACAGTGCCCACCAGATATCTTTATCCATCGATACCAATCTCCTTAACTCGCGTCGTAGCCGCATGAATCCTATGCTCCAGCATCTCCAGTCTTCATAAATCTCCTTTCTTTCCTTTACATCATGGAAACTGTGGAGAATCTAGCATCATTCATCCTCGAAACTTCATCCTTCGATCATAAAATAGGAAAACAAAAACGCAATAATGTGAGTGATGTGACTTTTGTGAATCCATCCGTGAAACCCGATGGACGATTGCGGTAGCAAAGGCCAAACTCTAAACTCAGATATGAAGCAACGCAACATAAAGACTCCAAAAGAGGAGTAGGTATTTTTTTTCAAAAGGAAATAGAAAGTGAAAAGTCGACATTTTGAATAAGTCGAATAAGTCGGTACAATTATACAAAGAAGTTGTCTGTTCCGCAATCCTTTGAAGCAAATTACTAGCAATCGAAAACACCCCGGGGTTTTACTTTTCGACATAGTTTCTGATCGTAGATGTGGAATGGTCGTCCTCGATGTAGTTCATGTGCCGTGCATCAAGCACTTGAATTTATTCTTGGCCGAAAGCCTTCTTTCTCAAAGGGCAATCGAGCTTCTCGTGACCCTCTTGCTTGCACTCGTAACATCTACGGGCCTCGGAGGTCTCTTGGCTGCAGTCACGGGACAAGTGACCGACCTAGAGGTTTTGTTAGTATACCGATTGGACGAAAGTTGGCATGTAAAGATGACTTACTTCACCACAGTTGTAGCACTTTTGACCTTGGGTGCAATCACGGGAAAGATGTCCGTAACCACCACATGAGAAACAGGTTTGGCTTCCTTGACGGGCACCACCACCGAATCCACCACCGTAACCACCTTGGTTACCACCTTGTTGACCACCGTAACCTTGGTTGCCACCTTGTTGACCACCATATGCACCAGCTTCTGGGCAGTTACGGGCGATGTGACCGATCTTGGAGCACTGTGAAAGAAGAAAAAGGTTAGCGACAGATTAAACATCATAGGTATTCTGCCTTACCTTGTAGCACTGTTGTCCACCACCACCACCACCAGCACCACCTGCGAATCCACCACCGAATCCGCCACCACGGCCAGCACCCTCAGTTGGTGGGTTGGAGCAGTCCTTGGAGATGTGTCCGGAAGTACCGCACTAGAAATGATGTTAATGAATTTGATCATGTGAGCTTTGTGGATGTAGAGATGCTTACTCTGTAGCAGACCTTCTCCTTTGGTCCCTCTGGGCAATCACGGCTCAAATGACCTGGGTCTGAATATGTGTTAATATAATGTTGTCTGAATGGATTAAAGTAATATCTTACTGTCGCAGTTGTAGCACTTGGCTGGTCCACGGCTTGGGCATTCACGGGCTTGGTGACCTTCGTTTCCGCCTAGAGTTTTTATCAGCTTATGTTCGAGACTTTTGCCAAAAAAAAGTGTTTGTTTGGTGTGCCACAGATGGAATATGATTGTAATTGAAGGTTCACATTTCTTGATATATTGTTTGTTGGATTGTTTGTTGTGTTGTTGGTTGTCGGAGAAGTGTTGTTGCAGAGTTTTCCTTTCATAAAATCATAGTTTCAGAAACATCATCTGCAAGTCTTGCAGCAGATGATTATATCGATATTTTATCTTAAAGAAACTGTCCATCCTCGTAGTTGTTGTTCTTGTCTTCATTCAAGGTGATGAAAGGTCGTGTCGGATGTGCAAAAGAATAATCGAGGTTGTTTTGTTTGTCTTGTGGAATGAAGTTGTAAAGAATCTGATCCAAACTCACAGGTGAAGCATCCACGTCCACCACCGCCGCCACCGCCTCCTTGTTGAGCTCCGAAAGAATCCATTATGACTGGAAGGTTTGTGTGTTCTATGAGTGATTGAGTACCCGGTTAGTTCTTCCTGTCCGTCAAGGTAATAATTGAGATGTGATAGACAGAGAGACTTGAAAGGATTTTCAATTTTGAAGTGGGTTGAGGTGGGGTTAAAGAGCAAACAAAACACTATATTAACAAAGCTGCGACAGATAATATAAATGACTTACGAGTTTTGATTGATTGAATTGATTAAGTTGTCGTGAGAAAGTGAAGATAGAGAACTTGAAGTAACAAAGTCAAAGTTTCTTGAATATGGTGTGTAGTTGAAGAGTTTTCTTAAGTTGAGTTGTATTTTTTTTTTATCAAAGAAAAGATGAAATCTTGGTACAACCAGTTGGAAAGTGCCCTGGTTTCTACCAAAGCTCTTTCTCGGCTGTAACTTTTTTGGGAAATGTGCGTGTGGGTGGCGCCTCGGTTTAGTGGAGCATATCTAAGAGTATAACTAACCCTTTTAACAGGCCTGGTAGTGAACAAATCAGAATGAAGTTCTGCTGGGGGATTGAAATTCGAGCAATGAGAAATGAGAAATGAGAAATGATCGAGGGGTAGGGCAGAGGATAGAGGGGTTAAAATACAGTATTAAGTATTAATATATGTATGAGAATTTTGTATAGGGCTTCCGATTGATTCGATCAATAATAGCGGCCAAGATGTACCGGCACATTGGTATATTGATACATCGGTACATCGCTACATCGGTATACCGCAAAGTATATAATAGGGCTCGGGGCGGCTCGCTCGTGGGGTAAACTTTCCGTACGTACGGACAGGTACATACTACTCGTACTCGTACTTGTAGTAATATACCTACCTACCTAGTACCAATACAAAGCTGATCAACACCCGTTTATTCTAATATCAGTACTCCAACACAAACTCATACCGGTATTCTATACAGACAGGATTCCTTTGTCATCTATTTATTCCCTAGGTACAGATAGATATAACTCATACATAATATAAGGTTGTCAAGACCCTTGATCTTGATCATCATGACGGACGGGTACTTACATCTGGGGTTACGGATTACAACATATCTAATCTCTGATTCGTTCCCCGAGGTCTTTCATTTCGGTATCCCATTTTTGACAACGGTTTGTGACAACCGTTGGTTACACATCTCATATGGGTGAGTGGTTGACATCTTTTGTTCTACATCACACACTTGCGCCCGATAGATATGGGATGTAAGTAAGAGATCACTTGGCGGGATGTTTGAATTTTACGGTATTCCTGGAGGGGCTTGCAGTAATCGGTGCCCAGCATTATGGCGGGGAAGGGTTACTCATTCCCTTTATTGTCAAAGGGGGGTTTTAACCGGTTTTTCGAGGGAAACCCGTCTACATTGTGAAAGGTTTCTCTCATAATAGGATACTATCTGGATGAATATCCGTATCGATATTCAGAACCAGAATAGCGAATTTGAATATCTAAATGATAGGTAGTTTGGACGATAAGTAGCAAAATTCTAGTCCAAACAAGTTCGTCTGTTCTGCTTCACTCCAATTCACCCCACAAAACATTCCATTCCTTATATTCCGAACCAATTAAATTAATTATCGATATCAATATAAATACTAAAATCACGATATATTTCACTCTAATCACTCTTCCAGCCTGACTCCTTTCAATACCGGTGTTATCAACCAGGATGATCTCCTCACAACTTATCTTGTTCCTTCGAGTTTAATTAATTTCCAGGGGACTGACGGACGCGAGGTTTGCCCCGGCGACGCGACTGTCAACATTAAATGTTATTGACAGGTTCCCTGAGACCTTGTATCACCACCTTACTCGAGATTATGTACTGACAAGCTTCACTTCAACATTCATTTCAGTACCGCACCTGTCTCACCTTAAACTAATTCACCTAGATTTACCCTATCATTATTTTAAAGACCAACAACATCAAGGCGCATACATAGATTGGCGCCAGTACTGATTCCACAAGGAAAACCCTAAGAAAAAGCAAATAATTCCGCATTCCCTATTAACGACGTCAAACGATAACAACGATGATAATCACGATACACTGATCAACTCAACAACCTCTCTTTCTCTTCGATGACTCAACTTGAGCTTCGCTATTTTATTGGACATTTGCCCTTTCGACCCCAGTATACAACTCCCTAAATCAGAGAATCCCTCTCGGAACTCGCGGCTGTGAAAGGAGGGCTTTCATCAAAAGGATACCTTGGACGGTTGAACATCTGCAAACATGGCGCCCGGTGGTGGTGGAAACATCAAAGTCGTTGTGCGGTGTAGGCCGTTCAACAGCAGAGGTATGCGGTGGATATGTTGTCAAACCCCATTCTTGTGTCAGTACTGATACCTCGGGATAGAAATCGACCGCGGAGCAAAGTGTATAGTGCAAATGAAAGGCGAGCAAACGGTCATCTCACCACCAGACGGACACGACGCGAAATCAAGAGATGCAAAGGGTGGGAAGGGAGATTCGGGGCAGAAGGTTTTCGCATTCGATCGTTCATACTGGTCCTTTGATAAAAATGATCCAAGTTACGCAGGCCAAGACGATCTCCACACGGATTTGGGAAAACCACTTTTGGATAATGCCTTTCAGGGTTACAACAACTGTATCTTCGCATATGGTCAAACGGGTTCAGGAAAATCATACTCGATGATGGGATATGGGAAAGATGCAGGTGTCATTCCAAAAATTTGTCAGGATATGTTTGAGAGGATAGGAAAATTACAGGAGGACAAGAATTTGAAGTACACAGTCGAGGTATCATATCTGGAAATTTACAACGAACGAGTACGAGATCTTCTAAACCCATCGACGAAAGGTAACCTGAAAGTTCGAGAACATCCCTCAACTGGACCATATGTGGAAGACTTGGCAAAACTGGTCGTGAGCAGCTTTGTGGAAATCGAGAATTTGATGGATGAAGGAAACAAAGCCCGTACGGTCGCAGCTACGAGCATGAACGAAACCTCTAGTAGAAGTCATGCTGTCTTCACTTTAACTTTGACGCAGAAACGTTGGGATGTTGGGACAAATATGGCAATGGAAAAGGTTGCGAAAATTAGTTTGGTCGATTTGGCAGGTTCCGAGCGAGCGAATTCTACTGGTGCAACCGGAGCCCGACTGAAAGAAGGCGCGGAGATCAATAGATCTCTATCGACACTGGGCAGAGTTATTGCTGCGCTGGCCGACTTATCAGAAGGGAAGAAGAAGAAAGCGGGAAAGGGGAACCAAGTTCCATACAGAGACAGTGTTTTGACCTGGCTTCTGAAAGATTCTCTGGGAGGAAATAGTATGACAGCTATGATTGCAGCTATTAGTCCTGCAGATATAAATTTCGATGAAACTCTGAGTACCTTGAGATATGCCGATAGTGCGAAGAGAATCAAGAACCACGCAGTTGTAAACGAGGATGCAAATGCTCGTATGATCCGTGAGCTGCAAGAAGAATTGGCTCAGCTGCGAGGTAAATTGACAGGAGGTGATGGTAGCGGAGGAGGAGGCCCAGCGGATGAGGTCTATGCGGAGGGTACGCCTTTGGAGAAGCAAATGGTCACAATCGTTTCATCGGAAGGCATCGTGAAAAAGGTCTCGAAAGCGGAGATTACGGAACAACTCAACCAAAGCGAAAAACTCTACTCGGATCTGAACCAAACATGGGAACAGAAATTGCAAAAGACCGAAGAAATTCATAAAGAGCGAGAATCAGCCCTGGAAGAATTGGGTATCAGTATCGAAAAGGGGTTTGTTGGATTACATACACCAAAGAAGATGCCCCATCTTGTGAATTTGTCGGACGATCCCCTACTAGCAGAATGTCTTGTATATAACCTCAAACCGGGGCCAACTACCGTTGGAAATGTCGACACGAATGCAGCTCAAGCTGCCGAAATTCGACTGAATGGAACTCGTATATTAGACGAGCATTGCACCTTTGAGAATGGCACCGATAATGTGGTAACTCTTGTGCCAAATGAAGGGGCGGCAGTGATGGTTAATGGGCAGAGAGTCGAAAAGCCAACTCGATTGAGAAGTGGTTACAGAGTTATCCTTGGCGATTTTCACATCTTCCGATTCAACAATCCGACAGAAGCTCGAGCAGAGCGTGCAGAGCAGAGCCTTCTGCGCCACTCTGTTACTGCTAACCAGTTGGAAAATCTGAAAGATTGGGACAAATTCTCGCCTTCATCCACCCCTCGGCCAACTCATGATCGAAACTTCAGCAAAGCTATCTCCGACCTCGACTTTGATGGCAGTAGTCGGGCAGACTCTCCAGTGCCTGGGCGTGGTCTTTCTGATTGGTCATTGGCACGACGCGAGGCTGCCAGTGCTATCTTAGGCACAGATCAGAAGATTGCGGGCTTATCCGACGAAGAACTGAATGTTTTATTTGAGGATGTTCAACGAGCAAGGGCCGAGCGTGCAAATGCAAATGTGGAGGATGACCTGGACTCGGTGACTTCATATCCTATACGAGAAAAGTATCTTTCAAATGGTACCTTGGATAACTTCTCTTTGGACACTGCACTCACCATGCCATCGACACCAAAGCAAGGAGAAGTTGAAGATCAGATGCGTGAAGTCAGAGAAGAGATGCAGGTTCAGCTAGAAAGGCAAAGGGAAGAATTTCATGAGCAATTAGAGACAGCCAAAACCGCAAACGTCGAGGTTGAGGAAATCAAGAAAGAGAAAGTGAGGATGGAAGAAACACTGAAAGAAGTTAAAAACGAGATGCTCAAACAATTGGAGGTTCAACGAAAAGAATACGAGGAGAAATTACAAGAGTTAACCCCGGTGAAGTCAGGACCAGACGGCCCACCTGCACTTTCGGAAAGAGAGATTGCAATTGCGGAGAAAGTGGCAAAACATTGGAAAGGAAGAAGATACGTACGAATGGCTGAAGCTGTCTTTCAGAATGCTGTGACGCTGAAGGAAGCCCAAATAATGAGTCACGAAATGGATGAGAATGTTGTTTTCCAGTTTACTGTTGTTGACATAGGACACGCGTTATGTTCTTCTTACGACATGGTTCTTAATGATATAGAGGGAGATGATTTTCATCTCGAGGATGCGACTAAACCTTGTATTGGCGTACGGATTATAGATTACAGGAATAGCGTGGTTCATCTATGGAGTCTTGATAAACTTCAGGATCGAGTTCGAGTGATGAGACAAATGCATCAGTACCTTGATCGTCCAGAATACCTTCAACACTTTCGGCTGGACAACCCGTTCATGGAGACTTGCATGCCACAATACACTCATGTCGGAGACGTCGAAGTTCCTCTATCAGCAGTCTTTGAGAGTCGGGTTCAGGATTTCACCCTTGATGTCCTCTCGCCATTTACGATGCACGCCATTGGTATCATCAAGCTTTCCCTGGAACCATCCTCAGCAAAAGCTCCTTCAAATACTTTAAAATTCAATGTTGTTATGCACGAAATGATAGGATTTGCCGAGCGAGAAGGAACAGAGGTGCATGGTCAGCTATTTATCCCTCCAGCTTCCAATGAGGGTGGTGTCACGACGACCCAGATGATCAAGGATTTTGATGAAGGCCCAATTCGATTTGAAAGTGTACACAGTATGAGTGTGCCGATGTTTGGTCCTACGGATGTTTCTCTTCGTGTGGCTATATTTGCTAAAGTCTCATCAATGCACCTAGACAAGCTTTTGAGTTGGGATGACATGCGAGATAATGTCCCACAACCTAAAAAGAAGCGTAAGGGTGCTCGTATATCGGAATCACAGTTCTTTTCTGAAGAGAAGCATGATGTATTTGCCAGGGTTCAAATACTAGAACTAGCAGAAAGTGGTGATTATCCACCTGTCGAAGTGATACAAACAAGCGAGCTTGATCAAGGAACCTACCAACTTCATCAGGGTCTACAACGCAGAATCGTTGTTAATCTGACACATAATTCTGGCGATGCTTTACCTTGGTCGGATGTCACTGGTTTACGTGTGGGACGAATTCAACTTGTTGATCACATCGGCAAAAGTCCAGATCTCAGTTCCCCATCTACTCCACCCCTTTACCTTAAATTACTTTCGAAGCCTATTGTCAAAGCAAATGCAAACGGCACCAGCAATGTTACTATAGTCGGGAAATGGGACTCCAGTGCTCATGAGTCTTTACTCCTCGATCGCGTCACAGCAGATAAATATAAAGTTCAAATGTCCCTTGCGTGGGATGTACGATCTGAGAAACTATCTCGCTCAATGACTTTCACCCTGGATGTCTGCTCTCAAATCATGTCGCGCAATTATGTTCGCTCTACATCAATGTTCGCATCGTTGTTTCAAAGCGTTCGGATTGTTCATTCTATGACCGGTATTTACTCGATATCGGTCCGTCCAATGTCAATTAAGAGAGCCGGCGATTTGTGGAGAGTGAATACATCAGAAGACTATGTCAAGGGAGAAGAAGCTCTTACCAATTGGAAACCGAGAGGTGTTAGTTTGGTTAAGGATTTCATTGCAGCGAGAAGGAGGAAACAGAGGTTAGCAGAATTAGATGCTGCTCAACCTTTGTTAAATCGTATTGCATCGTTACCTACGCCGATAGTAATACCGGCTTCCTTAAGTACACCAATCAAAGACCAAGATCCAACTGAAATACCACTTCCGGCAAGTCCACCGGCTACAAATGGAGAGTTTTCATTATCGATAGATGAGGCCTTTCTGCCATCCGTGAACAGAGATACTTCATCTACAAATGGAAATGTCGAATTCAATGATGAGACTACGGAAGATATCGTTGCCGAAACAGATGTCAACTCCGAATCTCAAGATCAAAGCGAAAATCAAGAACAGCCTCAGATACAACCCGAATATAATTTCCACCAAATCGCTCTTCTTCAAAAATTCACCAAATTCTTCCATCTGTGCCGCGATCCCTCAATAACTATCCTCACACCCACTAATACTGAACCGCCTACCAATGGCTCACCGGCTCCTTCTCTCTTACATACAGCCTCCTTCACCTCCAATACCTCCCGCTCAAATTCTCCCCGACCATCAAACTTCTCAAATTCTCTCCACCCTTCTACTGCCAATTCACGTCAAACATCCCGATCCCGTCAAACATCCCGATCCCGTCAAACATCACCTATTCCCCACGCACATCCTAATCCCACGCCCTCGCCCCAACACCTAGCAACCATTTCCCACATCAAAAAGAATGCTACTCTAATCAAAGGTGGATATCTATTGGTCCCCTCAGCGGATAGTACAAAATGGGTTCGAAGATTCGTCGAACTCCGACGCCCTTACCTCCATATCCATGCCGTCGGCGGTCCCAACAGCGGCGAAGAAGTAAACGTCGTAGGACTTCGCAACGCGCGCGTGGATCATTCTCCCGAAATCGCCAAATTACTCAAGAACTCTAGTCAATTTTCAAGTCGGACTAGTAGTCCAGGTGCTGGTCAACAGCAGCAGGCTGGTGGTTGGACTAATGGTATCGGTGGGATTTATGGGGGAAGAGGCAGAAGTGGAAGTTCCAATAGTATTTTGGGTTATGGATATGGATATGGTGGGAAGGCTAATGGGGAGAGAGGGAGAGAAATTGAAGAATGTGTTTTTGCGGTCTATGGGATGAATAATACGTGGTTGTTTAGGGCGAGGAGTGAGAGGGATAAGGTGGAGTGGATTTGGAAGATTGATCAGGGGTATTTTAGTAGTGCGGGGAGGAATGGGAATGGGATGGGTAATGGGATTGGTAATGGTAATGGTAATGGGTATGGTAATGGAGGGAGGGATGATGGGAATGGAGGTGGGAGTGGGAGTGTGGGGAGTGATGATGTGGATGTAGATGGGGAGGATTATTTGGCGGATTGATTAATTGATTAATTGATTGACTGATTGTTTCGTAGAGATATGAGATGAAATGAGGAGATAGATAGATAGATAGACAAGAGCCACTGGTGTAAGAAGAGAGAAAAGAAAAGAGATGAGATGATAAGAGAAGAGAAAAGAAAGAAGTTAGATAGATACCAATATATAGTAAGTAAGAAAGTAAGTAGCATATCAGATTCACATTCACATTACATACAGATCCTATACAGATCCTATACAGATACAGATCCCACAAAGATACAGATACAATATACTATAGCCAATACTCACTCGTATAGTAAATCAAACCTCATACTCAAGTACTCGAGTAGTTATTGAACTTCTTGAACTTCTTGAACTTCCTCCTTCGGTTCAAGTTATTAGAGTCGTAGAGTGAGTAGTGGGTTCAAGTTATTATAGTGATTTTTTGATGTTTAATACTCAGGCTCGTATTATCTTGCCTTGTCTTGTCTAGGCTCTTCTTGTTTATTGAGTAGGAGAATAAGTGGGAGGAGGAGGAGTAGGAGTAGGAGTAGGGGTAGTGGTATGAGTAGGGGTATGAGAATAAGTGGGAGGAGGAGGAGGAGGAGGAGTAGTAGGAGTGAGGAGGAGGAGGAGGAGTAGGAGTGAGTATGAGTGAGTATTAGTAGTAGGAGGAGTGAGTAGTAGGAGTGAGTATGTAGATAGATGTATATTACATCTACTCGAGTAATATAAACTGTATATGTACTCGAGTACTCCATTTAACCTATATATAATACTACCCCCCCTCACTTTACTTTACTACAAGCAAATCCAAACCAACGTAATCACAATCGAAATCCCAATCGAAATTCAAATCTCTCTCAATATAACTCTCACTCTATTACTCTCTCACTCTCCTGATTCTTTTATCTAAATTCTAGACTCTAGGCTCTTCATCTAAACCCTAAACTCTAAACCCTAATTCTAAACTCTAAATTCTAAACTCAAAACTTCACTCATAGCTCATAGCTCATAGCTCATCACATAGCTCATCACATAAAAAAATCATAACACTATTACTCGTAGAAAAAAGTAGAAAGAGTAGAAAGAGGGGAATTGCTAGTGGTTAGTTTGTGTTTTCCTTTCCCTTTCCCTTTCTCGTTAAGTTTAAGTTTCTTTCCTTTCTGTTTTACTTGGTTTTATTTTATTTACAATTGCAATTACAATTGCTATTTGAGCACCTTGCCTTCTTGACGTGATGTCATTCAACCATTCTTAGCAGTACCATTGGCAATATTCATCACAGAGTGGAACCGCAAAAACCAGAAACAGGTGTCCTTATGCTTGCATCATCTTGAAAAGTTCAAGTACAGCATTCTAACAGATCCATGATCGTTTTGGAATTTTAGAGAAGGTAGAGAAGATGGAGAAGATGGAGATTGAGATTGAGATTATTAGAGAAGATAGAGAAGATAGAGAAGATGGAGATTGAGATGATATTGAGATAATTTTGGTAGATGGGATGATATGAGTAGATCATATTATTCAAGTAAAGTACTCGAGTAAAGTATGTATGTATGTATGTATGTATGTATGTATGTATGTATGTATGTACTCCAGTCAATTTTCATAAGATGAGTGAGTGATGAGTGAGTGATGAGTAATACCATACCGGTTTCTTCGAGTGTATAACAGAAGTTATTTGTCATACAGTATGTGAGGGCGTGGAGATGATTGGTGGTGGTGGTGTTGGTGGTGGTGATGTTAATTACATGATGGAGCTTGGAATGTAGAAATTGCGTAAAGTCCAAGAGAGTGATGCACCTATGTCCTATATTTATCCCAGTGCCTTGGTTGTAGAATATCCAAAATAGTCTTACAAAACCTTCTCTGGATTGCTGGATGGAGAGGATATGGTGAGCTTCCCCATCTCCTTTCCTTAGTGTTGACCTTGATTAAAAGGAGATAAGGAGTTCACAAGCTGACTTCTCCCATGGTATAGCGTTGGAAGATTTCTGATTGTTTGGAGAGTTATCTTAAATCATTCTATTTTGGTTGATGGGAGGAATAATCCTTATAATGTATTGTTGGGCTGGAATTATAGTCTATTTATTCAGGTCACATTCGAATTGGGACCAACAAATCGCATATTCAAACCGGTTTCAAACAGGTGACAAAGGTATAACCTCCTTTGAATTCCGAATATATTGACTCTCCCGCATAGAAAACGCAACATGCGACGGTGACAGAGTTGACGGCGTAATAATCGTAGGCGAGAGTGTTGTTGGCGTGAAAACCAATGTTGAGAGACGTGTAGAAGGTCCAAAAAGTGGATGTGAAGAGTTCTCCACGTTATCATTTTCCCCCTCCGATCTCGAACTACTATCAGAAGCTCCGTCGTAGAATGACGTTGGTGTATCTATTTCCCCCTCATCCTTGTTTCTACTTCTCGACTCTAGATATGTTTCAATCGTCTTTGAACTTTCCCCTAATGTTGATCCAGAACTCTCTTCGCTTTTTGTTTTGAAATTATTTCCTAAATCGATATCTGGTTTCTTTCCGGCTAAATTGACGGGTATTTGTAACTCGGGTTGCTCGTGGACCGCTACATTTTGAAAATGATTGGGAAATAGTCTACGGAGGAGTGGGCGAAGAGTAGCGAGACAGGAGGCAAAGATGGCGATTCCGGGTTCGATATATGACCAGATAGCTAGGAAGACGCTGCGGAAGAGGAAATCTTGCATGTCTCCGAGTATTGCTATGGTACTAATGCGGATTAAAGTTGCTGTGCTGGCACTGGGGGAGAGAAGGATTAGTTTTTTGATTGTCAAGATTTGTTCCTGGAGTAAGGAAGGATAAATGAGAAAGGAAAAGCAAAGGGAATCAAATGAAAGGACATGCAAGAAAAGAACCTACAGAACACCACACGCTACAACTCCCCCAACAATGACTTTTACTCCAGTTGGTATCCGAACATCCCACAACATAACAATAGGCAACAACGCCAACGCCCAATCAATCCCCGCGCTGATGATACTATACACATACGATGCGCCTACCGCAATCTCCTTCGGCACACAACTTCCAGTCCTCTCAGTAAGATATACAGGAGAAGTCGTAGCATATTGTTCCCAGATGAAAGAAATAGGCCAGCATTGTACAGCCGCACACCAAAATATACCAAATCCGAAGGAGATCGCTATCCACATAATAGATTTCACGGCGAGACGTTGCCAGGGAGAAACGATGATGCGGAGGTAGAAGAGGGCGATGGAAACTTTTATTGTGGCCATGTTGAGAACATAGGCACATTCGCAGAAATACCAGTACTGTTCATTGTATCAGTGACTTTTTGAGATAAATGATGGGGGCTTCTCGATGAGGAAGGAAGGAAGGAAGGAAGGAACGTACTCGGAGTGCCCATAGAAAATTGCTTTCGTCCAGATCTAACTCATGTCTCCCGGCACCATAATGTAGACTTGCTAATACAAAACTGGTATACATGGTATAGATACCCTGTTATTTGAATATCCAATTAGCTATGATAATTCCTTCCCTGCACATGATTGAAATCGAAAACCTCAAGAATCAGATTGATGCGCTGATAAACATACCAAACTCAAGACCATCAACCAATCATCCCATCCCATAATCTTCTGCATAAAGAACCTCACATAACAACGCAATGCTACGCCCATAAACGCCAAAGGGTAACACACGAATACCGCCACATAAAGCTTCCACGCATGACTTTCCCCCATCCCGAATTCAAGTGTCGTATTAAATGTTCCTTATTTTTGTAAAGAAGAAGTGAATTCACGATATCAATCGCTATCGAAAATGAAAGAATCCCATCAACTCCAATTGCAAATACAAAGACAAAGACAAAGACAAAGCGTAAAAGTTCATGAATACCGAGCCATAACCTTACCGGTACTTATGTGGATATAAATTCTTTAGCAGACAGACCCCATTCCCCGAGATCTCCAAGCTGAGTTCCCCATATAACCCGTCCGCTTCCCGTTACGCAATCCACAATTCCAAATGCGAGTGCCATCGTCAAACTCTATCGATGGCCCCGGACCTAGATCATTATCTCCAAGCTGAGTTCCCCATATAACCCGTCCGGGTTTCCGTTACGCAATCCACAATTCTAAATGTGAGTGCCATCGTCAAAAATAGGGGGTTCGTGCGTGCGTGTTCGTAAGCACTATCGATGACCCCGGACGTAGATCATTATGGGAAGAAGCGCTACTCCGGACGTGGCGTATGCACGGCTGTTTTCTCTCTGTTGAAACTAGGGGATGCCTCCCGAAGGATGCCGTCAATGGTATGATGGGGGCTGGGGTTTGGTGGGTTTTGAGGGTTAGGGTTATCCGCTAGGTTGCCGGCCGAAAATATTTGATGGGTTGGTGGATTTTTTTGATGGTTTTTATTTGTATCTTTTTTTGGTCTGTGTTATTGGCTGGGATAAATTTGATTTAAGTGGTATTCCATGAATGTGATGGTTGAAGTCGAATTGAAGATTGAAGTAATGTGTCTTGCAGAGGGTTTATAGGAGAATTGTGGTTGTGGGTTGTGTTGAAGAGGAAAGATACCCAGATTCAAAGCACCAAGTATAACATTTCGACTTTCTTCTCATGGAGTATGGATGGTGGAGAAAAGTCACCGGGAGGTAATTCAATAAAGGGGTTTGTTTGATAATCTCGCTTCGGGTGCTCGGTGTCTTTGATTGAGACCTGAGAATTGTTTTTGGGATAACTGTGACAAACTAAAAAAACAATCAGCATTTGACAATTCTGGTAGTAGAATGGAAGATTTTTGACCTATGGAAGGCAGCTGATAGTATGGGTAAGTTTATAAGTAGATTTGCACAAAAATTGAGGTTGCGCAAAAGAGCTATTGGGAATTTCAGTCAAAGGGAGTGAGACTTTCTGCTATTTGAATGGAACATTGTTTGGTTGCAAGTTTGGCTAGAGCGCGCTAGACTGTTGAGCTAGAGAGAAGACGGTATCAAGCTATAAAGTGGTGGGCAATACGCTCCCCAGGGATTCAAGGCTAGTAAATCTCTTCGAGCCAATAGATGTCACGCTTCTTGCTTCTATTAATCTATGTTGCATGTCAGAAAGCGGTGGATAGAAAGTCATCGGGGGTATATTGGGCAGTGAATGGCTTCGAACCAATAGATGATAAGCTTGTTACCCTTGATCAAGTTATGTTGCACGTCATAAAGCGGTGGAATGAATTATGCCTGGCAATAAGAGTAATTCTGCCCCCAGATTAGTCTCCTGGTCACAGGAGGAGAAGGAGATCGGGGCCAATAACAAGTCACAGTTTGGCAAATTATTTTCAATTGTTGCACGTCATAAAGCGGTGGGAGAGATTGTGCATGGCAATAAAAGAAATATTGCCCTCACATCACGCTCCTAGTCACGAGAGGAGGAGATCGGAGCCAATAGCAAGTCACAATCTCCTCAACTAGTTTCAAATGTTGCATATCATAAAGCGGTGAGGATGTTCCTCAGAGCTATGGGTACTAGCAGAAAGAGGGTCTATCTAATGAACCAGGTAGCTCGTGACATGTAAGACTCTTAGTGCATGTCGTAAAGCGGTGGGGTTCTTCATTGGTTGAGCTATAACTGACAGAAAGAGAAGCCCATCCATTAAGATGGGAGCTCCTGCCTTTTGCAATTCCTGTCGTACATGTAGATCAAAAGCAGCGGCCTCTTAGTCGTTCCTTCTAGCTAATGTGTGGAAATAACTCTCTATCCTCATCATTATTTTGTCTTACTTTTTGATCCATCCATTAAAGGGCAGGAGCAATTGCTTTTGAGTATTCATTCCAAGTCTCAAGCTTCAGTTTCTACCTTAATCTCAAGTTTAGTGGGTGGGTAGAAGTGGAGCTATGGCAACAATGTTGTCGCACCGTGGCTTCTTCCACATAAAACCAGGTAAGCAGGGAAGCAGGAATGGAAAACTTCTACAGGGCTCCTCGAAATTTGAATTTCTTTTAATAGAATTGTGAATAGTATCATGTCTCTCACATATACCTAAATAAAAACCTGTTTCTTATTCTCACCCAGAACAAGTCTTCCTGTATATGTACTTCCAGATCTTTGTTTGATAATTGTTATTTTATGATCTAATTGAATCTTGTATGAAATAGTTCATATTATGCTTGATGCATAATGAGGAAAGCAAGAGAGATCTCACACTTTATGATCTTCCAGTAACTTAAGAGAGCGCACAGTTCTGTATATTCTAACCTTCTCATTCTGGACACCAAAAAGCGGCCGGCATGGACTTACTTCCTGATGGCAGAAAACTCCAAGAGCCAATAGAAGAGGATAATAGTGACCTGTAAACTGTTATGTTGCACATCATAAGGCGGTGCGGATCGAAGCGGATATACCTCATACTTGGCCTAATCAGGCTTGGAGTGGCGAAAAGGACACTTCTACCCAATGACGAAGGCTACTCGTGACTGTCTCTTCGTATTGTTGCACATCATAGAGCGGTATGGCTGCTTTAGATTCTCTCAATACCTGGCAGAAAGATCGTAGAATCAATTGAAATGTATATTACTGCCGGTGTTTATCTTTATTTTGCACATCCAACTCGGCCCTCTTCCCAACAGTCCATTATTTCCGAATTGAAGAAAATGAGTTGATATGGAAGTTACTCTTCACTTCAATTGAACTGCATTAACGCTTTTTCTGTGCTTGAATTGACTACCAGCACCACTCTAGATAATTTGAAGATCTCCTCATCCCGCCCACTTTGTGCTTTTATGGGCGACGTTTAGACAATGAATAATTACCTCCCATTCTACTCACCCCCCTCTTCAAGGTGAGCCATCAATTCCTTCACATCTCATAGTAATTAGGATCATGTCTTTATCTCAAATCAATCATAAAATATGTGCATGTAATTGAGGAGAATCCTGACCAAATATGGTAGTGTGATGCTGGTCATACTAAATTTTTCGATTTCTTCATTTAGACTGAAAACTGGTCTGTTGAAAGAGTATCCCATCGAAGAAGAAATCATAAAGTAACACAAGCATAGCTTAAAAGATTATGCTTTCATGATTTTTTTGGTGATTGAGAAACATCTTTATTTGCCGAGATATTTTTATGAAGTTGGTGGTCATCAGTATACCGATTTGTCCAACACTTAACAACCACCATCGGGAGAATGTTATTAAAGAAATCAAATTTGCCTGAATCAACAATCAAACATTGAAATCAAAGAGGGATATGATCAAAAAAGTCAAAAAATATCATTGAACCATAAATGCTGTTAAGTGATTCTACCGTGACATTGATCTTTGTTCTCAGACTCATCATAATGAACAATATTTTCCTCATCAAAAAAAAAACGTACAAGTACACTGTTTATGACTCTAGTACTCGAGCAGGTAAGTTTAATGTTTCTCTTGTTCCCCAGGGGTAGCTGATTTAACATTGATTACTAGCCAATTTGGAATGTGTTTGGAATTTTGTGCCTGCGGAATATGGAACCACAATATTCTTAGCCGCCCCCTCACTTGAAACCAGCCTCTCAAGTAGGAGTTTAAATGTTACACATCTACACTGAATAACACGTGGAATGTCAGTAGCTAGAGTAGTAAGCCCAAGTATTGCAGGCCTACAGTATAAGCCACGTGAGTCTACTTATAGATTGAAAGGGGATCTGTTTTAATGTAATCATCACATCTTTCCCTAGGATGGTCATGAGCATTGCGCCTGTTAAGGCAATGTGTTACTCAATATCATGTTAATATCCGCTGTACATATACTGAAGTTCTTGCGTGAGTGAAAGAATTACATTCTTTTTCTTTTCATCGCAAATATAATTCCACACACAGAGGTTTGCCAAGCGTTATAATTTAGCGTGACCTTTCAAGGCTCCCTCCCACCAACGAGCTTCATAACTCTCCTTAGCTTTGCAGACGCATGTGATCTAGCCAGTAATTACAGCCAATTCCTGCTCTGTTGCATATCTGCTCTGTTGCATATCTGAAATCTTAGTCTTTTCAAGCATTGGTCAAACGAATGATTTAGTGAAGTTGTGACTGATCGCGCATATCAAGTTCCCGTCTCAATTTATGATGTAATCTATTCAGGCCTCCACGTCACGCCACATTCCGCGCTATATCTCTAAACATGTACGTCTGAGTTACCAGCTTTTCAAGCGAGCCATTCAACAGGCTCATCACCCTGTTGTGTTGCATCTCTGTAAGATAAGGTTTTAGAACTAGCTGCAAACGTCTAGTTTTATCATTATGTAATTCCATGTTTCCATGTCATATGCCGTCCAGATTCACCTTCTGCACACTATTATGTGAGATCTGTACTACAAGTCATCTCGTATATGAAATGGAAGACATACCGTGGCTGCTCTAACTCTACAATCTTGTACTAAGTCTCGATTTTCACGTAGTTTGGTGCATATCTTAGATGCCAGTTTGAAGTGAGAAGTACAGGTACTTTGCGTGCGCTTCAAGTTATTGGGGGCCAAAATTATTTCCTTTGAAGCTAGTGAGCCAGTAATAGAAAGCAATGATTACCCAGTAATTTTAACATGCATCTAGACTCTGATTCTAGAGATACATCACTAAGTTGAGAATCGTCAAAGTAAAGTGCTAAACCTCCGAGGCTCTGACTAGTCATAAGACCCCCCTCCCTGCCATGTTGCAGATATAAATATTAGTGGCTTAATCAACCAGCCAGTGAAAGCAAATGATTTTGCAATGTTACCTGTCTGAATTTAGAGTTCAAACACGTTTCGATCAGTCAACCCTTGATAGGTTCTTAGAATAACGTCATCTTCCATGATGCTTCTCATCCGAACTTCTGAAAGTTCCGCATCGACGCCTATCGGCCAGTCATATTAAAGATGGTCGTTCTGTTGCTAGTACTGTCTCCTTCTCTTAAATTGTTGCTCATCTGATGTTGGTGCCACGTGTGTTTGAGATCTGAAGCTAGTGAGTAGAACCATCACCCCCACTTTCTCGCGAATTGTTGCCCTTCTATAAATCTGGTGGCTTGAACCTGAGCCAGTCATATTGAGCTCTTCTACTTTCTTGCTCATCTGCACTCTTAAACTTACTTTATCGGGATGTAATAGGTATACCGGTAGGGCATTCACGATTGGTTTCAGAACCCACACGGTTATCTGGATCGACAGAAATCTCGATCTATTCTGCTGTGTAAAGTTTCCCTCCTTCGAAGCCATCGCATTTTTGATGAAAACCATTCACATTATTTGATTCAGATGTTATTTTCAAGCACTTCAATTGAAACTCTCCTCTGTATTAGTTTAATGTCAAAAAGAAATCCTACCTTGGTTTCAAAAACCGACTCACCATCGAACAATATTGCTTCATCAGCTTCGATTCGAGTAATCATTGATATCATTCCTTTATCCCATCGCCCAGAAATGAAGTAGATAGTTCTTGTACACAAAAGAACATCTGCAAATTATCATGATTGAACTTTCCTATGTAATTCGGTGTTCCCTTAATCAGGGGCCCGAAGCGAGAATACGCGATGAGTCAATTCTTTGTCAGATTGGCTTTGTTAAGACCACCTTTGATAAAATCTCAGCACAACAATGAATGCTTGATTCTGTCAGTGTCACAATCTTGGTGATTCGATATTGTATCTTTTGACCAGGATTTGATGATCTTAATTTTGAGGGAACATTTTGTTTTTGACGCTAGTATGAACACAGCTCGTAGATTTGTGAAAAGGCGGGATCTAGGCTGGTGACCACTGATGTACCCATACTTACAAGTAACTTTGGGCCAGTAAATGGGTAGAAACCGCAGCGCTAGTAATTTGCTTGCATACCAATTTAGACCGATGGAACAAATCCTGCATCGCCCGCTTCCGAATTTTATAAGGTTTTAACCTCGTCCCAGAATCTTCCTCCTTCGAATACAAACATTAATCTTACGGTTCTTCAGCTATCCGGTCTATTATACTGAGTTCGGTGCCACCGAAGAAGACTAAGTATTTACCAGGCTCCCTTTGTCGATAAGCTTTATTTTAAGATAAGAAACTGACGCAATCAATTCAGGAGGATGTAGAGGACCAATGTAATCAATGGTTAACCAGTTGAACTAGTGCACTGATTAAACTGACAGTTTAGTTTATCGAAACTCACACTGGTAATTGGTTTGGTTTGCGTATCCTCAACTGCCAGTCAAACTACAACGTTCCAAACTGCCAGTGTCCCAACTCGTTCGAACTACTACTGACTACACGGTAAAGGACCGTCACACTGGTCGCAACAGTGGCTTCAGATGTATTGGCTATTAATCAGACATTGATACCAAGACTGTTCCCCAGAGACCGATGCTGAGAAAACTTCCCAGAAGATGAACAGTATTGTGCTGCGTGCTGGCTGTTGGTATCTACTGTAAGTTCTTTACATATATTCACTTAACTATCTGCCTTTCAGGTTTACACCTTTTCTACTTTCCAATCTTTACATTTTCTACCAACTTCCAGGTTTCAATTACCCTTCTTCAACCCCGCTATCAAAGCTATCTGCTTCTATACTAACCATCATGTCACTCATAGTTCTTTTATGCCAACGCGGAGAAATGAGGATAGTTGTTCCAGCCCATATGTTGAGATGTACGAGGCGCTCTCTGAATCTGTGGTTTATGAATGGGTGACTATCTTGCTTGGGTGATGGGCCATTCCTTGCGAACCTAAATGATCCCATGGAAGGTGGCAGCGCCGGGAACACAATCATTAAGGCTGCGGCGTTGACTTCTTAAGGTATCATTCACATCTGTTTACATCTAAATTTCCTTAGCTGACTTGGGGCATAGAAAACCCCCCCCCCCCCCCCCCCCTCCAAGATACAATAATACGATAACCTCGAAATCCAAGACGATTCATAAGTTCGACAGCAAGAAACGAAAACGATGGGATCGATGGAATTGGTGTGTTAGAAGGAGATATATGGATAGACTACTCTACATCACATTCAACAACTTCAATAGCCAAGCATTTTTTGAGTTTTGCATTGCAGGGTGATATCAGCTGGATACTGTGCCTATGTTGTATGCTGCATGTTGAAGAATATCACCTAGTTTACTAGGATCTTTCCAAGATTTCCGTGTAGGTTGGCAGCTTGATGCTAAGTAAGATACCAGCTCATTGGGTGACATTAGTAGGAGCGACCGAAAAAGCTTTATGTATTCATCAACGTTCTTTGAAGTCCCTTGTTCAAAGTAGGATGTAAGGGAACTCGACAGTTTCTAAAACAATATCGAAGGATACTGGGAGTGAGCGTCTTGTGGTTCTGGGTACTTGTGATGGTGCTTGTGGCACTTGTTACGGGTGGAATTGGGGGCGGAATTGCGGAAGAAACGAAGGGTGAGAAGGATAAAGGAAGTGATTCAAAGTGAGTAAGCGTTTGTAATGGTGGTAACTTCATCTAATGCATGGATACTAGGCACAGTACATCGCAGTCAAGTCCCGGGCTTACGAACACAACATCACCATGTCAAAGCGATCCATACACAAACGATACGATAGTTCAAGCGATTCCCGGCAAGGATATGGTCTCCACCAATTTCAAACTGTTTTGCAATCGCACGTTCGATGTGGAGTCCAGTAAACACCTGATGAGCCTCGCAATACCTGATACCGTGACAAATATGAATGGTTGCATGGAAGCTTGCATAGACTACACGTGTGGAGATGGGACTGAAGGTATGTGTAAAGACTTAGATAGTTCATGTTATGCTGTGACTATCGACGAGCGGCCAGGAATGGTGCAAACTGTTTTCGGCGAGTGGATGGGGCACCGATGAAGCTGGAGCGGATTGCGCGGTCAACCTTGCGCCGGTCATGGGTCCTAGTATCATCGCGGGTGGAATTAGTAGTATGCCCACTTCTGCTACTTCGATCAGTATCCCGAATACGATGTTAATTGGTCCTCCTTCCAAATATCAAACGAAAGCTTTGACGCGGACTTCGACTGAAGATACTGGGGGTGTAGTCTTTGTTCTATATTCATTTACAAGCCAGGTCATTTCAGGCTCAACTGTAGTGCTGGCGACAACGTTTCCTACCAGTTAGATAGCATCGTCCCTCGTACATACATCATAAGTTTATTGACGGGATGGTAAGAACACATGGACCTGTCGGTGTTTACACAATCAATGGAGGTGATATGAAGCTAAGGCTGAAACTCAAGCCGTGAGGTAAATGTTTGTACATCAAAGTGGAGATGCAGCCTTGATGCCAACTGCCATTGACTTGAAGCAATATTATAATACTCGTCACTCGTTGATAAAATCAAGAAGTCACACAATCACCAGACACCTCAAGCAATACAGTGCACGTTGAAAAATATGAGAAAGCACGATAATTCTAATCTGATCTATAGTATATACAGTATGTAGGCCTCGAAGAGAAGAAGGATCTAAGCTTCGAAGCTGAACTAGTCCGATCTCTCTTCATGGGCACCTTAATATAGGTTTGCACGCACGCTGCATCTTGGCCATGACCCAAGTTGCATTGAGGCTATGAATAAAGCAATAATTAGTCACTGTTACTCAGGATTCGGAAAGAGACGTGAAGAGGAAACGAAGTGGAGATACTTACATTCGGAATCCGAATAGGATAAATGAAGGAATAACGAAACCAATGTGTTATGGAGCAGTTCGGAGTTTGAGATCAACTCAACCCTCAAGGTAAGCTATCTTGCTTACTGCAAGCAGCTTATTTACTGGTGTTGGTCGTGGTATTTCCGCCGGGTAGTCGAGCTATGCGCTGGAATTAGTATCTGATTGAGGGCGGCCATTCATTAGAAGAACACGAATGTACAATAAGTAGGGGTAGAATTGAGAGTAGTAGTGAGGGAGTGATTACTCACAGTAAAAATATTGTTGGCGTGAAATGTTGATGTGAAGATCGAAAATTTGGAATGACTGCAAACGAAGAGCGAGAGTATTTAAGGAAGGAATTTTGAATTAGCCTTAGGGCAAGAAGGGTAGAAAAACCCCGGGACACGGCTCGGTACTAGGCTAATTTCCAACAATGTTGACAATTTCCTCGGCTTGAATGTAGAAGTGAGGCGAGGAAAAATGGCGCGATTTCTGGTCTTGAAATATTGAGGAACTTTTATTCCCAACCAACACTTGCCTACCTGCCTTGTTTAATTACAGAGAACTTCTATTTTCTGTGTCTTGTCTGAAATTGCATCAAGTATCACTTCCTTTGTTTATGAAAAAACTTTGTTCACCTAAAAAGTCTTTGCAGAAATGTGGAACTCTCCATTTCGGATATGCGGATAAGGTATGTCATTATTTGTTATACATGGAACCTCACAAATACTTACTTCAAAAAACACAGACCAACGAGAGAACCCAACCATATACTAAAGATCTTTGGGTACTACCATCACACCAAAAGAGTCTGCTATGACTGCGGCCCATCTCAAATATCTTTGGAAGCAACCAAAACCAATCCATTGTTCCTAGGCCATCTTTGTTTTCGGATACAAAGACTCAAAGGCCAGATCGGGGCTTGCTTGCCTTTTTCAATTGCAAGATACTGGTACAAAGTTCTCTTGGAGATACTGCGAACCACCTTGATAACTCAGCTCCTCAAACACAGTGCCGTAAGATACAAAACTCCACTTCCCTTTCTCTATCCCCTAGTCTCGACAACAACTGCTTCACTGGCTCTACAGATCTTCAACTACTATTCTTAATAAGAGCAGGTTTACTGACATACTATAGCACAAATCTGACCATCATTCTGGTGATCAAACGTTGATCAACCCACAATCAAAGATACCTCGCCGGAAACACTAGAGTATACTGTATCTTGGTATGTTAATTGATCATCTAAGCGCGTCTTCGCACACTGCTAACGCAACGATACAGCTATTGGTGCCAATCAGGGGGATCATGGCAGCGATCAATCAATCATTGGAGATCCCCGGCACTGTATCTTTTGTTTCCTCGCCACGCAACTTAAGAATTCGCCAACAAAAATGCCAACCAGTGCAGGGTCTTGTAACGAAACAACACAAATCAGCAGACTGTACGCAACAGAACAGTCGTCAACAGTGAGTGCCTAATAACTCACCTCTATCATTAGTAATGCAGTCTAACACCAACATAGTGAGATTTGGCTGGAAATGGACTTCCCGCACACTTTCAACTTTGGCAGGGCTTCAAGCCTACATACGTACTGCGAAAGATACACCAATCATGGCTTGCATCGTGCGGCTTCGGCATCGACGGAAAAGAATCAGTCTCCCGTGGGATGGAGAAGTAGGTGGTTCTTCACCTACATGGTCCCGGACAGTATAGTCAGTAGTTTGAACCAGGCGGAAAACTGGCAGTTGAATTCAACAAACTTAACTTTCAGCTACACTGCCAGTTCACTAGGTAAACTGACCTGACTTTTGAAGACTAGAATCTAATTGGTCCCGGAGTATAGTTTGTTCTCTGATATTGCCGTCGCTGGAACCTCTCTAGGAGGAAGAGAGAGTAAGTTCTCTCTAAATCCTACAACGGTATCGGCAATATCGGAGAACAAACTATACTCGGGATTAAGTGACATGCATACTGGTCCCGGAGTATAGTTAGTTGTCTGATATTGCCGTTGCTGGAACCTCTCTAGAAAGAAGAGAGAGTAAGTTCTCTCTAAATCCTACAACGGTATCGGCAATAGCAGAAAATAAGCTATACTCCGGGCTCAGTGACATGCACACTGGTCTACCTTTCGACTTGCGAGAAAACTGATGATTCATCGTTGGTTCCAACGGAGTAAAATCTGGTGGGCTTCCGACAGGTCTGCCGTCACGACCTGCACCGCCTCTGGCATAACGGGAAAGCTCGTCACGCACATGTGCAGATGGTTTGATGAGAAGAATATGGATGGCAGGTGATGCCAATCCTTGGCAGGGCCAGTACGGCCCAGGTTCAAGAATTTCATGACAACTTCCAAAATGTCGCGGGTGTGCTCGAAGGTTCAGAGGCTTGATAGTTCAAGATTTTGTAAACATTATACAGGTTGAGTCAAGGAAATGCGAGCTCGAATGGAGAACTTTTTCAGCATTTGATTGCGCCAGGTGACAGAATTGGACAAAATTCTAGTTCAGCAAGTTCTCCAGATGAAAAGGAATCTCCACCACTCCACCACTAGGAATGAAAAACAGGATGTTTACCCCTGGTGAGGATTTGTCATTAAGATCACCGGTGAGAACAAAAGAAAACAATGAATAATTCTTCCCATCGCCAGTTCAGCGTGAGCAAAAACAATTGGTGACTCAGATTTCAGTGTCTTGAATCGTATACTTTTGATACCTAACGAAATCTCCCCCAAAGCTACAATGACTGATGTCGAATGTAATAACAACATATACATATCGGAGAAGAGCATCAGGGAGTCATCTAAGTCACTATTGCCTCTGACGGAGCCGAACTTCGAGGGACCTCCTCCACTGGCCTTCAAGCAGGATGATGGTTAGGCTCATACTATTATGAAGCTCCGCAGCAATAGGTAAATGCTTTTGTGAGACCCAATGTTTAAATCTCAAGTTCAAATGGTAATACCGTCGCTATAATCCACCACAGGTACGCAAAACTCTTTTTTCATTTAGTCTATATAGCCATTGGCCCCAACTTATCCAGATGATGCTATCGTAGTGGATAATCCGCTTGAACAGGCTCTAAGAAGTCTTTAGGGAGCTAGCCATACACAACTGCGAATGTTTGAGCTCTCAGACACAGATTATCTGCATTGATATTACCTTACAGTTCCCTCAGAAAATCCTACAGCTGCGAGCTCGAACTCGAGGCCCCATCTCTGCGGGCTGACAAAGAGACCAAGAGGAATTAAGTGCTCCGCTGCCAGTTACTGTATAGTCTTGACACTTACATGAGTTCGCCGTACGTAGGCTACGTAGAAGGGCGTAACGCTACATGAGCCTCTCGACTTTAGAGATAGTGCGCTGGGTGCATTTCTCAATGGCTGTACAGATCTACATTGAAGGCATCGGGGCATTCATGGCTGGCGTGGTGCTCGAAGGAAGATACATTTCGTTTCCTACCAAAATGAATACGGCTTGAGCAAGCCGTGTCTTGTCGACCTTACTCTGCTTCCCTTTTTTGCCAGACACTGGTGCAAGAAAACAGTGCCACTTGAGAACGTCAGGATTGCTTCAAGATTTCTATTGGTGTGATTCTTCACTACTAGTGACTAGGCTGTTATGGAATGGGCATCGTTAGGAAAATGATGAGTTTTGAGACCGAAAAAACTTGGGGCTCGGTATCTAGTCGAATTAGTTCACAGACTACATACGCACCGCCCGTTTTCACCACGGTGCTCGTTGTGCAAGCCACTGTACTTCTCTCTTCGATGGTAAAACAAACTCCGTAAGTTCCACCCAGATTCTGGTCTCGGCGTTTGGGCCTCTACACTCGCTCGGTGGAAAGTCGCTCGGGAGTGTAGCTACTTAGCGACTTTGAAGTTCAGTAGCCAGAGCTTCCAGGGGGGATTCCGTACGAGCAAAGCACAACCTTCCTGAAGGTATCGACGTTCATCTAAGTCACGCTACGCTGTCTATTGAATCGCAAATGGAATCTTGAAGAATTCTCTACCTAAATGATCTTAGCCTTGACTAGATGGTTGTCACGACAGCAAAAGCCTTCCATGCTTCCAGAACTGTGCATATACTCTCACGTTGGCGGGTGCACGAAAGTCTCCTTTGTGGCATTTAGAGAGATGCTTTCCCCAAATAGGATGGCGCAGTACCAATTAAAGTCACTAGACACATAATGGCACGGGGCGATTTATTAACAGCTGAAGATTGTAGAGTTTCGGATACAACGAAAGGAACAGCTGCATGATCTCAGCCTTCAAATATTTAACCTTCCCCATTCTTTACTCACAATATGGAAATGAGACGGGTTAGCAAGTCTTGAGCCCATCATCACTTGCGAAAGCCTTCCGCCGAAGATCTTGATTTCCCAACTTTGGGACAAACCAATTGCAAACATATGGATGCGGACTCATTTTCAAAGAACAATTTTAATCCCCTTTTGAGAGAGGATCAACTTGGGTACATCACAAATGGGATTCTTTCCTGCCAATTCACAGCACCAAATACTCGTAGGAATGAATCTCTCTTCCTGGTGTCACGCACTGACACTTTTCATTACCAGAAAGCTCAAGCTAGCAGTATCTCTAAAAGCTCTAGTAGTCCAAGAACGTACACCACTTGACCCACAAATACACAATCAGAACAATCGTCTGTTGAGAAGTGGGATTGACATGACTGTCCACATAGTTGAGCGAATGCTAGCAACCCAGAGGAGCCAGAGTCCTGGTACTCCGGGCTGGCCAGTAGGTCAATAGAGCAACTAGGACTAGTTTGTCGAGTGGATGCCGCTAAATGATGTCTTTTCCTTCTAGAGCTTTACAGCAGCAGTCGGTCGCATTATCTAACTAGCAATCGTAGTAATAGTAACGGAGGGATGGTCCAATCAACAATCAGGGTCTGTCAATACTGTTGCAGGATGATCCTTTATACGCCGTGAGACTGGCCAAATCAGGCCTGATCAGGATATGGAAATAGTGCTTGGAAAAAGGACTCAGAATTTCAGCCATAAGCAAAGCAAAGGATGATATCTGTGAACGCCGAGGAACGTTTTAAATCAGAACGTTGCCCCTGTTCTCATTTATTGACAATAGTCAACCGAGAATAATTTGTGAGTTGGGATGGAAAGCTGTTCCAATACGTTTGGATTCATTAGATTTGTATAACACAAGTGAAAGCAAATCTGAATCAACTACCTAGTTACAGGTTATGAATTCTTATGATCTCGGTCATTTGTTTTGGTGTTTGTAGTGAATGAAGTTCGGTAATCTCAGGAGTTGTCGGGAGTGAAGGAGTGAAGTACCTGAGCACGAGCCACACTCCAAAATCTATCTAGCTCACGTCAAAGTAACCCTACCTAGTATATTCGCGACGCGCCACTTCAGCACATCCACTTCACAATATCGTGATGAACTCGAAATTCACCATAACCGGTAGAAATGGAGCAATGGAGGAATGGCAGACGCGAATTGTTTGAACAGTTGAACAAGGTCTGCAATAACATTGAGCAGAACCTTACAGATGGTAAGATAATATCCCGAATTAATTGAGCTCGTTATCTGATGGGGCATGAATCGCAGAACTTGTGGACGGCGACAATACGATTATTCGAAAGGATGAATTGGAAAGATTACGTTTGAAGGCGGAAACTTCTGAAACTGATAATGACAAGTACGCTGCTCAGGTCCGATCGAACGAAGATTCCATACAGGAAAAGGATTTGAGAATCAAGGTTCTGGAGGAAGATATCTCACGACTCAAGGAGGGACTGCAATTAAATGGAGATGCGGCTTCCCTAACCAATAGACTTGAAGAGGAGAATATAAGTCTCACAAAGGAGTTGACGAAATACCAGAAAGTCGCTTTAAAGGTAGAAGATCTTGAGCAGCAGAACAAAAACTTGTCGACGGGACTAAGAAATGCCGTCACACGAGCAAAGGATGCTGAGCTTCCTAGTACTGATAATGAGAGGTCGAGTTCGTTTGGTAATGGACATTCGCCCTCGGTGGGCTGTCAATTGAATTACAAGGAGCTTTTGAATGAACACAAGCGCGTCAAGGAACAATGGTTGATGCAGAAAGAAAGAGCAGATAACCTTGCGGAAACACAACGGGAGAAAAATGTGAAATTACGTCAATGGCAAGCGTGGAGTGACGAGCAACATATACTGTTCAAGAACAAAGCTGATAAATCCAATGCACAAGCGCAAGAAATTCGAAAACTGAGGTTGAGGTTGCAAGAATTGGAAGGAGGCAAGGCTACGACGCCTGGAACAATGTTGAGCAGTGATCCAGGTGACAGTGCTCTCCCTCCTCGACCTGAGGAAATTCCTGTAACAAGGCCCACCAAAAGCTCACAAGTAGAGGAGAATAATCGACAATCCGGCCAGGATGAATCTGAGCATGAGCAAGGTTGCAATGAACAAGCAAATCTTGAATCTCCTAAACTTCCGAGGTATGGTCGCAGACTTCAGCATGTGACCAGTGTCGAAGAGACTCAGTTCTTACCTATTGAGCCTTGTCATTCGAGTTCTACGCAAGATCCTGAATCATCTTTGTTTGGTGGGGGAGAAAGTGCTACCGTCAGTGAACCAAAGTTGGAGACCCCCAAGATGCCGTCATCCGACGATCCCCCAGAATTTATATCTGCTCGTCCGGTTCGGAAGAGGAAAAGAAACGAACGGGAATCCCAACGAACACCCATGCCTAAGGTCAAGGTAGAAAGTCTTGACTCAAGTAGCCCTATCATATCCAGGATACTTCACGCCAGTGAAAGTCTGGATCTGGACGACATTGGCGATAAGGTTATAACACCTAGAAAGCGTCGCCGAGCATTTGAGCCATCAGTAGAGGATGTCGAGAATGAGGTTGAGAATGAGGTGGCTGATGAAATGTTACTTGATGACAACATGGAACGAAAAAAGCAAGCGCCCACGCCCGTCAAAACTGTGCAGCCAACGCGGGCAATGATTACGCCAGCGAGTAAGAGAGGCAAGATTCAAGTCAGCACCCCTCTGCGATCACTCAGTACCAATAATCGTATCCTTCCCAATAAAGTGGATCTTAAGCTCCCTGTCAAACGGCAACTGAAATCAAGTGTTATGATTAGAGGAGTGGAGGAAATACTCGAGGATGAACAGTCAACGAATCTCGCGAAAACCCATGCTTCCGTAGGAAAAGGACGCATTCCTTCTGTCGACCTTGTCGACAATCTTCCACCCACGGAAGTCATGTCCTATCCAACACCTCAATCTGCTGCTCCAGAAGTGCGATCAGTCATACTTCCACCATCTAAGCTATCGACAGTAATCATGACGAATCGCCTTGATCGCCTTGATCAACGCAAGAATGTTAATAATGCTCCACGCTTCCCAAATCATCGTGAAGACCTCGATCGGCAAGACATAAAAACTCCGGTACTAGAAAAGGGCGTGTCCGTGAGCAATGTTGAGAATGATATCGTCAGGAATGCTATCAGTCGTCCTCGAATTGGCTTAAGGAATGAGATTTCAAGGCCAGAGAGATTATTGTCTTTAAACAATGGAGTGGACGAAACTGTTGAGAGACCTAATAGCCGCTTTCGAACTGGAATTATGAAAGAAATTTCTAGGCCGTCATTGAAAGGTTCCAGGCGAGGTTCAACTGCATCGGCCGAGCTGTCCCCAGCACGGGCAACAAAAGCATTTTGGGAATCAACCAGGTCACCTGTCAAATCTACCCCAAAGGCTAAATCAGGAACTTCCAAGCCATCTACGACCACGAAAATACGACCAAAAAGAGTAGGGGGGCCAGACCCCGACTCAGATGATCCAGAACAAGAGCCGTATCGATTACGATCTGTAACTATGTTGAAACTAGATCATTTCAAGATAAATCCGAACTTCAATCAAGGTTATGATTATGCATATACAGAAGTTGTTCGTGGTAAAGATCGTCAATGTCTTCCGGGTTGTGTTAGAGAAAAATGCTGTGGAAAACAGTTCGGTGCCTTGGCGCAAGCCCTCTACCCTGTCAGAGATAACCCTACGAATTCACAAAAGGCAGGGGAAGATTCTCTCCTGGAAGACTATTTGGGCGACAACAAACATAAAATTTGGAGCATGGGAAAACTAGAAAGGAAGGAAACCTTAGCACAAGCTAGAAAATGGAAACTGTCGAATAAAACGGGGAAGCATCGATCAGTTGTTGCAAGGAGAATTACACCACCTGGATTTTGGGATCCTGATTTTCCTAACACACAAGAAGATGAGGAATTACGGAAGAAGCAAAAAGAGTTAGAGCGGGAAAAGGTAGCTGAAAGATATGCGGAAGCCATGAGGCCTGGGGGTGCCTGGTTGTTCAAAGACGAATAATTGATTCCATGAGTAATCAGTGATCCACACGAGGAGTACATATGGGATGGTATTGGTTTTGCTGGCAGTATAGATATATATGATACCCCTGTATTGTTGTCGGGTTATCGCATTGATTGCTATTAGGAGTATATGTAGCTACTATTCTTGGCAGGCGGGTTATTAGCAGCATTCGATATATGGTAATGCTACGAGTTTAAAGCCAATAGAGAAACATAGACATCGATGTCGATATCATGAAGTTCACCTTACTAGAATGCTTTGAAAACATGCCTTGGATATCTCTCACCTTTTACAGTGCCTCATAGTTTCGTAGAACTTTGCAAGTCTTACCTTTCTACATCCTCGGCTCCGTTTCTCCTTACTGTGGCTGAACCTGTTACAAACTGTGGCTTGGGGGCGCCAAATTTAAATCGCGGCTACGGAAACTACGGGCTTCAAACGGCACAATCAATCACCATCATCGCAACGATAAGTTTATCAAACACCACCACAATTCATTCGTCCTTGGAATTTTTCTGCGATTTCCACCAAGAGACAATATCGAAACAAAAACCCGGCTAATGATCGCAAGTTGTCTTCAAGATGGCTGATCAACCACCAGCAATGCAACATGAGGACTCCATCAGTTCGCAGGATCCCAATTTACATGGGGACAAAGGAAAGACGAAGAGTAGAAGGCCAGCAAGTGAGGAATCTACGATTTGATGCTATACATAGGAGTGGCATACTGATGATCGCGTGCGACAACTAGATACGGCGTTCAGACAACAAAGATTGAAGGCATGGCAGTAAGTGGCGCTCGAAATTTATTGCGCGAAGACGAAGCTGACACGATGCAAGACCGATTCTCACGCCAAAAACCGTACTTCCATTATTTTTTGCCATCGGAATCATATTCGCGCCAATTGGTGGAGGATTATTATATGCCAGTAGTGTGGTCAGTAATTGAAGGACGATTCTCACCACGGTAGTTTCGATAAGGTCATAACTGATGTTTCGGAATAGGTCCAAGAGATTGTACTCGATTATTCGAAATGTCACACAGATGCGCCAATTTGCCTGGACTCTAACGATAGCGGGGACCTTATGCCTTCTGATAATGTCAAAATGTCTTTCAAAAAACCATATACGTATGAAGGAACGGCTCCAGAATGGTGTAGAAAGGATATCAACCAAACATACTACAACGGCACTGTCGCGCATGCCAGTGTTCCAGCTGTACAATGTCGACTCACATTTCCAGTACACACCGCAATGGAACCTCCTGTTCTGTTCTACTATAAGCTCACCAATTTCTATCAAAATCATCGACGGTATGCTAAGTCCTTCGACTCTGACCAACTTTCTGGGAAAGCCGTTACAGCAAGCACTATCCATTCCGGCGATTGTACTCCTCTTACGACAGTAAATGACAACGGTGTCGACAAACCATACTATCCCTGTGGCCTAGCTCCAAACTCGTTCTTCAATGATACATTCGCAAGTCCATTTCTACAGAATGTCGCGGACGCAAACAGCTCTAATAGCGCAGGTACCACATATCCCATGAAGAATAACTCGGATGTGTCTTGGAGTAGTGATAAAGAACTGTACGGCCCATCAAAATATAGTTGGACGGATGTCATTGTTCCTCCAAATTGGGTGGAACGATATCCAAACAATTATAGCGATGATTACCACCCTGATCTTGTGAATGATGAAGCATTCCAAGTGTGGATGAGATTGGCAGGTTTGCCAACATTCAGTAAATTGGTGCAAAGAAATGACGATGATACCATGGCCTCTGGACAATATCAAGTTGACATCACACACCGTAAGTTCTAGATCTCGGCATTTTTGTTCCAATTTCTCTAACGATCCACAGTTTTCAACGTTACCGAATACGGCGGAACTAAATCTATCGTTATCTCCACTCGTACCGTTATGGGCGGCAAGAATCCATTCCTAGGTATCGCCTACATTGTCGTGGGAGGTCTCTGTATCCTGCTCGGCACACTCTTCACCATCACACATCTAATCAAGCCAAGAAAACTCGGTGATCACACATATTTGAGTTGGAATAATGATAACCCCTCAACGGCGACAACGAGTGGACGCGAAATGGGTGGGAATATGGGCTAGACCTTGACCTCAACTCGACACAGGATCAAGAAGGAGACGTGTAAAATAGAGATGGATGATGAGACATGAGGCAGGGGTAGTTGTATTCGAACATTTTTTTTATTTATCGTTGGGAATCGTGGCGTCTAGGTTTCATGAACTTTCCATAGGTGTATGTGCTGCTTTTGAAAAGCATTATCTTTATGCGACGCGAGGAAAAGTGGATGGAAGGAAGGAAGGACCTCTTTGGCTGGAATAGGGATTCAATCCAATGGGTACTACGAATGTATTGTGCTATGCTTCTTTTCATTGAGAATTAGAAAGAAAATTTTATTATCTGAATTAGTAGTGCGAATACTTTTTTCAAGTGAGTAAATGAGGCGGTTGTAAGTCTGGATGAGTGAGGATGAGGATCTATGCATGAGTATATGATTTGTAGAGTATGGATTATGGATTATGGAGTATCGGGTGTGGGGATTGGAGGTGGGGTAGTTTGATGGGTGGTTGGTGGGTGGTGGGTCATGGGTGGGAAAGAAAAAAAAGGGTTAGATATTTACTGAGTAGTAGATACTAGAGTGGGGTTTTCTCCGGGGATATATTGATTTTTTGGAGATAGCGGTGGTATAACTGGCGAGGGGTGATGTGAATGTGCTGTGATGATAAGAATAGGATAGTGAGTGATGAAAAATGAGGAATGCATTTGTTCGTTTGTATTGCTAGTACAGTATCTAGTCATGTCGCATGCATGAAAGAACAATCAAGTTCACGCTACAGAGAAGAGAGTTTATCTTCGTTTGATTTGTCTGGAAGTTAGTTAGTCTTTCTTGGCGGATCCGGACTAGGGACTCAAGCTTTGCTATTTCATGGAGATCATGTTATATGGGATATAGGTGAGGATGGGATGGGGTTTATGTACTTTTTGAGATGGTCTTGCATCAATCATTGTGGGTTGGGTAGTCCATGGGCAATTGGATAGTGGATAATGGATTGTGGACTGCGCCGGGCTGGATTAGCTGGTACGTGTTCTGGCCTAAGGGGTGTGTATAAAAGGGTACTCGATCTATCTATTGTTTGTCGAGTCATATACCTGGAATATGCTCACTGATATTGCAGTACTATGCTAGGAATACAACCTCTTTTATCTATCTATCGAGTATATAGCGCGAAGTTCACATGGAGAATGAGAGTGGGAGTTCATGTGGTGGGGTATTTGGCGTGGAGAGTTCAGGGAAACTGTGGGTGTATGGTTGAGTGACAGTTGACGGTGACGGTGACGGTGACGGTGACGATGACGGTTCAACTTGTCTGGTGGTGAGAGTAGAGGTTATGACGGCAGTCAACTCTTGTTATTCTTGCTGTTTCAAGTGCTATATGTAATACTGAAGTCGGCATGTAGAGAATACCTAAGCTCGTCATTAGATTAGCCAGACGAAAGCAACTGCCTCACGCCATTATGAGAGATTGTCAATTTTCTGGTCGATAGGTGTGTGGCTGGCGAAAAATAAGAAGGTTTATATATAGTACTGAATAAAAATATAAGCTTCAAGTTCATGCCACTAGTTGGTGAGATTGATTAAATCTCCAAAATAGGTCTATCGATTGGACCATCTGTGATTGGACCTTGGGCTGGCTTCCAGCGAGGTATTCAAGTATATACAAACTTGTCGAGCTTCAGATCATTTCTTAGGTATATAAATGAAGGCTTGCTGGTATTATATGTGTCTTAAACAGTCCTCATAGACTCAATTTATCAAAGCTTTATGGCTATTTGGATTATTAGATACTCTTGTTCCTGTAGAGATAAATATAAAGCGGGAAGTGATGAAAAGAAAAGAACTTCACGCCACGGGTTAATACATGAATAATAATAGTATGCACAAAGTTAACCTTGTCTGGCAACGATAATCTTGGGCTCGGATTCGATAGTGATACACCGTAAGTAAGTTGTAGAAATGAGCTCGGCAATCCACGGTGAATATTTCTCTTTTATGAGTTGCATTTCTTCGCATTTGGGGGCAGGTCTTTGTGTTAAGTTTGTGCGGGGGACTAATTTGTGTTTTTCTGGCAGTCGTAGTGGGGTATGGATCACCTACATTGACTAGAGGTGCAGTCAAGTGTATTCAATGAAGAGGAAACTTAGAGGGTCTGAAGGGAATCATTTATAGTTAGATGTATATTATTGGTGTTACGGGAAATGATGTGATACTTAGGGGGGCATGGAGGGTCTGGATATGAGAGTTGAGGCTTGAGGCTTGAAGGTATCTAGAATAAGGGGGCAGGTGATTTTCTAACCCGAACATGGTGTTATGGGTATATAAGAAATAACCGGCTTATTGCTAACCTAGCATAGCTTTAACAAGATACCTTTTTTAAGCGAGTTTGAGTCATCCGTGCTAGAATGAGTTGAGCTAATAGACAGTTGAGACGAGAGGAATTACAGAAGAATTTATCAGGTACTTTGGGCTGCCTCGTGTTTAAGTAGTTGTTTGGGCAGGGTGGGGAAAGATCTATTCATGTCACGCATAATAACAACAGCTCGCTTTAAGTGACGTAATAACACAGTACATATGATTACGACATGTGATTTAAATATCAATATAAAGAGTAAAGAAGGCTTATTTTTGGTGATGATCGTGGGCCTACTAGTCCCTATCCACCTATTCCCTACAGGTAAGCGCAAGTAAGGGGGCTTCGAAGCCTATAATTAGAGATTCGTTGCGAATTTCCGAATAACTTCAAATTCTACGCGTGACACGATATCATTATAAAAATAAGGCGAATAATACCGCAGCAAGATGTGGTATGATTACGCTTTATGCATAACCTAGTACTAATTTACGTAAAGCGCCTAATCCTATGTTAGGGAAACGAATGGCTATGCTACCGATATGGTGATGGACGATGGAAATGATAACGTTGGGGTATCCGTGACGATGACCTCGAGAGTTTTTGCCGAGCAATAAACTTCCATGTTGTTGTTAAATTCCATGTATATTTCAATCTGCTGCCTTCGGAGTGTTGGACTAGCAGTCTGCAAAACAGTTTGTAAGCCAAAATGAGAGAGAAGTTACTTCATCTTCTTCAGTGACCCAAGACACTCGTCACAACGTGGCCATGGTAAAATCTGAAGCATAGGTCTCACTAAATTCCGAAGTATTAATGACTAGGCACCTGAAGATGACTGTTGTGGCGTTAAAGTAATAGACACTGTTCTTCGCAGGGACCACAAGATTAACAGACGAGCGTCGCTCTACTCAGTCACGGATAGGTAGCATGTACTTTGAGCTATGCGAGGAAGGATTGAAATTAGTGCTTTACATCATGAATGTGGAACTGTCAATGTTGGATCATGATGACGAGAGGTAAAAGTTAAACAACAACGCCGGGTATATAAAATTTGACGAACAGATGAGATTGAGTTTCTCAGACCACAGACAGCGCTGATATATTGTATGAACTTCTGAAGCAACTTCTCCGAGATTTCTTGGCCGGTAGAACGATGCCATGTTTGTTTGTTGTGGATTGGATATTGTCTTGCATTAAAATCTGCTAAGGGCTACTTTGGGTGTGATTTTCCGCACTCTTTCCTGTCTTTACTGTGGAATCGATTCATCCTGTTGTAATGCTTTTTAATGTAGGAAAAAAGTTTTCATGAGGAGAAGGCTCAGAACCTTTTATGGTTTTAAAAGCTATTTTGAGAATACTAGTTTTCCTTCCTTTTTATGTAATACAAAATAAAAAGAATAGATAAACGAAAACTCTTTTTGTTTTTTCTATCATATATTTTTTGTATTTCTTATAAATCTTATAGACCTTCAAAGTTAAAAATAATGAAATAGCAAGCAAGAATGGAAAATGATAACCGAAGTAGCCCTCAGGCTCAACACCTAAAATCTCTCTCTGAAAGATCTTTTGGCACCAATGATCCTCAAACAGTGTTAGAGAAGAATTTTATGTATTAATTTGTGTCTGCCAGTGGGACGGAATACCGCCTCTATTTTGTATATAAGACTACTGTGTCGAAGACTTAGTGTATTTCTAAAATATATTCCTTTAAGTCAATCTCGCGGCTAGAATCTATAATGGGGAAACTATAACTGCTTCTTTGCCATTTCACGCTCAATTTCCAAGAGGATTGACTTCTTTCGGTATGCTACGGGAGGAATTTCTCCTGGAATGGCGGCCATATCTTTTTTAAATATCAAAGATGTAAAGTCACTGAATTTTACCGTGTATATAATATTTGACAATAACACTACGACAACTATATTTGTAAACGAGTCGACAACTGACACTGAAACCTTCCATTCACAACTTGCCTGAAAATAGTCTTCCGTGTAGGAATATTCGAAGCGTGTGCCACGACTAGATGAGATGATTGCAGAAAAATTTATAACTTTAATCACTTCAGTCATTTCTTGATACTATCTATCACTTATGTACTATCATATATCGCAAGGATTGATGACCCCGGAGACATTTATATGCTTTTACCGAGAACATCCAGGTATGTGAGCTATGCTCAAGTCAAGTTAGGGCTCTATGCACAGCCGAACTGAGAAAATATGACAGAAAGGTGTAACACAGACATAGTCAGTTCCGATAACTTTTCACTCACTCTTAGGTCTGAAGTCTTAGGAGTTTCTGCAATATCTGGTGTATATAAACGCAGTCATTCGTGGCATTGAGACATTACCAGAGGCTACAGCTCAACGAAGCCATAAGCCCCAACAGGGAAATTTGGCCAGAACCCATTTCGAACTTTGATGGATAGTTGGAGCATGTCCAGAGTTTGTCGAACTCAAATATATTCATAAATTATGAGGAAATTGAGAACAGGAAAACTGTACTGTTGTGTTATCGGTGACGACAACGCTTAGTTATCAATTGTCAACGAAAATAATGGAAGTAGAATGACAATTAACATGACAACGAGAAAAACAATTGAACAAGGGAAGGACAGTGGCCAAACTCCTACAGATCCATAGAAATTCTATTCTAATACTAATATCCCGTCTCTA